CTCTCCAATAGCTGCCACGACAGCGTTATTTGCGGCAATTGGAATATTATTCGGAGCCTGCTGCTCAACTCCAAAAGCAACTACAGTACTAGAAGAGGCGTTTACGTTTGTGCCTATACCTTCTGCACCACCAGTACCAGTTGCTTTACTTTCTGGTGACAACTGCAGCTTTTCGGAGAGTAGAAGGACTCGTGGAGACGATGCGGACTCGGTGATAACGCGAATCAACTCCTCTGGACCCGCACCCACCTCACCTGCAATCCACCTCTGCCATGCAAGGAGTTCCGCAGGCTACAAGATGTGTTGAGTGTGACAACTCTAAGAGCTGATGAAAGCTTCTGTAGTTTGGAAAAAAAAAACTACTTTCCAACTTAGTCCTACTAACTTGTAACGGTTGCTGCCATGAATTGCAAATTCTCTTCCTAAATGAAACACTAGCACACACGTTAGATGACAAAACAGCGCATACCGTCACCTCCACCGCTTGTGGTTTTGGCGAAGTTGACGGCGACGCTCCAGCTGACGACGGTGCTGCAGTACTGGCTGCTGCGGTGGTCGGCGGATTCGATTTCGCTGGCTCACTCCCAAAAGAAGCCGCACCCGAACCATCAGCGCGAGCAGTTGTTGTGGGGCTTCCGACAGGGCTACCGCCTGGACTGCTATCGTTGAAATAGCCGTTTCCCTGCCGCCGTGGACTCCACACCACTTGCTCGCGCGTGCTTCGCTGACGATGTTCCTCACGTAACTGGGTCAAGAGGTCCTCACGCATCTGTTCTTGGGTTTAGAAAAGGACAAGATAGGTCCTGCTGTAGCTGTACATTTGATTGATTCTTGTTGTAGGCTTAAGACGAGGGAGTAACTGAAAAAACTTCTCTTTCAAGTACTTACTCGTACAGTGTCGTTCGAGCTCAACAACAGCGACGCATCCAATTGATTCCAAAGACATTACCATAAGTCAAAAAAGCAGAAGACGGAGGCGATTTTCTCTTCTTTTTCCCGCTTTTGCCATCCGCTTTGTCGCCGAACCAAGGATGATCCTGGATGCTTTGGCCTGGATGATCTGTCAGCAAGCTCCCTGTTCCATCGCAGTCGGGACATCGAAAAGTGAGGAGGGCTTCGGCTGTTGTTGGAGCTGTCAATGCTGTTTATATTAATCTTGCGTCCTGCTTCTTGCTCATGTTCATGTTAAGCTGCAATTTCTTCATGCTAGCGGGAGAAAAAGTAAGAAAGTAAGTAGATGACATTTTTCAATGAATAACAATGAGAAAAAACAACACGAAGTAGATCAGTTGGTTTCACTTATAGATAACTGGTAAGCGAGAGATAAGAGCCGGTAAATACAGGAAAACTTAGGTTAACAGAGAGATAATATAAAACTATGTATGATAAGTACCAAGTTCCTTTTCGTTATTTGTGGTCGCCATAAACTTGAGTAGTATTTGCAATACAACTCTTCACTGAGAAGTCCAGTCCACACTTGCGGTGATATGCGTTCGCGACAGTCTGGACATTTCAGGAAGGGACAGGAGTAAAGAGCAGCCTCAACCATACTGGTCGCATGTTGCGTCAAGCACTCTGCACAAAATTGTCCCTTACAATTGCTTCCACCTGCTATGTGGGGTGGAGGAATGTCTAGTGCTGCGGATGCTGCAATTCCTCCTGGTGGTCCTATAATTGTTATTGCATTGTTTTGCAAACTCACACCGGCAGCTGCAGCTACGGACGTCGCAGCCATCAAGGCTGTGCTTCTCTTAGTGGGCGAACACGGCTGGCAAAGCACCTCAACATCGTCGTCGAGGCAGATGAGACATCGTCCAGTGCGAATCAGATGACCGGTGTCGCCCATAGGCGGATCTGCACCGAAGATGAGCTTCATCGCGTTGTAGCTTGTTGGACTAGAGGCTTGTTGTTGTAGTAGTGCGAAATGATCGTTAGAAGAATCCTGCGAGTGTAAACTGCTTGGCAAAAACGAAGCGCCTGGTCCTCCTGTTGTATTCGCTCCAGCACCTGCATTCACCCCAGTCGACGAAGAGCCACCTCCGCCAGACGAAGCACTCGGCTTCTCTTTCGACGGACCTGATCTGGTTTTCGAAGCGAGACGGCCTAATGCTCCTGGTCCCGACGACCCGCCTTTGCCGCCACCCTTTGCGTGCGTCGGTGCACTTGGAGGCGCGCCCTGAAGATCAGCTGCTGCGGGCCCAGGTGAATGCTCTACACCGTGATCGCCTCCGCCACCACCAGTTCCAGTTGCGCCATCCCCTGGATGGAGAGGGATAGCGGGAGTCTTAGGGAGAGTAGAGCAAAGAGATTTGATGTACAGGAAGGTGGTCAAGGTCATGATATCTAGCTCTATGTCATGGAACCTCGTTTGTAGCTGTTCATGTCTACCTGTGAGGTCATCCAGTAAATCTAGGTAAAAGTGAAACACTTCTACAACTAACATTTGTAAGTAAAAATCTCTTTACAAGATCAAGATCAAGTAGATCAAGCAATTTTGATCATCTCATCATCTACCAAAATCAATGATCCTGAACAATAATCTTAACTCCATCACCTCCCGCTTCGAGTGGTGCTGTGTCCCGACTGCCACTTATGAGTCTTTTGAGAGCAGCGTCAGAAAGCGGCTGCGTTCCGTCGCGTAACCTCAAGTGCAGATCTGTAGCTGCACCAGTTACGTAGCTACGGGGCGCCGCAGCACGATTTTTACTCCCTGATGCTGACAATGGACCTGGCGTGCGGCTGGGATTTAGATGGAACAGTACTAGTTGGTACATCGACATAGTTTTTTGCGCGCAAACTAACAGCAATAAAAACAATAAGTCTACTCTAGCCTTAACAAATGCAAACCGCCTGCGGGCGACGCAAAGAGGCCTGCGCGCTCTTTGCTGTTGCTGGCCGACGCTTTACCTCCTAGGACAGCGTTTACGTTCGTGCCAAAAGGCATCTGAGACGACGACGATGATGACGATGATCCGGCACCTGTCCCGCTTCCTCCTGCTCCGAGGCCACCTCCTGCCCCTCCGGACGAAGACGACGCTCCGGACGAAGACGACGCTACTGGCTCTAGTCGGCCAGCAGCGTTTTTGCGATTCACATTCACGGCCGCAAAGTAGCCTGGAGCGAACGGGTTCAGCTGCGCTTCGCCAGTGCTTCTTCTGGCAGCCGCAACTGGTGATAAAGCTGCATTCGGAGATGACATATGCGTCACACCTGCGAAAGGTGCAGCTCGATTGATGCCAGGTGAGGACGCACTGATTTTCGGCAAAAAAGGGCCTGTGAGAAAGCCACCTCCTGGCTGCGCCTTTTTACCGATTTTGCCTCCAGGAGATCCGCGCGCGCCGGGTGATCGACTGCCTGCTGTTCTAGCAGTTACGCCTCTACCCATGATCATCGCTTCTTCTTCATCCTCCTCTTCACCGTCCTCCTCTGTCCTCTCACCAGCTGCCACTGCCGCTGCAAGATTCCGCTTATTGATCTCGTTCTGCGCAGCAACAGACCGAAAAGCCGGTTGCTGGAGCATGCTACTGCCAGTTGTCCAGGTGGTGCCCGTAGACTTCGGCGTGCTGGTTATGCTGCGTAGCCGTTCGTTCTGCAGCTCTCCAACGTCCGTAGAATGGAATTCATCATCCTTGTAGTTATTATTTTCATGGTGTTGAGGTGGACCTACATAGGGATTGAGATTCTTACTTATCATTGATGGAGCAGTCGTTCCTTCCAGACCCAGTCCAGGTCCAGAACCTGGAAACAGCGTCTCTCCTGCGCCTCCGCGCGAGACAGAGGTACGTCCTCCCGGCACGACTACATTCCCAGCGCCAGCAGTCGAAACCCGTCCGCCTCCTCCAGTAGCTGCAACGCCAGCTGTCGTCGGCCGGTTCTCGTCTGCTGTACTTGCTAGAGCGTCATATTTGTTCCTTGCCCTTCCAACACTGATCGGCATTTCATCGTCGCGCATCGTTTCACCACGGCGATCTGCAGCAGCTCCACTAAGCGGTAACGGCGTGAACCCTCCAAGACCTGGAGGTGGATCATGGTTTGGCTGTGGTGTGAACGCCCTAGAAGCAGGTTTTCCACTGCTATGCGCATCTTGCTGCCATCGCATTCGGGAGTTCGGCGTCAGATACGGATTTGCCGAGTTTTCTCTGCTTTCCGCTCCACCTGTGCCTCCAGGAGTAAGATTCGCACCTCCAGCACCACCATTCAACGCAGGCAGCTTCTTGTTTCGCATCTCGGACAGCAGCCCTGTATTGGGCCCCTCGCGCTTGTCCTCGAAGCGTGCTCCCGAAGTGTTCGCATAATGCCCACCCCATGGCGAGCGGCCGCTGCGAGCCGTATCACCGGACCCAGCAGTGCTTGGGCCACGGGGAGGCGACATTTCTGATGTGCTCTAGAAAGGTTAACGTTAAGATTCAAAAGAAGATCTTACAGGAGTTACTAACATGATTAATTTCTCTTTTTATTTGTTTTTGTAGCAGCATGGGCTCGTACATTTAATATAAATGTTGTCAATCTAAATATGACTCACATGAACTTGCACTGTTCTGTATGTCGCTCCACCTCTACTCAGCTGTCTTGTTATCTCGACTCTTACACACTGAAACTTACTCATGGAGGTGCTCATGCATCATGATCAACGTTTTGGGCTCACCTCCACGGTAATTGAAGTCATACCTGGTACTTCAGAAGTAGAGTGAGGCGTTGGCGTTCATCTTATACTTATTCTTATTTTGTATTTCACTAGAATATTTCCATCGGAGACCACTACAATGTTGAGTTACAAAAAAACAAAGTAGGTGGCGCGGGCTCCTCCAAAATTCACTCGCATGTGCGTGTTGCTAAACGCAGTAGACTGATAAATATCCCTCGAGGCTTTCACTCAGGAGTTTCCGTCGCTCACTTCATTTCGCACCATGTCGGACAGAAACTTCACGACCAAGCGGAGACAACTGTACTAAACGAGTCGGATACCGAAATGGACGCTTACAATAAGCTAATTCCAACAACTCACAACGTCTCGCTCTCATGCGTCCTCAACATAATTGATCATTTGGGGTCACTCGATCTTTACCGTAGTATTGTGTCTAGTGCTACTTCTGCTATCTCTGTTTTTTACAGGTTGTCGTGGGTAAAACTAAAAAGCAAGAAGGAATCGTCGTCCGGTACAAGTCACATGTTGTTCTTGTCTAGCAGTAGGTACTAGTGCGCAAACAGCCCAGAATTCCTCAACTAGTGTAGTCTGTACTTCTGCGAGTCGTGCGTCCTCCATCTCGTCCATGCATTGTTCAACGCTAGAGTAGAATCTCCTAAAAATCTTTCAGACGAACCATGAGTCCTCATCGTTTACTCCTGATGTCTTCGGCTGAGGTAGCGTGCATCCGTCACCGTGCTTCATTGACATAGGACTTGGGACCACATCCACATCTACCGTCACGTGCACGCTGCTCGTGCTGGTCGTGCTCGAAGGGATCCCGCCGGGGATTAGAGCTAGTATAATCTGAATGGTTCTGGTATTTGGTAACCTGAATTCGATCACAAGGGTTCTCTTACGAGTCGTTGTGTTTTTGCCAACATACAGAAGATACAATCGACGGCGATACAAGTTATTTTGATGTTGTTCTACTTCATGAAGAGGCTCTTATTCTAGGACCTAGTACAGGTTAATATCAAAGCTTTTCATATTCTGCTTTATTTACCAAGGCTATCACCATAAACTCAAATCGTCTTTCGAGACCGAAGTAGCTGCCTTGGTCGAATCTTCATCCTGGAGCTCGTAGACGAATGAGAGAGCAGACTCGCAGCAGTGCTGAGCTTCGAAGGTCCACTTCCAGTCGCCACCTAAAATCGGTTCTTGCACTGCATCCTGTCGGAAATTCATCTTGCCTGTCTGCAGCATGCACTCACTTTCGCGAGCGAGACGCCAACGCTTACCTGTGTGGGGACGTTGGTTTATCATTTTTTCAGAAAAATAAAAATAAAAAAGGTGTGTATCAATCAGAGAGGACTTCGCGTTGGAAGCAGGATGAAATCTCGCTATCTAAAAAGAATGGAAGATGATGCTCACGTTGCTCTATTGTCATATCACACTTGGTAAACCTCCTAGTACCAAATATCGGATTCCCCCAAAGCGCCACGGTCAGTGAGTCGCCAACTCCGATCTGCACTTTCTTGCGGTCATCGCGTGTGCGCTCGAACCGCACGCTTGTTGTTTTCGGAGCATCCTCGTCGTCTTCTGTGGTTCTCCGTCTTCCATTTTGTAACAGAGACGACGTCTGCGTGCTGCTCTTCGTCTTCGCTGATAAGGACGTCGATAAAGCATAGGAGGACGTCGATAAAGCATCCCCTTTTGCTTGCCTCTCGTCCACCGAGCTATTTGGATCCGAAGGAAGCAGCTCGCCATTGCTGCCGAGTCGTGAAGATTCCGCATACGACAGGGATGCAAGCTGCGAGGCTGCGAACGCAAAGCGAGCTCCCTGACAGAGCCTCGCACGACGGCTCTGGCGAGGCATATTTTGCGACATAAACAGAAGTTGTGTGGTCTTGATTGGATTTTCTTTTGCTAGAATTCATTGCTACAATATCATCGTAAAAACTAAGAAAAAGCAAACCCTTTTTGATTCACAGAAACATTTTCGTTTTTGCTCTTCATGCAGCTATATTTTCGCTAGCTGATGCGGTTTGCTTGATCCACGACTGTTGTTTCCCTCTTCATTTACCGGATCTGCCTACTTATCTTGCTACATGTCGGTGTTTCAGAACCGCAAGACCGCCAGCTACTCGTAGAGTTGAACTCGAACAAGAACTTGCTCCCACCCTCACTTTTATCACCCGACTCTGGATTTCGCGTTCGCCTGATCCATCAAGCTGCCATCCAAGCTTCATCAGGAAAGTTGGTCGTGCACAATGCTTTGGGTAGACAATGCTTTGGGTTGTAGGAAATTTGAGTAGGTCACTTTACTTTACCCAAAAATCAGATACTTCTGATCCTTCACGTACTTGCATCAAAGTCACTTATAGAGCCGGTTGCATTTCTGTACTTTGAGAGCCAGAGAGGTTTATTAAAAATGGTCTTGGTGTATTCATTCTTATGACACAATGAGAGCAAAATGATGTAATGGTCCTATCTATGCATTCTTCCTTTGCACGTTCTGGTAAAAAAATCGGATAAAAACGGCGCTTAATAATAAGCCTGAGGAAGGAGTAGACGGATTAGATTTTTCGATGTTGAACATGATAATAGCTCAGGTATATTAGGAATCGACGAGAATAACACCAGATTGTTTGATGTCAGGTTGTGGCTCCTTACCTTGGATTGATGTTAGGTTGTGGCTCCTTACCTTGAAGTACATACTTAGCAAGCAGAAAAAACGGTTCGAGGACTATGCGTTCCCCATCGTGATCACCTCCTGCTGAAGCGCCTGACACTTGAGCAAATGGTTGATCACCTTCTGGATCCATTCTTTTGGGTCTTGAAAGCGGTCGCCGAGTTCAGATTGGTTCACGATCCTCTGCATCATCTGCGCATATAGGAGTTCAAACCGGTTTTTCGCCGCCTCGTTTTCATTAATGAGTCTCGAAATCTGCCTATCTGATATCCTCTTCGCCTCTCGGATTCGTGCTTCGAAGTTGTCCGACATCTTCTGAATCACCACAGATTCGAGATTCGCCGTGGAAAGAACGCGATGGTCAGTCTGGACACTGGCGTCACGTGCTTTGGGGTTGCAGTAGCCGCCAGCAGTGGCGGAGAATGCGTTGTAATTGGTTCCTGGGTATCGTGCTGGAACGTCTTGGCTGTTCCTTTGATGCATTTCAGTTGTCATGCTCGTCATCATTTCGATCAGCATTTGATTCTTCTCGTCGTCATCCTGTTCCTGTAAGAGCTTGAGCAAGTCGTCTTGATAATCTGCTGCTTCGCCGCCTTGCACTAGTTGTCGTGTAGGTTCTTGTGGAGTTTGTGTAGAACTTCCTCCATCTCCTCCTCTTGTTCTATTCAATTGCATCTCCATGAACTCCCTTACGCTCGTTGCCTTTCCTCCTAAGAATAATCCGCGTTTCTTCTTCCTTTCTTCGTCAATCCGCAACGCACAGGATTTCTGCGTATCAAAGTCCATAAATGGTCCAAATCGCCACAGAGCTCCCTTCAACGTTCTAACTTGTCTCTCCAGTCGGTTCTTCTCGTCCGCTGCCTGCAATTCGAGACGCTCGAACTCTGTTAAGCCGTCATCCGCCACAACGTCGCCGTTTTCGTCGACACGGACTGCAGTGGGCTTGATTTTGCCACCCTTTGCCAGGTTGTTTTTGGCGTCCTCCTTGCGTTTCGCCCGCTCCATTTCGTGGTAGATGTCGATTCCCTCGAGCATCTTGCCGTTTCAGATTAGAGATAGAAGGTCGTCACGAGGACGTGGAAGAGAAGAAACGAAAAGAACTGTCATAAGATCAACATCTTGTTCTTGTAGCAATTATATATAATACGAGGAGCAGAGGTAGCTGTACTAGTACTAGTAGCAATTATACGTCGAGGAGCGGCATGTAGCTGTAGTAGTAGTTGTTCATCTTCATCATCACGACCACCAGCCATAAGAAATACTGTTTGATCGAATCCAGCAAGAACGCCCGATCTGCAGTCAGGTCCTCGATTTGAGCGTAGAGTTCTGGCAGGAGGTCGCTGTTGAGACCCAAATTCAACGTTTCCAGCTCATCGCAATGCTCCAATACTAGCTCGTATTGTTCCCGCACATCTAAAAACTCATCAAAAAGTTTGCGATGTGAGTTCGCAAATGCAGCAATCAGCGCGTTTTTTCTGGAGACGATGCGCCAGAACAGGAAAGCGCTGTGCTCGAAGCACATGCTGATCAACTTTTTCATGCCGTTGTGATGTCTGCGGACAGCTATTCGATGCTCTTTTTGCAAAACCAGGACGCTTGAATCTCCACCATCACCACCTTCCGCTCCGCCGGCTTCATTATCGTGGTCCTTCTCTTTGTCTTGCAGCTGGTGTTCTTCTCCTGCTGCACCGCCAGGCGACTCTCCGTCGCCTTGCTGCCGACCATCACCCTCCCCACCGCCATTTTTTGCCATCTCCACGTCTCCTCCTTTTTTCTCGCCTTCTTCTTCTTCATCCTTTTCGCCGGAGTTCTGTGACGATCCTGAGCTTTTATCACTAGCAGGCGTTCCCTCCCCGCTCCCTTCCTCAGCCGCACGATGTATGCCCTCAAGGAACAGTCTATTGAGCATTGGCCTTGCTCCGGTAGCGGATGGGCAGCTAGCATTTGTTGGCCCAGGTGGATCATCCTGTTGCTGTTCGTCTTGTTCATCTTCTGGGTCATTCTTGACGCTGTAATCGACATTGTGATCTACTCCGCAGTAATCGACATTGCTGCATCTAGAGCTAAGACTCCCACCATTAGCGCCTCCTCCAGCAAACAGCCAGGACCAATCAATCTCATCGAGGACTGCTGAGCACTCCATATTAGAAGGGTCTTCTTCCGCACCAGGTGGACCATTTGTTCCGCATCGGGGGGGCCCACCTCTCACATCTGAGTCCTGTGGAGGTGTACTAAATTCGTGCAAACTCCACGACCGCTCTCTGCTGTCGGGGTAGCTTCTAATATCGATGGTATCGTCCTGCTGCACAATTGAAGACGAGTCTATATCTGAGGACCAACTGACGTCAAGTCGAGCGATTTTTTCTCGTGCTTTTGCAGCTCTGGCTTTCGTATTTCGTCTTGTTCCGTGGTTTGATTTTTTCCTGTCGTGACCGCCTGTCGAACTAGATGTAACACTACTAGAAGAACCAGAGCTATTACTAGTAGATGAGGACGCACCAACAGGAGTGAAATTATCAGAAGAGGACCTTGAGAAATCAAAGCCGACACCAGAAGATGATCTCCTCTCCGTTCTATGTTTTCCCTCCTTCGCATGCTGGTTCTTTGGAGAAGATGGCGCAGCATTTGGTTTTTTCCTCGCACCTCCTACAGAAGACGTTCCAGACCGGTCCTGCTCACTCCCACTTGTTCCTTTTTTCTCTTGTTTTACAGGAGATGGACTAGGACTTGCTTGCTTTTTCTTATCATCGCCACTTCCACCATAAGTCTTTTTGTCGTCACCGCTTCCACCACTAGTTTTTCCTTTGGCTCCACCCGTCGCAGGAGCCCCGCCTCCTTGTTGACCTCCTGCTGGCCCTTGTTTTCCCTTACTTTTGCGTGCGCGTCGGATCGGCGCTGTGCCAGTCTCTTGCTGCCTCTCGAATTCTCTTTGACGCTCCTCTTCGGCCTGTTGGTATTTCGTCAGCTCTGCCTTCACCTTCTTCTCCATGATCACTGCTTTCCTTTCCTCGCGAGGCGTGTCTAGACCTATGACAAACTCGATTTCGTCGTCGTGATGCAATTCGCCTCGTGTTGTCTCTCCTGGTGGAGGAGACTTCCCACCCTTCGAAGATGAACGTCCGGATTTTTTAGCCCCTCCACTGGGGGATCCTCCTGAGGCACTGGTTGTCTTCGCGGCTTTATCTCCTCCTCCTCCTCGTCCAAGTGGAGATTTAAAATCATCCAGCTTATGCCCTGGCCGACCATCGTCTCCACCACCGCCACCTCCTGCATCATCGACCTCTCTGGCGCCTGCTGTGGAACACGCTTGTGTCATCGTCTCGGCAGCTAGTTTCCACCGTTTGCCGTCCAATTCAAGCCTCTTGCACTCTCTCTTCCAGGTTGCGAGCTCTTTCTTCAGAGATTTGATCCTGTCCTTTGCGTCTGCCAACTCCTGACGAACTTCGCGTAACTCTGCTTCAGCCTGCCGTTTCGCCTTCAAGAACTTCTGGCAATTCACGCACATGCCTTCGGCGGCGAAGAGACTTAGAAGAAGAAACGATCAGCACGAGGAATCAGAAATATCTGTTGATTCCGAAACTCATTCGAAATCATGGTGGAACGAAAAGAAAAAGTACAAGAACAATTGACATTGATCAACTCACTCCACCTGATGTCCATCCTACTTCCATTTCATATCATCAAGCTCTCGCGCAGCACCTCAATTTCCCATTTTTTCGCCATTTCGCTTGTCTTCAAATGTTCAATCTCCTTATCACGTTTTTTGAGCGCAGCCTGCAAAACCCCAGGTTCTTCCGAGGAGTACAGCATTTCCTGAACCTTAGTCAATCCCCGAGCATTCACTTTCTCTTCTTTCTTCTTGAGAATAGCTAGCGAGTTCGCACCTGGCGAAATCGGTGATCGTGTCCTGGTTCGTCCTGGTGGTGACAATGACCGGCGGTCGTCCGGATCTCCGAAAGTCGGAGCTTGCATCAACAAGTTTTGTCGCAAGACCTTCACTTCCCCGCGCACAGTCGCGAGATCACGACCACGCTCGCGTGTTGTCGATTTCTCAACTTCGAGCCGCTCTTTGAGGCCGATGATCACGTGCTGCATGCGATTGACTTCCCGTTTGAAGTCCTCACGGGTCGTCAAAATTTTGTCAGGACTCCCAAGATCATCGTCGGTAATATTCGGTCCTCGGCGTGCTGGTGAAGATGGCGATGTGGTGCTAGACGCAGGAGGTGTTGAACTATTTCGTGCTCCACGACCTTTATTCGATACGGCCTTTCCGTTCGCGCCAGCGCTGCTCCGATCTACTCCGTCGACCATATTCTCTTTATTAGCACCACCAGTCTTAGCAGAGGAAGATGTCGCAGCACTAGCTCCTCTACTCAACTTGTCGTATTCCTGTCGAAGATTGTACATCAGGTTGATCTTCGATGTTTGACCTAATGCGAAGTCCCTATGCTCTTGGTACAGCGGTCGTGAGCGCGCCGCGTGCCCACCGGTGGATCCTGATGATGGCCTTGAAGTTGTTCCAGCAAGGCCCTGCAATCCCGCTGTCCCTCCTCGTGAAGAAGAGGCATGAGCAGCGTGAGATATTCCTGTAGCTGCCCAGGCTTCTCCTCCAGTCTGTTGATTCCCTGGTCTGGTCCTATGACTCCCCAATCCACTAGCAGAATTCGGTCGATTGTTGTCTGACGAGGTGGTCCCACCTCTACTACTCGTCCGATTCTGCTTGTACAATGGGAGCACGAGGGTAGCGAGAGGCTGCTCACGCGCGCTGCGTGGCCGATGCGTCGGCAGAGCGGATGACGGACGACTACCTCCATACTGATAGTTTTCACCAGACGCGATGAGTGCCAGAGGTCGCTCTCGCGGAGAGATGGAGGGACTCGCGCTGGAGAAGCCCTGTGCTCGTCCGTTGTCATCACGTCGTGATCTGCGGTGCGGTGGTGACATTTTGTTATTGCTCGCTGTTTGGAAGAGTCAGTCGTGCTGCAGGGCTGGTAAGCGCCTTTTTGGATGGAATTGTCGTTGTTGGGATATAGAAAAAGTGAGCCAAGAAGCGTCAATGAATCTAGGTTGATGAGAAAGAGCTACTTCATAACAGTTACGAGCAGCGACTGCGACTGATCACGATCGATGGAAGATTTCGCAGTTGGTATTGCGGCGATCTGCGATCAGAACGAGATCCTGAGGGAAGAAAGCTCGAAGAGAGACACTAATAGCGAAAACATGCAGATGAATGACACGCACGATGAAGATCATGGCGACGAGATACTACGGATGCACCGATACCAAAAGGCAGAGCAGGAGTCGAGGCTTTTCTCCATACAGCGAAGGCAGATGCTCGGCGCAATCTCGAACAACAAGTCGACTTTGTTGATGTAATCCATCGTACAAGTAGATTCGCAAGTACATAAAACCCGATGGTCTCATGATTCATTATTCATGGGTTCGCCGCCGCAGCCACGGTCTCGCTTTCTCCATACGAGGAAACATGAAAGGAGATTTTTCCATCAATTATAGGTCGATCATCGAGGTAGAGGTACTCTTAGTCCTATCCCCCAGAGAACGACTACTTGCCAAGTAAACGATGATTTGTACAATTTAAGGCTTTGGATATTGATAGAATCTATTCACGACAATCAGAGAGGAAACCCCCAAGAGCAATGGTATACTCTACACTATGAAAGAATTTGATGTTCTGTTCATTTACTGGCTGTAACGATTTCGACCTTTCAAAATAGATCTTGGATGTACTAGTACGTATTTTGCTGATCTTAGATCCGATAACTTTGAATATTCTTATTCTGTAGTTCCGAGTTTGAATTTGCTATCTTTTACTTTGTAGAAGTATGTTGACAATTAATCTTAGTTACAGGAAGAATGCTTAGTAGTATCTATTTGCCTATTGAGTCAGTCGTTCTGTATTCTGGAGAAAAGCAATGTGATGTTTACGTGATGAGATATTTCATCTATTTTTAGTAAAATTACTATTATGCTGACGATATGTGGTCTTGCGATAGTTTTTGATATAGTTGCATAGTTATCTCTTCCAATTATCAAGTATTCCTGAGTAGGAGATGTATATTATGAACTGATATGAGTCAAGCAATATTTCGAATACATTGATGATGATGGAGATTTTTCTAGATATCTTTATACTTACAGCTTACCTAACTACTTTCAAGAAGTCCTCAACCCTACTAGGTGCCACTTACTCTTACTTCACTTTCCGACTTACAGACTTACTTCTTCTTCGCAGCAGCATCCTTTGCCTTATTGTCCATTTTCGCCTTCTTGTCTGTGGCCATTAGGCCATTGTACTTCGCGAAGTTGAAAAAGTCGATAACGTTCATGCTTCCCTGAGGTGCGAAATTTCGGAATAGGTTTTCTGCGATGATGTTAGAGGGGGGTTCTTGTGTGGGGATACTTTGCTGGGTTTCTTGGGTTACAAGACTTTCAAGTCCTCATCATAACTTTCCAATCGAGTGAGTTATCGCGGTAGATTTTTACAAGAGGCTCTTCGTATCTAAGATACGTACACCCATTATAGAAAGCAGAATGTTGATGTGCTTGATCTGCAAGATAAGTAGAAACGATCAGCTCGGAATCATCTCCTTAGTGGATTGTTCTTCGAAGTACTAGCAACTACTCGGGTTTACTAGCATCATAACTTTCAAATCCAGCGAATTATCGCGGTAGATTTTTTTCAGCATCTGATGGAATTCGCCCAGTTCGATCAGGCCGGATCCATCTTCATCCACTTCTTCGAACATGTCCCACATCACCAGCATCGTAAACCGGTCTACCTTCAAAGCCCGCGACAGTTCCTTCACTTTCTTCGTCTTCCAGTCCTGTTTCGGCACCACAAGTTTCTGCCTCGAAACTTCCTTCACGTTGCGTAGAGCGTCGCCCCACTCACCGGCATAGAAGTTCTGCTTGAACTGCTCATAGATGGTTTCGACTTTGTCTTCGTCCTCGTCGTCGCTGTCTTCATCCCGAGAAACGTCCAATTCCTGACGCAACCCTGTGTCTGTGTTCATGACGGCGACTGGCTTGTCCTCGCTGTTGTTGAAGCCTCCTTCATCGCCGCCATCTTCCTCAAATGGGTTCGAGATTTTTGAGAATCGTTTTTTCAAGCGGTTCAACTCGAAGGTCTGACGTCCCAAGTCGCGCTTCAAATTCCAGGTACGGCGTTCGAAAGCAGCTAAGGATCTGCGCTGTGCGTAGATGACCTGCTGCAATTCGGCAGGGCCTAAGTCTACTGGGATGACCGACTCCAGTACTTTCACTGCGAAGCGTCGTTCACTGGGATCACTAGACGCAAACAAAGCTTTGCGGAGTGCGGCACGAGTGTCTTGGAAGTCTTGCTTTTGTCTGTCAAACTCCCTCTGCACAGCGTCCGTACTAGTGCCTCCTGTCGCAACTTCGTACACTGGCCTGCGCAGCAGTACGGTAGGACTCTTGTTACTCTGTGCAACGTAATCGAACCTGTTGTGTTTATTGTTGATGTAGGGGGTAGGAGGTGGAGGATGATGGACTTCTAAGTTGACGACCTTCAAGGTGGCGTTGGATTGGTAAATCAAAGAAAAAAAAAATGTTGTACCAATCCAACGCCACATCGTTCGACTGCAGAGGACCAGGGAGTAAGGAACAGACGCGGAGGTGACATATAAAAGACCGATCAGAACACAAGAACGACGAAAGCACAATACAAAAGTATGAGAAGCAAACCGAAAGGCACCAAACCAAATAGGCCAGGCCCGAGTCAAGGTCCAAACAAGCAATCGAGCAGACACGAAAGTCAACAACAAGCAAACCAACATAACGACTTCGAGTGGTCGATGAGTAGATTTCAGTACCAACGTGCACCTCGTATATGGACCCGATACAAAAAAAAAAAATGTTGTACCAATCCAACGCCACATCGTTCGACTGCATCTTCTTTCGTCGTTCACGTTCGCGCGTCTGCTCTTCCCGATCCCGGTCAGCCACTGCCTGTCTCGCCTCCTTCTCCGCCTCCAATAGCATCATGATCCGGCGTGGCAGCTTCGTGAATTCCGATATCCACTTAGCCATTTGGTCGTCGCCTCGACTGTCGGCAGCCGGTCGAGCTGCAGTAGTTTTCTTTTCTGGAGAAGATGCTTGTGGAGCAATAGCGGTCGTTGATGTATTCTTGATGTTGGATGAAGATACTACGGAGCCGACCTTTGCAACGTGCGAAGTAGCTTGTCTTACTGGAATTATGCTGTCATCCTCGCCACCAGTGGTGATTTCGATATCGGATACTCCACGAATCGCTGACATAAGGCCTGCAGATGGAGCAGCGGGTACAGCATTTGCGCCAAGCAAAGCGATACGCTGTTCCACATCGGTGTCGGTCGAATCTGATTCTGGTGCTTCTTTCGAGGCTTTTGTTGGGTCGCTGGCAGAGGTTAGAAAAAGTTACTTGGTCTTGCACATACTCCTATGATCTTTTACTTATTTTCCTAAATTGTGAAAGACGACCAGAACACCTTACTTGACGAGTAAGCCGAAGTATCTACAGCTATAGACCGAAACCACTTTGCCCATAACCTCAATTCAGCCTGCCTCTGTTTATTTGCCTTTTGACGACGCTTCTCCTCTTCCTTGATCTGTTCCTGCATTACGATATGGCGTTCTCCATTGGCCGTCGCGTCATACACGGCAAGTTTCGTAAAACCATGACGAATCTTCTCTCGAATAGCTGCCATCCTCTGTGTGTGCTTCAGACCTAATGTTTTCGCCCGCTGTTTCTCCAGCGTGAGCGCTTTGCCCAGTTCCGTTTCGGCACCAGGGGTTTTGTCGCGGATCGCAAAGAACCTCTTCGGCAACGGTCCACGCTCTTCCAGCTGTTTGGTGCGCAATGCACGCAACCTAGCTTGCTTTTCGGCCAAAAGCTGTTCGAATTCTTCGAAGGTAGTCGTCTCATGGTCAAACCCGGTTCCGCCAGCACTCTGCAGCAGCGACGTCTCGTAGATCTTCTGCTTCAAGTCGGGCAAGCGGTTGTTCATCACGATTTCTTCACGGAACGCAGATGGAATCTTTTTACCAGCACTAGGAGAGCCAGCACTAGCATCGTTGTCTCCACCTGCGGCACTGCCAGAGGGATCGCTGCTGCCACCTAACCGTGGAGACTTAAGGAGTCCTTGTTGGGAATTATTGCCTATGGATGCAGACGTCTCCGAATCTATTAGATCCTCCGAATCTGTTAGATCCTCGAAGATGGACTCGCCACGAGCACCTACAAATAAACCAGTATCTTCTTTTCGCTGTTCTGCACCTCCTAGACCTTGCTCGTCAGCAAATTTGACGACGCTTCCGCCAGCTGCACCGTTCGATGAGGACCCATTATTAGAGGTTGCGACATTACATTCTTCAGATCATCCCTGACCCTTTTCCTACTGGAAAAAAAGTCAAGGATGGTAGTGAAGAATGCAATGTGGTAACCCTTAACATTACCATTTAGAAGACGAGAAGCGCCTCCGGCGTTGTCCTGTTCTTGTTCCTGATGTAGCAGAGCCTGACGAGAAGCGCCTCCGGCGTTGTCCTGTTCCTGATGTAGCAGAGCCTGCTGTTCAGTTTCTTCATACAATGTGCCCAACACGTTGCGTCGCAACTTGCGGTCCAATCCACTGGTGTAGGCATTCGCACTAGTCGCAAGCCAATTCAGCGTCACAGCTTTGCCTCCCTTTGCCTTCGTATGCTTGAGCCAACGGTATAAGCGGTGATTTTCTCTGCGTTTGGCGTCTCGGAGTAATGCTGGCGGCGTGCCCTGTTTGAGGAAATCGTAAGCGTTGTGGACGAACTCTGAGGCAAACATAGAACGTGGATCGCCAACGGAGGAAATCGGTGCCAATGTGTGGTCCTCGCTTTGGAGAAAAGCCATGATATGTGGCGGCAACGCCGTTTCCGCAATCCCCTTTTCCAGCAAGTACATTTGTGCTCTTGTCATTGTGATCTGACGTTTTTCGTGTAGTTTAGCTTGTTTAGGTCCTGAATGCCTCTGGTGTCGCGATTTCATGCGATCACGCTTACGTCGATCGTTCATCTCCTCGTCTGTGCTCGGAGGCCGATCCATAAAACTCGGATGGCTGTGGTGCACCACAGGCCAATGCTTGAACATCTCTCGACCACGGTGTGAGGAACTCTTCCGCCATGAGCGTTTACCGCCTGAAGCATCGTTTCCGCCCGACTTTGGAGATGAGCGTTTATTTGAGGATCGTTTTGCACCACCAGCACCACCGCCAGACTTCGGAGAATCGCTGTCACTGCCCTCATCTTTGGTCGAATAGAGACCACCTGCGCCGCCCAAAATGCCATCCACGCTTTCGCCTGGAGATCCCCCGGCAGCGGCCTCGTGCTTCTTGCTCGCTTGTTTCAGCAAGTGTTCGATCTCGCTGGCGCTATCTTCGTGCTCGCTACTGCTGCTTCCAGGCTCAAATAGACGATTTTGAACCACCTCCTGCATGGTGACTGGATCCACAGCCTTATCGAGACTGGTGCCATGAATACCTGCCGATCGCTCCGCCAACGTTCTAAAGTACAGCATAGACGCTAGCTGCGCGTCGATCTGCATTCGTCGTACGTGTGCTCTGAGGTGTCTCGGCGCTTCATGGGCAATCAGATTCTCCGGGGAGTTGAACGAACCTCTTCTAGCAAGAAGTGGTGCTTTGCTATTGCCGGTCATCTTGTTATACAGGTTGATCTGGAGTGGTTGAGCTGATGGGTTTAGTACCTTGTGCTTCACCTCTATTCCTGCACGGCCATCGTCTTCTCTATTTCCATCTTCTAGTGAAGATACAACGCCCCCAGCAGCTCCCATCAGATCTTCATCCTCCTCATCTAAATTTCCTGCTTCCATCAGTGCGCGACGTTTCTCCAGCAGACCTGGACTTCTGACAGCCGCTTCTGCCGTGAAATACCCGTCTTCATCGACCAATTCGGAAGAAGCTTTGTGCCCGTTGGCAAAGGACACAAACGCCGAAGGATGGTGCTTAGCCCTCTTCTTTGCCTCTCGAAGGACGCGACGAAGTAAAGCGGATTCCATCTGAATCGTGCTCGTAGCTAAGGATGCTCTGTAGCAAGCTGGCGGAAAGGTTGCACTGGTACTAAAAACGGATAGGATAGGCGCTTTGCGATTCACGTACACAGGGGACGCTCCCTCTTGGCCTTGAATGTACCCAGCGTTGGTGTCTAACCAGGAAGAAACTCCGTCTAGCACACCTGCGGGTTTGGCAGCACCAAAGGGTAGGTACCATTGAACGAAGAGATCGCGAAACTTGAACGTAGCGCGAACCTGGGTCCCTGCCGTGTTTTGCGTCACGGAGAAGCGTGGGGAAGAGACGACCGTTAGAGCAGATGCCGATGCATGTGTTGATTCACAGCTTCAAGTTAAATCTCTATCTTCTTTGGGTTTCGAGCACCAGCTTCTTAACTCGCAACTTAAATAGTTTTCGAGTCGATGTGTGATTTATCAAAAACAACTTTCAAGAAAGATGTTCAAGCATCAAATAAAGTGAATCGATCGAGATGAAAATTCCCCTTAACACTGAGTCACCTCCGTCGACACTGCCGTTTCCGCTTGATCTGGGACTGTACAAGAATTCTGGATCGACGCCGCCATAGTTGTCCTCGCCAGGCATGTAAAAGTCTCGAGGTACCAACTCACGAGAAGCCAGATTGCCACTTCCATCGCCTAGTTTTCCAAGCCCGCCGCCTGAGGATGCACCACCAACAGTGGTTGTTCCGTCAGATCCACCACCTCGGACTACAGAAGCAGTACTATTGATTGTGATTGCGTGGTGAGTGGCAGCACCACTACTTGCGTCTGCTTTGCCCGTTGTATCTCCACTTGCGTCTGCTTTACCTGGACCAGGAGCGTCACCATCCCGCGCAGTAGGACTTGCAGCTACGCCGTTTGCTTTCCTCATCAAATTCGTGCCGAAGTTCTTCGCAGGCTTCTTTGGCGCCTCTGAGGGTAACACACCCGCAGCTCCTCCTGGCGAGCCAGCTGCTGCTGCACCCCCTGGTACTAGAGGAGCAACAAGTCCTATTTTTGAAGGAGTAGGAGCTCCAGCAAGGGCTCCGGATTTATCCAACAATCCGATACGTTTTAGACCGCCCACTTTTCCCAACTTCGTGCTCATTTGCGATGCCATCTGCCACTGTGTTGTTCCTGGTTCGACGTAACCGCACAGGAGCTGTAGATCGATCAAGCCGTTGCCTTCTCGATCTAAGGCATCGAAGAACATCTCGAAGGGCAAGCCGAACGTCTCAAATGGATCCAGACCCTCGTCATCGAAGAAGCGGCGGAGGTTCAGACCTGGTGAAGAAATGTTCTTGATCGATGGAGTGATGAAGAGTGTGTGTGTGTCAGCACACTTTTCAACAAGATCAAGAACATGACGAGTGCTAACTTCACAGAGCTACCTTGTTTTACTTGATGAACTTGAGAAGATCCCGACAATCAAAAATCCAAGCCTATGACTTTAGTAGTACGTGTAATCGTCGGCGCCTTCGTTTCCACCACCGTTTGCTTATGATCCATAGAACCTCTCACTTTCATTAGATCCTGATAGCGTAGGATTTCATCCTTCCTTGCCTCCCATGCGGCCGCTGCAGTTGGCGGATTCATCACACGGCCTAGTGGAAAACTGCTTCCAGTGAGTGCGGAGATATGCTTCTGCTTGTAACCGTAGATGGGCAATTCGCCGAGGAAGTGGTAAGAAGGACGAGCGAAGGATGTCCCTGTCGTGAGATGTAGTAATTTAAAGTCGCGGCTTACTTTCTTGTTGGGCTTGGGTGGACATGGATTTGCATTTGATATCAACGAAGAATAGATGGTTTTTACCGATCATCATGTCCGGCAAAAGCGAGAAGATAAAAGGAGGTTTCGAGGAAATTGTACCAGCATATGGCTTCATGTTTCGAATTCTCGCTCGCAATCCGCCGTAATCGTTGTGCTCATCCCCAAGATGCAGATTGATGTGTCTCGCCCACTTCATCTTCGGCTGAAAACGTTTCGAGTTCTTGATCACGAAGAACCTTCCTTGCTTCATACCTGGAAATTCTGTCTTGTTTTTCCCCGTTCCGTAGTACCTGCGCTTATTTCTCTCCAATTCTTCGGCGTTCTTGAGGACTAAGCGACCGCCCACGAACGTATAGCCCCAATTTGTGCCACTGCGTGCAGCCACGACCAAAGCCTTCGTTTCACGCCGAAGCTCGCTTACGGGCTTCCTACGCCACTCGATCAACTTCGCAGCGGCTTCATCAGGTCGAACGAAACTAGACTGCACCAGTCGAGGACTGTGGACTTCGCCGTCTAGAGTGATCGGGATGGAACGGATGTTCGTGCCGCTCACGAGATCCTTTCTTGGAACGATTCGCTGCATACAACCCTTCGAAAACATCTTCAGGCGCTCGTACGCGTTGTGCAGGGAGCCGGATGATTAGAGAACAAGGTGTTGTGCTGCAAGTGTCATAAGATTGACTCGACATCATGCTAATTCATCTTCGAGAGCTAGGTAGAGTGCGATGAAAAATGTTCTCTTTTTTACCTTTGAGGAGTGGGTAACGTGTTACGCATTCATACATCTCAAGAAACAGAAAGGTGAGTTGAACATACATGAACTAGATCCGATGGTTCATAATATTTGCTTGCAAGGCAGATTCGAATTGCCTCTTCGATAGTGAGTTTGCAGAATTGTTGAGCAGTGTAGGGCGCTTGCAGTTTCTTCAGGACTTGGACGCGGAATTGCTTCACCTCATTGCTGATGGCGCGCTGGAGGTTAGAAGAAGGATGGAGAAGAGGGAGTCAATACTTAAGTGTTCTTGAAGGAGAAGATCAAATAAGTACTTGAATGAACTCAATGCGCAAGTTGTCTAGCAACTACATTGTTCGCAAAAACTAGCGTCAACCGAAAAACAACATCGTTACTCTCTCCATAATAGAAACCGACGATGTTGATTTCCCTTTCGTTCCGAAGCTGATATGTTTGCTCTGGTGACGGAAGGAGCTGATATAGTTCGCTGCTGCCTTCTTTCCACCAGCCTTGCGATCTGCCGCCACAATGGCTAGCTGGGCCTCACTCATCCCGCTCTTGTTCACTCGCACCACCTTGACATTTCCTTTGGCCTTTTCCCGGATGGATTTTACTTCACTGTCACTTGTGAAGCGCCAGCGAGCTAGACTTCGGTCCGGTTGGTGATTATTTTGGCGCTTTTTCTTCTTTTTATCGCGCATCTTCATCTGCGTAAAGATGTCCATAGGCAGGTCAATATCGTCTTCCTCTTTCTTTCTTGAACGTAGTTGTTCAGAAGCAGTTGTTGCATCTTTACCTTGTTCGCCTTGAGCATCAAGATCATCTCCGTCACCTTTGCCACCACCTTGGATCTGTAGAACGCCTTCCCGATGTCTTCGTCGACGACTGTGCTTGCGACGTCGACTTGTTCGGCGTCTCTTAGACGCGGATTTCTTCTTTTTAGACGTCTTTGACGCTTCCGCTTTCACATCTGCGCGTAGGGCTGCTTGTGCTAGATCATCCAAGACGAGAGAACCGCGTCTGCCTTGACGTCCCGTCGTAAGCTCCTCAGACGACACTTCTGAGGGAGATGACGATGCTGCACTCGATGATCCAGAGCAGCTCCCATCGGGAGAAGAGATGTCATTCGAGGACACGACAGAACCTTCTTCTCCCGACATCGATTCATAGGATGATGATTCAGATCCGCTTCTGTAGGAACCTCCATTCGACGACCCAGATTCGCAGCTATCTTCTTCTTCCGCCACAGAGGTCGTTGATGCGTCCCCATCTTCGTCTGCGCTTGATGAGCCTTGTTGTTCCTCGTCCACGGTATTGTTCTCATCTCCTCCATCCGAAGGTGATGAGAAGTTGTGGGAATTTTCACGCATGTCTTCACCCAGAGGACCACCCTGAGGAAGGGAGAGATCAACAGGTTTTTGCTCGTCATCGGTCGGGGGCTTTGTTACGGTGATGATGATTCCGTCAGAGGATTCGAGTAGAGGCTGAGGTTGAGTTGCAGTTCTTGTCTCCTCAGTTTTTTCCGAAGACACAACTTGCTCTTCGGTAGTTTCTTCTTGTTCTGAAGGTTGTGTCGGTACTGCATCGCTTTCGCTAGCCTTATTCTCTCCTTCTCCTTGATCTTCGGTCTTGGAGCTTTTCTTGCTTCCGTTTTTCCTCGTCTCGTCTTTCTTGGATCGTATTTTCTTCGGCTTCTGTTCGGCTTCGGCTGCACCCTCAGCATCACGTCGCCTCTTACTTCGACTTCGCCTCCTTCTGTCTTTGACCGTAGTAGATCTGCCTCTACGTCGTGGTTCCCCCTCGTCTCCCGCATACTCTTGCTCGTCGTGAACAGCCGATGATCTCCTCCTCCGCTTCTTCTTCATACCCTTCTTCTCCTTCCTCGTTCTCATAGTGACCTGACGCTCGTCCAAACTGCTACTCCGACCGTCGACGCTGTGCACGGACTCTGCCGCTGCCGAGGAGGACGAGCCCATGAGGAAGTTCGCGACGCCGACATCGGATGGAATGGCTGCCATCTTCTCAATAAAGTCGGCTTCATCCTGACATTCCGGATACAGCTGTTTTTTCAGGTAGAACCTACTCACAGATTCACACAGGGACAAATCACTCACAGCTTCCACGTACAGGTAATTCTGCAAGTAGTCAGCAGCAAAGTTCTGCGCTTGGAATCGATGTGCTTCCTGGTTGGACATGGACTGTCGCAGCAATTCGACGAAGAACGCGTCTGCGCGGGCACGGCGCTCGACGGTAGCCGGACGGTCGCCAACAAGCTGCTGAACCTGCACAGCCCTAGTGAGATCCTCTTGATTAGCGTCTGCACTTCCTGCAGCATCAAGCAGACGTCCAGAAGCTTTGTTGTGCGTTGTCTTCAGAGCGTTCGGGCCGTCGTTCCTTTTCGTCCAAGAGCTCGTCGAGGTATCATTACTTGTTGCCTGCTCTTCATTCGCACTGTTGGGAGGTTGCAATCCGCTTAACAAGAGTCGATGTTGCTGTGGCATCCCTGTGCTCCCTACGTGGTGGGTCAGATCCTGCATACTCGGTCTAGACTTCTTTGAAGAAGGACTAATTATACCTTCTGACGCAAACGCCGCATCCATGGCTTTTTCCTCTTCCTTCAACTGACGCAGTCGCAAAGCCGTTTCGCGCTCCAATGACGTGAGCAGTAATGGCGCATTCAAACTCGGATCCGCCACTTGCACAATCATGCCATCACTGTTGACCTCCAGGCCGAGTTTCTTCATCAAATACGGTGGTAGTCTGCTCCGCTTCTCGCCCGTTTTGGGGTCAACTAATGTCATCAGATCTTCCTGTTTCATTTCGGCACTGCCCAGCTTGTTGCTTGCTTCGACCAAGTTGACCTCCTGAGGCAAAATTCCACTGGGCGCTAATTTCGGGAATATCCGTCTTCCTCTCGCGTCCCAGGACATCAAGTCGGAGTCTCGGATTTTCCGAGCATCACCAGTTTTCGTCCACATGAAGCCCAAGCGCTCCATTTCCTGCTTGCCTTTCTTCTCCTGCGCTACGCGACGTCTGTGTTTCTCGCCTTCTGCCTTCATGGCTCCTAGATTTCCACTACCTGGCCAATGCTATGAAGGGAAAAAGAAGTGATATACTCAAATAGTACTCAGAAAGAGAAAGTTAAAGTTGATCATAGCTACTTGTTTTCTCCTTACTACAAATACAATCTTCTAACTAGTTGTAATTTTGATAATTTTCTTGTGAGGATCATGTTCATGAGTCCACTAAATCATCCTGTCATAAATGAATCACAGGATTCATGATGTCATCATCCTCCATCTCCTCGAGTTCTTTCCTGACAGCCGCAGTCGTATTCATGTCACTGTGCTCTGTTAAACTACGCACTTGCAGGTCGTAGGTCGGCGTCAGCAACGAACGTCCTTCAGGAAATTGCAGGATATGCAGCATCGTCTCCGGTGTCCTGTCAGCGAAGTTGCGAGCAGTGAGACCACGACTTTCGATGTTTTTCACGTTGTTCTTTTCCATCTGAGCAGCATATTCTTCATGCTTCAGCTGTTTCCGCAGCTGGATAATCTTCGCCTCACGTTCCGTATGGGGTAACAGATCTAGATTGCGTCGTTTTGCCGGTGGCAAAAGCAAGATCAGGTCTTCATCCGGGGATCCGCTGTTGATACTTCCCAGCTTTTTCTCCCGCTCTTCCTTGAGCTTCTGTGCGGCTTCCAAGTCCGCTTCCGTCGGTGCGTTCGACACGGCTTTAGTCGCCAAAGCTGCGCCAGCAACCTGCGAACTCTGGATGATCTCATTGACGATCCTCTCCATTTCCTTCGAGTCTTGCAAAATCGGACTTTTCGGATCCACGTGTAAGTGGTGATGGACATGCAACACCTCTTCTTCGCGTTTCATAGGATTCAGATTCGCTGACTTCGCCAAGATCTGCTCTTGCTCGTATCGCTTGATTGGTATGAAAAACGAGGGAGAGACGAACATTCAAAATATTTAAGAAAGTGGAGGCCGGCGATGTCATGTGAATGTGTTGGGTAGGAGTAGGACTACTGGGGCTATTTCAAATGCCACTTTTACTGAAATTTTTCTGAGGTGAGAGAGTACTTATTTTCAAACCATAATTGGGTACTCAGGTCTATTCAAGCGAGTGATGTCCACATGTGGGTCAGGCATTCCTGACGGCGCGCCTTTCAATGGTGTAACCTCTGTGTACATGTCACGGTCTGGGCCAATGGTTGTGGTTGCTTGCATACTTGTGTCATCGACCAGCATAGCCCCCTCTCCGGATAGAGGACCAAAACCAAGATCATTGTGATCAGGCTCAGGTGAAGGAAGTCCCAGCTCCATCAAACCAGAGTTTTCGTTTTCGTTTTGATGCATGTTGACAATATCTACAACTTCATCTTCTTCCTCATTGTCGAAGATGACGGCGCTCGCAGAGACTGAAACGACTCTTCCTAGCAAGTTGTAACGGGATCTCTTTCGTCTACGGGGTGAAACCGATGTCGTAGAAGTGTGGGTTTGCTGTCCTGTGACAGCGGACGCTGGAGACCCATGTCCATTCGTGAAGTCCACACTTCTGCGCTTCTTGTTTGCGCCGCCTGCTCCTCCGGTAACAAGGATTCCGCCAGTTTGCCTCATGCCTAATGCTTAGAGTTCACGCAACAAGGAATTGAATTATCTTCGTTCTCATTTCCGAATATACAGACAAGCATTTTTGGCTTTCATAATACTCAAAGCGAAAACTAAAAACTACTTATTCCGTATCCATAAAAAGTATGCTCCATGATCTCGCCGTGTTCTTCACCCCACTGTCGTCTCAGACGTTCTTGTCGCAGCAAGTGTGGAAAGGAGCTTTCGCCTATGGACCTACTGATATCGATCCTCCTTAGCAAGTCCAGTCGGTCTAGGTCGATTTCCGGACCCACATCGGAACTCTCAGCAATTGGTACAGGCTCCTTCTCTCGCGATTCTGCTTTCTTCTCTCCTGAAGAAGAGCTCTTATTTCGCTTGCTCCCGGTCGGCGCGTGTCCCTTGAACGGTTGAAAAAATGGCAAGTTCGTCAACGTGTTGCAAAGGTCACCACCAGGAACAGATCGACGAGCATAGTCACGCCACAGGACGTACTCCTCCAAAGCATCCAATTCCGCTTGCATATCTGCGATGTTCCCGTCTACGTTCACGAGAACTTCCAGCTTTTTCTGCGTTTCCTCTGCTTGCTTTTTCTCCTCCTCTTTCTCCTCCTCTTTGCGCTCTTCTTCCTGAATTCGGTGGTGGATGGAATTGACTACATTCGATCATGCTGTAAAAGAATTTGAATTTCGTTCTACAACTTCTACTTGTTCTTCTAGAAGCTCGTCTAAGTATAAGTAATTTATTAAGAATCTCCAGTTCGTTGTAAGGAATTAGAAAAATGCGTAAGTACCTTCTTCATCTCTTCAATCTGTCTCGTTTTCTCCTCCTCTACTTTGCGTATCTCCACCTCTATGAGGGCTTGACGTGCTTCCTCTTCTTCCTGCCTCTGCTTCTCCTCTTCGATCTGCGCCAATAACTCCTTATCAGGCTGTCGCATTGCGAAGAAGGGCATCCGATAATCTGGTGAATCCTCGTCTTCCTCGTCACCCGCCACAGCAGGTCTGATGCTCGAGGAACCACCGGAGACGAGGGATCCAGACACACCAAGATTATTCGGTCCGCCGGTTGCATCCGCTCCGAAGCCTCCAGTCAGTGTTGTGTTCTGAGAAGCCACTTGGGACATCGTCGCGACGGAAGGCGTGCCACTGGTGCTGCCGGCACCCTGCTGCTCGGGGAATGAAGAAAAGAGAGGAGGGAGAGGTGGAGACTTCTAAGTAATGGAGGTGGCACAGAAGTTGTGGAGAAGTTACTATTTTCATGACGAGATGATGGAGATCGAACTCGAAATACCATGTCTAGTACTACGAGAGGACGAGAGAAAGACCATATCATTGCTAGAAATTGAAAGTAGGAGAAATAGCAGTATGACGAAAATTGGAAGCATCACAACATCGACACCGACGACATAGGCAAGACCATGACACCAATCTAGTCTAATTGATTATCTCGAACCGGATAAGAAAGTGTAACGTGTTTCCGAGTGTAGTAGTTGTCGTAGTTGTAGCAAAATGTGGACGAAAGTCATAATTTCCTCCTTTGTTCCACCAATGCTTTGATTCTCTCCTTTTCCGCCACTGAACCGATACCGTAGCCCAACACCTTCTGCGATGTCTCCATGGCTACTGCTGCACTCACACTCGCCACGAAGTCTTCCACTGAAGAAGCCGCTCCACTATCCTGTTGGATGCTACCAGTATCAACGTCTGAAGTTCGATCCTGCTCTTCGACTATCGCTTTGAGGGCTAAGAGCGAGACTTTCTCAGAAGATGGGTCGTCGAGACCTGCGAAAACAGCACCTGGAGGGGGGTTCTTGGTTGGACATCGAGGAAAATTTTCATCTTCTCACGGAGAATGAGAAATATGGATTTCGATTTCATACATTTTTTTACTACTTCCAAGAGATTATGATCCAAAAACGACTACAAGAACATCCAAGTACTTCTACGTTGTGACAATCTTCCTATCGTTACCGCTTGCAGCTGTACCTGTAGCACCACTAGTGACTGCACCCTTTCCACCCTCTTCAGTTGACGCGTTGAGTGCAGCTGCGGTATGCTCATTTGATCTGCTACGAACCCTAGCAAGCTCTTCCCCGGTCAGCATTGGCACTGCCTGTTGTGGTCCACCGAGAGCTTCACTCGCTGCGTTAGGCTGACCTCCCGACGCAGATTGACCGGAGATCGAACCCAAGGTTTTCATATCTGTAGCTGTTGAGCCCAGCGATGACATTCTGAAGTTGGATTTGGACGACTGCAGTGACTCTTGAGGAGTCGCACTGAATTGCAGAGTAGTGGCTTCGTCATATTGGGCTAGCATCTCTTGGGTTCGCGCAATGCGAGCACGTTCTTGGAACTTGAGACTCTCCTCACTGGCTTTTCGGGCTCGAGAACTGGTAGTATAGTACTCTACTGCGGCAGCAGCACTTGGGTTTTCTCGCTTTTTCTTCTTCTTCGACTTCTTTTCGGTTCTTGATCGAGACGATGGTGCACTGTTTGTAGTTTCTTGGTGAATGAAGTTGAAAGAGTCGACTTCCGGTGCATGTAGTGGAGGTTGCTCTCCTATTCCAACTGCTACTGCTTCGGTTGCTGCACTTGCAGCTTCTTTCCCAGAAACATCAGTACCTAGTGCTTCAGATGCTGGTTGTTCCTGTCCTTCTGGTTGTCCTAGAGTTGCTGTATTCACCTCAAGGCCAGGCTCTACAACTAGTGGTGCTTCTGCAGCGGCTACCACGTTAGCACTTTGCTGTGATGAAGGCTCTGGTGCTAGCAGTAGTACCCCTGGTTCTACAGCTACTTCACCAAGAACTTTTGGGGGCTGCTCGACCTCATCTTCCTGTACTAGTACTGGCTTCTTTGCTGGACCTGGATGTTGTAGTGGTGGCAGAGGTCCTGCTCTAGCTGGTGGCATCTCAGAAGAAGTAGGCCCTTGTTGTCCAAGATCATGCAGCACTTGATGATGATGCACTACTGTCTTTTTTCCTCCGGCAGCACTAGTCATGGTTGTCTCAGTTGTAGTTGTTGTGCTCGTAGCTCCTAGTGCGGGTGCACCACCAGGAGGGTGAAGAAGTTCTTGTTCCTGTTGTTGGTCTACTAGACAACTAAGAGCATCAGATGAAGTCCTCTTCATCGGCGACAACGAGGAGAGACTCGCACCATCCAATGCCTCCAATTGGTCCAATTCCGGTCGTCGCTTGTGCAACGAATAGTGATGGTGGTACACGTGATGATGGACGACTACTGTAGCTTTTCTAGATGGGGAGACAGAATAACTATGATTAGACCCTGTTGTTCCATGTGCTGCATCCTTTTCCGCTTGTGCTTCTTGGAACTTTCGCAGACCTCGTTCCCGCAACTGAGTCGGCGACGGCATTCTTCGAGTTCTGGCCTGGCCAAAGGAATGCATGCGGTAAGGGGCTGCGACTGCACAGTTCTGCTTCCCCCGACGACCGGGAACAAGCGAAAGACCGTTCATCTTGTCTGACTCTGTTACACTTACAAGTGCGGTAGAAAGTGGTAACAAGAGGGGACTTCCCAACGGGTCTGCTGCTGCAAGATCGAATGGCGTCAGTCGGATTCGCCGTCGACCACCTGCTCAGAGAAAATGAAAAGAGACAACACCAATTGAAGAAAGACAAAGATGTTGATGTTAGCACAAACGAGTAGATGGTAGAAAAACGACGTCAAAAATCAGCCATGTGGATCACGATAAAGTGTGAATGAAGAGATTCTAAGAAAACTCAATCCTGAAAAATTGACAACAACATGATCCAAAAAGATCTTTTTCTTCTTGGGGGGAATGCATGGGAAAAATGTGTCATCCGATAGGGCCTGTAAAATTCAATGCATGTTGCAAGGATTAGTTGATTTATCATGACATTCTTGATGGATAAAAGACTGCTTTCTTAAATTTTGCGTCTACTTATTTAATACATGGCAAGTCTTCATCAGCGTCACATCTTCTGTCTGTTACATATTACTTTTTAGAGTTAGATGTTGACGTTCAGTCATGGTCCTAAAAGTACACCAATAACGTTCATCCTCGCCTCTCTGAAGGACATCCATCTGCGACTGTGACTGACAGAGGGGTGTCGCTTGCTGACATTCTTCTAGATGGATGCCCCCGTCTTTATAGTCCTTGTTCACACTCCAACAAACCACGACATCACTCAACAACTCTTGTTCTCACATACTAGAATGCTCTACAACTTCTGTGGACTAATATTATAACGGATTGGAGCTGCAGCACAAGAATAGCACGGACAGATATTTTTATACAATCTGCAGCTCGCGAAAGATATACTCAGCTAGTAAATCACACGACCCTCTCCTCTCTATCATAACTCTCAATCATCATGAAGCAAGTAAGCAATAAACGTGTTCAGTCTTGACTACCTATCTAGATGCAACAGAAGACCACGACTGTGGTCGTGGACAACAAACGGCAAAAATTGCGTTCTTGACACATCATTCTTGATCACCGTAGATTATTAATATGCGAAGGCACGATCGGTTTCGGTGGATGCCGAGCTATCGCTTCCTGCGACACCAAAGAAATTTTTCTTCAAGGGGATTGGATGACATCCTTCAAGAGGTTTCTTGATTGGGGTGCTTGTCCCTGTTATCAGCAGGGAACTCCATATTCATAGCAGTTTTTCCAACAAGTAGAAAGAAATTAGTTGGCTTGTGATATATGTTGTAGGGCTTCTACTTTACAAAATGACTTTCATCTTCCCACGAGGGAACTACTGCATCAAGGAGGTTTTTAACTCCCGCAAAAAGTATCTTCAACATCTTCCTTCGGGTTCTTCGGTTTATCAAGAGAGCGACGATGACGAGCAAAGCTTCTCTCTAGTAAGGTATAATTGAACTCCTTATCTTGGAATGGATGTATCTCCGCGCCTGTCGTTTCATGGACACAGTTGCAGATAATACCAATGAGGGGAACCAGTTATCCAAAAAATTCAACTCTACTCTGCGATTTCTGTAAGGAAAAAGCTCCTATTGTTCCTGAAACATTACAGCTCTGAAGGACCAGAACTACGAGCAAGAAGGTTCTTTCTTGACGATCTGTGAGAAGATCATTTTTTGAAAAAAACTAACAACACCTACAAAAAAAATAGTTTGTCCTCCTCGTTATCTCCGGTGATGAATCGAAACCATTCAAACGATCATATTAGTACTTTCTTCGAATTTGTGTCTTAAATACCTACTTAGTTGTATAAACTCAGGCACTTTAGCCTAGTACGAAAATGAGTTCAACCTCCAGTTTCAGCTATCAAACAAATCATCATTGAAGAGCTGGTCAACTTTGAACGCGTCTCCAATGGACGCACTCGGCAACTGCTGTGGCGGAGGCGCGGGAGCATCGACTGCTGCGGGTGCTGCGGATGGAGCACCAGCCACACCCGCGGTCGGTGCTGGTGCAACCCCTGTTGACATGAGTGGCGGCGGCTCGACGGCTGCGGTCTCCGGGATCATCGCTGAAGGGACTAGTACTGCATCCGGAACGACATCCGAAAACGTGGCTGCATTGGGGTCCGGAACCATGTCGAACGATCCAGCAGTTGACGTCTCGCCGGAACTACTACTCGATGATGAGATCGGACCCTCAGAAGCAAAAGGCGGATTATTCAGGTCAACAACATGTTGTTGTTGAAAAGTAGGTTGGGTAGGTGGAGCAGGTGCCGAACTAGAAAAAGGGGGTGCAGGAGTACTATCATCCGCGAATAGACTCGTTCCCGCGACACCAGCTGCGGCCATGGCCATTGCTTCACTGGCTGAAGGTATGACCGGCTTCGCTGATGCAGCGGCTGCCATCGCCTCGCTTGCAGACACTCCACCCAGTGCTGCTACGCCTGGAGCTGCTACGGGTGTGTTATCTGATGCTGGGGTTGCTAGATGTTGTGCTGCACTTGCTGGATGATCATCGGAAAAAGGTACGGCAACAGGAATACTAGTGGTAACAGGTTGTGTAGAACCACCTCCAATTGTTGTAAGAGCTGCTCCTGTCGCATTGTTCATGTTCGTAGGCGTGATGTTCAAATCCGCACCAGCTCCAGTGCCTAGTTGCGACAACTCGCTGTCTAGTTGAGTCAGATATTGGCCTAGCTGGGCAATCGCGCGTCGAAGGTTCTGTCGGTGGTCGATTTCGCTCTCTAGCAACTGCGAAATTCCCGTCACCTTCGTCTCGAGCATATTCCCACGTCCGGAGAGTTCCTTGCCAGCTCGCATAAGGTTCGACAATGCTTGGTGTCGCTGCATAATCTCGGTTTGCGCTCGGATCGTTAGAGCTATAACAGGACTTCGCTGGTGTGGGTCAACAGAGAAGTGTAGAGCCAGCTGCTACAGCTTCTAGCTTATCTTTCGAAAAACTGAAATAACCGAGTAACTTACTATTAAATTGTGGCGAAGCCGACCTAACTAGAAAAAAGACAGACCAGAGGAAGATATAGAAGAGAAAAGGATCAACTTACTATTAAAAATATGGGAGATACTGAAAGAAGAGGAATGTAGTCAAGACTCTCTTATTTCAGTCGGTAGCTCGCTTATTTTGAGTTTTCGAAACATCAATACATCAACACATGTTGAAAAATGCATGAGGGAACTTTATCAAGTCATCTTCATCTTCATCCATAACCTGACATCTTCTGCCATCCCTGCTTCGTCTCGCTGAACTTGCTTCAGACCCTCATCCCGTACTGATCGAGCCGACTGAAATAGGTGTCGCTCCGATTCAAAATCGACTTTGACTTCTGCAAGACGTTGAGCTAGCGAAGACTTTTTACTCTCTAGCGAGAGCAATGCTGCGTCATTGTCCGCCACTTGCCGGTCGAGCCTGGATTCAGTGGTGAGCGTGAGGGCGGGTTTGCAGAAAAACTTGGAATTTCTATAACCTCCTGGCTGTGGCTCTTCTGTAGTCTATAAATCAAACTAACATCCATCTTCAAGTTCAAGTTCTTGAATTCCAGAATCCATCTGCAGCGAGCAGCATCAACAAATAGTACATAGAAGACACGTAATTGATGTACATTGCAATTTCTTCTTGGAGTTTTGTGGGATCGAAGTTTCCCACTTGTTGTAAGTGCTGCGTCAGAGCCTGCTCTTGCTGTTTCCAATGGGCATGCTCAACTTTCACTTGCTGCGCGCTGCCCTGTGCTGCAACAGCGAGGCCCGGTGCGGTCAGGTACGGCGCTGAAAGTGTTGAAAGGTGGAAGAAATCAAGTACGTACTTAGTCCAATGATCTTCGGTAATATCGAGAAGTTCACAATATTCGGATTTCGTAAATGCGTTTTTCAGGAAACCATATGACAGAAAAAAGACTACTCCTACTCAAAAATCAAAACCTCGCGAGTGCTCACCCTGAGCCACCTGAGCGGACCGGCGTACCTGATGGAGGGTCTGCAGCCTCGGACAGCGGTGGGTAAGTGCAGTGTCTTAAACTAGCTAGTTAAAATAGGACTAGATTGACAGGCCCAAGCACCCTCCTCTTCCCCGAGGCTCATCCCCACTTGCCCCCAAGTGAGACTGAGCCCTCCTACCCGCGCGCCGCTGGCTTTCGACGCCTGAAATCGCCGCTCCTGGATGACGTTTTTGCATATTCCAAGCTCCGGCACCACCTGGTGCCGGAGCTTGGCAGAGGTCAAAAACGTCATCCAGACACGATTTTGCCGCGTCTTCTGCTGATCGCCCCTGCACTTGCCGCCCCCGCCACCTCCCCCTAACCTCCAAACCCTAAGTCCTTCCCCCATCCTCCTGTTTTGGGCCTGTCAGAATATCTAATCTTTAACTAGCTAGTTTAAGACACTGCACTTACCTGCTGCGGTCCACAGCTAGGACCCTTCGACAGTTCGATCCAGCGTCCAGACGGTGCCCAAAGTTGGCGTGAGCGAGGTTGCGAATATTGAGTAGGAGTAGTCTTTTTTCTGCCATAAACCAACAAGGCATTCTAGTAAAAAAGGATCAAGTAGTACTGATGTCGAACTGATCGCCTTGTTGGACTTTCATATGGACCATCGCAAGTGTTTTCTGTCGTTCCTGCACCTGCTCTAAGCGCTGCCGAATTTGCGTCGCTTGCTCTTGATTCTGATAAAGATTTATTTGGCTCTAGGACGATGGTCATCATGGTTGGTGCAAAAGATATTCCAATTAACATCAATGGACATCAATGAATCCTGCAGTAGTAAGTTGTAAATGATCATCAAGAAGAAGAAGTTTGGTGGGAAACGGTGATTCAGCTGCTTATTTATCCACTACTTCTAGTGATCGAAGGCTTTCTCCTCCTGTACACTTATTCTTCTCGTTCTCAGACGAGACTGAAACAACAGTAAACAAAGTACAAGTAGTAAGTACATTAGCTCCCAAAGCCTGTCTCTTTTGTTGAAGCATTGCACGAGCATTTTCTACGAGACGCTTTTTCTGCTCTGCTTCGGAATTCACTTGTTGCAGACCCTTCTCCAGTTCAGTGAGCTCTTTCTGCTTCGTCGTTAAGGTCTGCGTTAACGACTGCAGTTTGCCATCCTTTTCTTGGAATTCTTTTCTGTGCGCGCCAGCCTGAGAGGACGAGGAGATTGGAGGACGATGGAGTTGATCATGTGTTGAGAAGTAGACCAAGAAGACCTTCTAAAAAATGCAAATGCAATCGAAAATAAGCTGCAACGGGGTAAACGTAAAGGTAAACGTAAATGCTATCGTCGAACAATAAAAGAGTAAGTGTAAGAGATTGATAAGATATACAGGCGCTACCTGTCCATGCGTGACTTCCAATGTCGAGAGGCGGTTGATATAGTTTGCTCGCTCTGCTTCACTGAAGGTTCTCGTCGTCAATTCCTGCTGACAATTTTCCGCGATCCGCATTAAATCCGAAGCGTATTCATCGTTCTGTTGCACGCTGCTCTTCAATTCCTGCTGTATCGCTAAATATGCCGTGAAGGTCTTCTCGAAGCCTTGCATGTGCTCGCTGCCTTGTGGCAGTTGCGGGAAGCAAGAAGAGACCTTCTCCGCCTGCCAACTGGTGTTCACCTTCATCTTCCCAACGTCAGCAGCCGTGCCCGCCAACGACACTGCCAAAGGATCCAAAATAGCTTTTTCCAAGGAGGCCTCGAACGCTGGCAGTCCGTCTAGCGAAGCCCCAAAGTCGTAGGAGCTGTTGCCGTCGCGGAGCAGCAGCTCGGCGGCGTGATAACGACACGGATGATCGGGCACTTCTAAAATCCTAGTCAAACTAGTCAGGATCTGCTGCAAGTGCTTCATCGACAGATTGGCTTTCTTCAGAAGCCAGATGCCGTACTTCGCAAACCTGGGGTCAATTAGCAGCACAGAAACCCGTTGCATGCTGCTCTGGTGCATGCACAAAGCGGCAGTCAGCTTTGCAAGGTTCGGGTCCTGCTCCTGGGCTCCTTCTGTCGCTTGAGCCCAAACTTCTTCCATCTTCAGCATCAATTCCTGGCCTCTTCCTGCTTCGCAAGCGCCAGTGATGATGCCGACTCCACTCACTATACAAGCGAGAAGCTGCGTATTGCGATCTGAAGGAGGTCGGTGATAGACGGTGATCATAGCGAGAAGTAGATCATAGGGATAACCTGAAGCTAAAATTCAGCTTCGCGACCTACTTCATGCAGATGCATCTATGTTGGTCCTCCCTTGTCAGTGTATCTAAATAGTACCTCGACTGCTAAACAATGCGACAAGCAGCGACAATCCTTGTTCCGAAAACAGGAACTCCCTCATGTCCGTTTCAAGCGCGAACCAGATCAACTTCGCGAGCAATTCGTGCACCACCACTGGTCTAGCCGCAGACAGCAACTCCAGCAGAACGTCTCTACTCTCCATCAGCGTTCCCGTAATCGTTCCCGGAAACTTATCCCCACTAGTCAGCAAAATTGCACTCAGCAGACCTCGAATGGGTCCAAAATTATCCGCAATGTCCAAAGCACGCAAGACGCGGTGTAGAAAACCGGGTTTGGCGGAAAGTAGGTCCACGACGTCCATCTTGCCAACCTTGATGGCCCCAGTGAGCAATTGCGCAGCTTGAGCCACGCAATCCGGAGTGGCGGAGAGAATGTGGTCGGTACCTGGGTATTTTAAACTTTAACTTTGGGCTTCTTTGGTAACATAAAAGGAACAACCATTAGTTCTTTGCTTATATATTTTATCATTAGTTCTTTCTCTTTGCTTATGGTAACATAAGTAAAAGAGGTCGTTACGGAGGTCTCTTATGGTGATGAAGCAAGAACTACAAGTGCTAGAGGTAGAGTACAAATGCCAACGACGTCCTTGTGTGCTAGACGGTACAAATCCGCTTGGTATTTCTCATCCGTGACGAGTTTCGGCAGTGTCTTGAATAGGTTACCTCGAATGAACTCCGGACCCAACACAAAACGGCAAACGCTCAAGCCAGCATTCTCGAAGTTCAAGAATTTCCAGATAAAAAGCTGCTTTTCCAAGCGGATGACTTCCGAAGTCAAGCAGTACTGGAGGAAAATGGACAATTTTGCTTTGCGGTCTTCCACGACCACAGGATCGGTAGAGTCTAGACCCTTTTGCGGCAAGACTGGAAGGTTCAAATCCAACGGGGCTAAATGGGAGTGCAGCACGAAAAAATCGTTGAACCTGATCATCATCATTGTCGTGATGAATCAATGTGGAATTTGTCGGGAGATTGGGTGGAGAGGGTGTTGTACGAAGAGACAGATTATGCCGTCCTGATGTGTGTCTCCATCTCTGATCATGTGAATTCTTAGCAAACTACTGGAGTGAAAAGGCCTTTCATCGATAGAAGATACCTATGATGCACTTCCCGATTCCTGCCGAAGTCGTGGACTTCAATGACGTAGTCCGTGTATTCCTGCAACAGAAAGCTCAGCTTCGTTTCCGTCTTTGTTATGCGTACCCACAGTGGTTGTGATTCATCCACCGTTACAGCTGGGGGTTGACCGTTTGGTATTGCTTGATACAGACTTGTGTTGCCTGCGGCTGGAGCGCCTAGACCACCTCCTGGGGCACCACCGAAGCCAGGATTCATGTTGTTATTCATTAGAGGTAGGTTTTTGCTGTTCGTTTCTCCCGTTTGTTATGGCCGTCGGTCCTCCTTAGGAGAGCCATAACAAACGGGAACAAAAGCACCTTTAACCTACCCTTAAATTCATCATCGCACCTGCGAGGGACATGTTACTGTGTTGATGCAGTTGTTGTCCTGCAGATGAAGACGCAGAGGCTGGTATTCCGAGCATACTATCTACGACGCTACTTGCTGCCGCAGCGACTGCTCCACTCCTTGCCGTTGACTGCATCAACTTCTGCGTAGCACCAACTAAACTGCCCGTCAACGCTCCTGCACGCTCCGCAACCGCTAACGCTGTACTGCTTCCGCTAGGCATCGCTACCATCCCTGGTGTACTGTGAAGACTACTTGATGTAGGGTAACCTCCTGAACCTGGAGGAAACCCACCTGGTCCAGCAGGAGTCCCTCCAAAAGAGTTGTTACTAGCACCACTATTCATCATGTTGTATTGTTGATGCTGTGGAGCGTATGATCCTGGTGCCGGCGGTATGCTCGGAAGCGCGCCAGTCATATTACTATGCGACAGTGTAGATGTACTAAGTTGTCCTGGTGTTGACAGCATTGACGAAGACGCCGCAAAGCCTCCTAAACTACTAGACGCGGGTCCCCCAGTGAGCGGATTCATGCCAGGCATCATGCCCCGCCCACCTCCTCCTGTTAAAGGATTCACCGACGCTGCCGTCGAAGTAGGAACACAACTGACAGTTGCTCCCGTCAGGGGATTCGTCGCCGCCTGCTGTCCGAGCTGACTCGCAGGCACCAACGAAGGAATACCAATGTCGTCGAGGTCCATTTTTTTGAGTTTATTTTGAGTTAAGTACACCAGCGACACCAAAAGTTCTTCTCCTAATGATTTATATACTACATTCAACACGTCGTCCTAGTTGTAGTAGTGAAGTTATTTTCGTATTGATTGATCATAGGGTGAAGCTGGCTGGCTTTCTCACTGCTCGTCACCTCCTCCAGGGGCAATCATGATAATATGTAAGAAGTACTAGAGATACAACTAGTGGTACGTCACTCGCTACCTAACAAAGTGAAATGTTGCAAGTTCGAGTGTTGTGGACAGAATCGTTGCTCTCGCTTCCTTCTCGCACGCCTTTTTGCAGAATCAAGTACTTTTTCCATTCCATTCTTGAGTCTATCATTGGCTAGCATATTGTACTACTCCTAACCGTCATGCCATCAATCCATTCCATCTATGAGTAATGACCAGGAATGGTCGTTCTTCTTCTTCATTCAGGGTACGGTGAAAGTATGTTTTTTTACAGGGGGTATAAGGCGAGGCGACAGGAGATCAAGTGCCAAAGCCTGTAACAAAATGGAGGTGCTTACATTGTAGTTGTTGATCCTCTGTGTGTCGTCCTACAATCAACGTGCTCTTAAAAAAGTGGTGCTTTTCATCAACGTTGATCAAGTATAACCTGGATTGCTCCTACTTGGGTAGTTTTTTGGGTGTGGGGAAAGTGGCTGCTGACTGCCGGGGACGCAACAACGCCAGTTCTCACTGTGTCTACTAGCATTCTTCGCTTCACAGCTTTTTTAGTCCTTCTTCAATTCGAATCGCTGTTGTCGGACTCCAAGCTTATCGATCGTGAAAATGTCGCAAGCGTCACCCGTGTAGATATCACGCTCGCCCGTCGATGTCATCACGTCGCGACCTGGTGAAGATGGGATTGGGGTGAGGTTGGACGAGAAATTGACGAATACGAAACGATCAACATCATCTTCATTCAAAAAGATTTACATGAAGAGCTGCTAGATTATATTAGCTGCTAGATTAGATAGGCATACAATCGAGCGATTCAAAAATGACAGTTGTACAGAGATCCACAACATCATTCAGCTTAAGCGGGTCTTTTCGCTTGAACTGCTCCACGTAGTTTCCCTGCTGCAGAACTGCGTCAATTACTGGATGCGCTAGGGAGCTACCGGAACCGGAGGTAGTGTAACTGTTTGGAGAGGATTTGTTTCTTAGAAAAATGGAGTGGTGGAGAAAGATGAAAGAGTGTGTGGACGTTGTTTCCAATGGACAAAGAATTCGAAAAAACATTAGAAACTAAAACGAAGAACAGTAAGTACTCCACTCTTTCGAAGGATCCAATGGCGTCGTAGTGGTAGACAGCTCCCTTGCCCTCATCATCAGTGCCCGCGAGGATGTTAAATGTGTAGTAAGGGAAAAATCTCCTTCCGTACAGCATAGTTGAAAGCATCTGCGCTATCGCTGGGGTCGTTGCCTCTCTTCCGTGGTCGTGCTCGTACCTTGGTATTGGTTTTGCTCGACATGAACACTTAAAGGGAAGGAGGAATCAAAACTCATTGAAGAGCAGGGTACTTCCACCTAGATGGAATGGAATGTTGCCCAGATCAGTATGCAAAGAATACATTTTACACTTACAACGAACTAGCACTGAGAGACGAAAACGAGCTTCTATTACTTAAAAATTTGGTAAGAAGTACATTGTCAACCGCATCTTGAGAATTCGGTGTAGTGTGATCGCGTCCGCCTTCATTCCGCAAGAAGCAATGACACACTTCGACGTGAGTTGCGTTACCTGTGTAGCAGAGGTGAGCGTGGTGGGGAAGGAACTTGATTCAAGTTTTGGTAGTACATCGATTCAGGATGATGATGTGCATCTACAGTCGAGAAAATTATAGACGACGCTGACGCGATTTTTACCTTGCTGTTTTCCCTTGTGTGTATTGAGTATCCCTTCGACAGGCGCTTGTCAGCAATCAGAATCGCGCCATCTGGGCAGGCGATTCCCACTGCGGTACCACCATTATCCGTATACGGAGAGAATCGGTGCTCCATAGGCTGTGCCATCTTTTTCTACTTTTGCGAATTTATTACCTAAGTACTTAGAAATTTGATAGTGCCTTTTGCTCTAGTAAATCCAAGTCCTGTCCTCTTTTTATAAGTTCACTCTCTGAAGCTGATGTTAAGGAAAACCAAGTCACAGAAGAATTCGTTGATGTTAAGGAAAAACAAGTAGAAGCAGTTTACTCTTATTCATGCGAACAATATCTTTCTCCGTAGGTCGGCTGCACTTGTCTTGTAAAGATCCAATCACAAGATTTTTGTATTTGTTCACATCACTGAATTCCGAAGTACTACTTGCTGTTGCGTCATTTTCATTTCCACCATGTTCTTGCCCACTCAGTTGCATGTTTACGTGACTTCTTCATTTTTCTTGCGCTCGCAGGCAAAATGCAACATGTCATCGTAGCAAATTCGCATTGCTTTATTCTTGATAAGTAGCTTTCACACAGCACATGAAGACCCGATTCAGATGATTCTCTTGTTGTTCATTACAGCTGATGGTTGAACACGACAGATGTTTAGATGCATTATTAAGTCGTTCCTTTTGGTTTTGCATCACACAGAAGGAGATAACTTCTGTCATTCTTCAGGAGAATCACCTCTTCTTATGGAAATTTGCAACTATGGAGGACTACATTTTCCAGAAGTCCTAAATTTCATTCATTGTGTTTCCATATCTTCCATCTTTTTTCTGAGTTCTTGTAATGACATCTTGAGGCTATCCAACAGTTCTCTTCCGGTCTCGTACTTAGTAGCCATCTTCTGCAAAGGATCACAAGCATTCCGGACCACGTCCTCGCTCGCTAAGGGCTTTGCGTAACGTAGGAGGATGAAGAGGGAGAGGGAATGCTGTTGAAGATGTTCCAAAGTCACTTCTAGTACTAGGATTGGAACGACGAAGAGTGGGGACAGCTTCTACAGCAGGAATACAACTAGTAAATAAGTTTAGTTACCTAGATAGTGCTGTAGTTAATGAGAGTATGATTAATTGAGAGGCAAGTGGGTTTGGGTAATAAAGAAATTTCTGTAAAAAAAACTGCTCTACTACAGTCACCAAATCATAAATTCCGACGCACCACCTCCGCCTATGCCCATCGTGTTGAAAGCTTGGTCTATATTCCGATTCAACGCCTTCAGCTGCGCTGCATGCTCGGCGTCTTTGGCGCCTTGCCCACGCAGCTTCGTCAATTCCGCCGTTAACTTAGCAATCTTCTCCTTAAACTCCGCACTGACGCGTCGTAAAGCGCGTGGACCCATATCCAACACGCTCTCGGCGCTGTGGAACGATGTCTTTACTTTGTGATCATGATCTTGTTGTGGTCCGCTTCTGCTTAGTGCTGGAGGATACTCAGGATCGCTTGTCCGTCCTGGATATCTCCTGATTGTGCCTCTTCTACATGTAGAAACTATACGATCATTTGAAGACGCACAGGAGCTAGAAGTACTTTCGCTAAAGAAGGAAGACATCTGGCTGTGATGGTGGTGCAGATGGTGGTGACTGGATGCGTCCGTTCCCACTCCAGGTGCTGCCCTGGCGAATGTCGGCCTCCTTCCCGTGAAATATGAGGCTGACAAGAGCTGCTCAGAGAGCTCAACACTGCGTTGTAACATTTTGAATTGTCTGATCTTGGATGCAGATGCTTAGTTACGCACCAGCGTGTAGTTTATTTTTAACAAACTGTAATCATGGATCCCTGTTTCTACGAATGGAGATGCATGCTTGGCGCTTAAGTTAGTACTTACCACTGGTAGAATGGCATCCCGCCACAGGGTCTCAACCACCGCGCACTTCTGCATCAAACGATTCGTCGAGAGGTTCGATTGTACAGTGTTGAAGCTCTGAAGAAACGGCGTCGAACTCGTTGTCGATCTTGCGAATCGAAACTGTGTCGAATCATTCTACAACATCCACCACTAATGGCATAAAGCTCGTCTAGCCTAAATTATTATTATGCAGAGTAGCCCTAGCCCGCCGCTGAACAATTGGCAAGACTCCTGTCAGGAACTACTCGAGGAGGAGGCACGTACGCCGACGATCGAATAATCGTACTCTAGCCTTAATGAGAAGATCCTGTCGTCACCTTCAGGTGGTCTTGTTTGCATGCATGTGGATCGTAGTCCGTTTCCATCCACTCCTGGACGGCAACGGCAATGGTAAGTCAATAAATTTTGTACAAGAAAGGTATTTCCAAATACGACAACATTGGTACACTACTGTGATATTTTTGTGAAGATTTTTAAGATGATTGTTAGTACAAAGATGCCAATCAAGTCATATGTTCTCATAGTAAGAATGAAAAATCACGGGCTCTTGTATACAGACACGCTTGTCTGACTGTTTTGAAAAAATCTTTTTGTGAGGATACCGAGGTACATTCTCCCGAGAATATCGTGCTATTCTTATGTTTTCCTGTCTACTTAAACTTACTTTGCGGAGAGTATTTCAGGTTAGGTTAGGTTATGGATCCTGCACAACGAGCCCCACCGGCACCTGGGGCTTTTACTTTTCTATGTTGTATATATTTATTATATATAAGGATAATCAGTTTTCAATCCGATTCAATATATTATGTTAGTCTTAGTTTTTTATGGATGTTTTTGTTCAATCTGTACATTTTCTCAGCGACAGAACTTGTCGTCAGTGAGCACTGCATTTTCCATTACTATTCAGTACAATGTTGATTGCTATGACTGTCTAAATTTTTTGGTGAAATATTTGTTGGATTGTAATTGTCGAGTTGTTCAGAAAGATAAGTAGTCAAACTAATTCTTCTGATGTTCATGTCGAATAGATTGTATGAATGTGTTTTACGTCGTGTGTGAATTTCATTTAGTAAGTGGATATCATCCAGCATCGGTATGCTTTTCATTCACGACGATACGTGATAGATTTGGTCTTCATAATTATGGTTGATGCATTGCAAGTATGTGCAAGCTAGCATCTTCTAGTAAAACTAAAATGTCCGAAGTACAACAACGACTGCAAAACCACTTCTCAATGTCGTCCACATTCCTCCTGCTGCCCCAAGAACCTCTTCTCCCGCCTACGAACTGGAGACTCGGACTGCTCCAAGAACCTCTTCTCCCGCCTACGAACTCGGTGCCTCCCCAGTCCAATTCGGCACTATCGGTTGAGTCAGACCCGACATCACCTTCTGGAATTTGTCTTTGATGTCTTTCATACCTTCATCACCAGGCAATTTCGTAAACAGCAATTTCGAAGTTTGAGGAGAAAAAGAGGTGGTTGTGACACCATGGTGCCCACTACCCGGTGAGGTGGACGTGACGTTGACCTTGCAAATCGTGCCGGCAATCACTTGCCTGATGGAGATGGTGGTCCTTGTGGTGGTGATGCTCGTGTTAGATTAAAGTAAACGAGTAATATTAAACTCTTCTGTGATGTGTTCTTTTTACATCCTGTACTACGTTCCATGGAAATGAAATGATGACATCATCATACCCAGCAAGGGGAAAAAAACCATTAGTACCCTCTGAACGGATCGGTGGAGACGCCAGGTGCCTGACCAGGATCCAATCGGTTTATGGAAAGCCCTCTTCCCCTCGCCGACAAGTCATTCCGGAACGAGTCTGCTCGCAGCAATGTAGGCGCACGCGCACTTGACATTGCACTACTTGCTGTTTTGTCACGCTGAGATGTTCAAGTTGATGGAGGATAGAATTTATGCAGTCAACAAGTTGTGGGTCCCGGTTTTTATGGAGGATAGAATTTATGAAGTCAACAAGTTGTGGGTCTGGGTCTTTAGACAGATAAATCATCTTCGTCAACTACAACCTGGTAGTTGTTCTTGGTGTTGTAGTACCAAAGAAATGAAAGAACAAGTACTTGCTGTTGTCCTTCAAGGGCGGCGCCTCGAGCTGAAGCTGATTTCCCTGCCGCTTCGTTTTTTGCTCTCATGTAAGCATTACTAAGGAAAGCTGTCATCGATCCGCTGCCAGGCTGCAGAGACGCCGTTGATGCCGATGCGCCAAGTTGCATAGAACAGATTAGAGGATGCACCACCGTGGATTGCGTGCACGACAAAGAACTTATTTTAGACACAGACGTCAACATCTTTGATCTTCAACATCAAGAAAGTATAAGTGAATCTAAGACCACTCGCACTCATAAGTCATTCTGTGCCGAGCGTTGTCCAGCTCCAGCCTTCGCAAACGGTGAGCCTTGAGGCATGAAGGATTCGAAATTCGCTTCCAGCTTCTGATCTAGCAACAGAAGCCTTCGTGTTGTACTACTACTTCGATCAGCATCCTTTTTGCCTTGTTGGTTAGCACTACTAGGGGAAGATGACCGAAGAGGGGCTTCTGCCTGTGCAGCGGTTTTAAATGCTGTCGGTTGTGGCGTCGCAAATAGCGGCAACGGCTTCAGCATGGGCGTGAGGGTGCCAGCACCAGTAATGGGAACGACGTGCCGCTCCCCGCGTGCACTCACTGGAGCACTCACAGGCATCATGCTCATGTTGTTCTCCGCTATGACAGGGCCAGAACCCGGTACGACGCCAACACTATTGCCAAGGATACTGACATTCGAAGAAGCGATTCCTGCTCCTCCGCGTCCTAGGCCTAGGTCTCCCAGATTCAACTGCAATCGTGCTGCTGAAGTCGGCGCTAGTGCTCCACCACAATTCTGTGATGTGCTCTTCACTGAAATAAATTTGTTCATTCGTATATGATCTTGCAAAGACGGCACTTCTGTGGTTGCACCTGCAGCAGTTTTGGTGCTAATCCCTACTCCTCCTGGCATGTCAAGCTTCTTGGGGAATGGTACAAGACCGTTGCCGAGATTCTTCTTTGCTGCACCCTTGTTCACCGGGTCTAGACTATCCTTCATGATCAGGAGTGGGTTGCTAACGGTGAAAGTGTCCTCCGTGTCCACTACTTCTCTACTACCACCAGGACTACCCGCATTGGAGACGGTTTCTTTAGAGGTCACGGGAGAAAAGATGTTGTTCTGGCCATCCTCTTGCTGCAGCTGCATCATCGATGAAGGAGCACCAGCAACGCCAGTACGCGACGCAAGCGCTTTTGTTGCAAGAAAACCACTCTGACCAGCAGCAGACTTCAAAGCCGGAACCAACGACCCTAGATTCATGTTCTGCCCGAGCAAAACGCTTCTCTGAGCTGGCTGAAAGGCTCCACTACCGTTTTGAAGCAATCCATGCTCTTTCTGATGCTGTTGACTCATCTTTCTCAACTTGTATTCTTCTGTTTGCTTCGCTGCTTCTGCCAATTTCTTGAGTGATTGGTCTGCCGACAGAGATCTATGGATCCTCTTCGCTGCTTCTATGTCTACTACGTGAGTGCCGCCTCTCGGAGTCACTGTTATCGCTTCTAAACCGTCCAGTTCATCTTGATATTCTGCAAGCAGACTGACGCGTTCTTTGCTACGCCGATTTGCACGCCCTTCTGCAGCATCCTCTTGTTGCTCCGACGTTTTAACATGTTTGTGATGACCATGATGATGACCATGATGAATATGAGTACTCGTTGTGCTAGCACCTAGCGATCCTCCCCCAACTGCGGCATGCGGGCTGGGGCTTCTACTTCTATCACCTCGTGGTAGCACAGCTGCTCCACTACCCCCTGGTGTTGTGTTTTTCGAACGATTCGTAGAGCCTACTACTGCTGCTCCACTAGCATTGCCATTATTAGAGGGAGGCTTTTGGTGTTCGTTTATCCCGCTTGTTATGGCTGTCCCCGCCTAAGGGAGAGAGCCATAACAAACGGTAACAAAAGCACAACCTTTATAGCCTACCCTTAACATTCGCTAACTCCTGCTCACGTCTCTCTGCTTCTTCCTGTAAAAGTTCCTGTCTCCACCTCTCTTGCTCCTTTTCTCTAGCTCGCGTCAAAGCTAGTTCTTTCACGCAAGTCATGAACAGTCGTGTGTACTTCACATTCTCCTGCTGTTCGTACGCGGCCACGTGCTGTCGCAGCTTCACCTTCTGCAGCACCTTGTGAGCCTTCTTGAACAACTCCCGACGGAAGAGTGGCGATGTTGGCAACAGGATCTTCTCCCGGAGGTCGCCGGCCGTTAGAAATGGAGGATCGAGTTCATGTTCCTAGTGGATGCTTGGTAGATTCAAACACGAAAGAGCGAGGATGAGGATATTACCTTTTGTTAACGACAATTATATTGAAGTCTGTCGGTAAAGTAGAAACTATCAGAAGTCTTTGCATCATAAGGGGTCATCCTCTTTTTCCAGCTCATCCAGCAATGGTAATACAGAGGCCCCACTCTTCCTCCACTTGGCTTCGATCGCGCGCGGGGAAATTCCACCACTTCTTACCGAAACGTCGTCGCCTGATGTAATTTGTTGCGAGAATGCGATTTTTGTCAATGAGGTTAAGACTTACAGTAAGAGATGATCATGACAGGCAGCATCATCATTCACAATCATGGCCAAGCGAGTCTTACTCTTATCGGCAAAAAGAACGATAGCAGTTGTACCAACGCCATTTTCTTGCTCCGCCCTTTCTTCAAGAACTCCCCTACCCGTTATGCTAAGAACGTCACTCGTAGACTTGAGGTCATCTACTTCTTGGTCCGTCTTGTTTTTCCGATTTGGTGATGGCGTAGAACTCTTTGGTCTGATGTGTCGCTTCAGCGTTTCCGTGAAGTCCTTCTTGTGCATTGCCACATGCCCTATTTTCACGTGAGTTCCCGAGTCTTCTCCAGAAGAAGAAGTGCCCACCTCTTCTACTGCTTGCAATCTAGCATCTTCTGTGTCGTCGTCAACTTCTTCCTGGTCGACACTTCTAGTATTAGGAGTTGCACTAGCAAGATTTTTACTTTTTGATGGCGAGCTTCTACCTCCACGTCCTATTCCACCAAGTCCGACAACATCCTCGGTTTCTAGTTGCCCTCTCCTCTGCTTGATGTCTTCAGCCAGCTCCACCTCCTGTTGGAAGTCCTGCAGACTTAGAAAGTAGTACCAAGACAACCGGTTTTAGATGAATCTTCAGTTTCTTCAAGAACATTAGAATCCAGTAGAAGAAGTGGGGGGGTAGCCATAACAAAAAGTGCTTGTTTTCTTCAACGATTCGCCTCCACTCCTGCTTCTGCTCTTCGCTGACGTTCGGCATGTAAAACGGCGATGCGCATTCATGGTACGCGTGACCCCTGTGATCTAGTTCTTCTCCTTTCACAGCTTTGTCTAAGTGAATTCCCACTGGCGGGACCAGCATCCCACGACCGTGCAAGAATGCGCGTTCATCTGGTAGTGGTGGTCATGGGTGTCAGAAAGTCACCACTACAAGAAGAGCTTTGTCGTGTTGAATCCACAACGACTAGAACTAGACCACGGGCACAGCTGCTTACTTCAACCATTATCTTCATACGGCATACTAATCTACTTCGATCTTCGATGGGCTTACTTCCACCATTATCTTCATACGGCATATTAATCTACTGCGATCGATGGATCTCTAGTACCTGAAACTACTCCTGGAAGAAACAATTAGCAATTACTCAATAATCCTGCTCCCTCCATATGCGCTTCAGAAGTGATCCTCTTCGGATCGTGCTTTTTCGGTCCTCGTGATGCTTTCGTACTGTAATCTGGCTGATCACGGACTAGCATCACTGCAAAAGCAGCAGAACCCTTGAATTGCTCGTGTTCATCTTCGTGTGCTTGTGGGTTCTTACTCATCTTAGAAGTAGTCCCTTTCGATGATGCTTTACCAATAGTACCATTAACCTTCTTAGAAGATGCTGGGATCGAGGAAGCTGCAGTGTCAGTGACTCCAGGAAGTAGATGAGGATTCTTCCTGCTAGTCGTGCTAGTGCTTGTACTACTCGTGGCTTGATGTTTAATATTGGCTTCTTTACTCTGGCTGTCCTGCTTCATTCCCGCTTGGGTTGAAGATTTCGCACTCGCTGTAGGTTCGACGACAAGAGAGGCCGACGAGGGTTCTACTGCAGCTTCAGGCTTAGCAGCGGGTTGCACGGGGGCTGCGGAACGCGACGTCGAAGAGAACAGCTGGAGAGGACCGCTGGTTTGAAGTCCCCTTCCGCCTGCGCCCATAGTAGTTGCAGTCGCTGAAACAGGATTCGACAATTTGAAGATGCCTGGTGTTGACGTTGCGTTTGCTGGGCGCATAGGCTTGTGCATGATGGGCATAGATGGACCAACAAGTGCTGCGCCCCCTGTTGTAGATGAAACAGAATCTCCTACTTGGGGCTCTACGCCGCCTGCTGTTTTACTTGCCCCTCTTGTGGCGCCCGTGATGGTTATGGTTTTATCCTCCAGTAGTGTAGTTGATGTAGGCGCAACTGCCGTCCCCGGTGTATCACCTCCTCCTCCGAAATACTCTGGTGCCAAAACTAATGGCGAGACAAGCAACTTCTTCCGGCTCTCCGTTAGTGAGGAGGCACTTAGCCTATTCAACGAAGTCGCCCCGGCACTATCACCACCCACTTGGATACCCGGACGACGCAGCTGCAGGCTCGGTGATGGAGCAGCACTACTCTCCACAAACTTCTTCGCATTTATCCTGCTACTTCCTAAAAGAGCACCAGTGGTCGTGCTTCCGGGCAACATATGAAAGCAGGGAATATTATCTGTGTTGCTCAACTACAATCTATCATGATCTAGAAGTAGAGTTGTATATAATTCCTCGATAAAAATGTATGTCGTCTATCTTCGTTCTCAAGCAACCCAAGAACAGAAACAAAAAAACGAATACGAATTCTTTAGAACAAGATAGAAATTGCACAAGTAATTACAGCCCACGGTGTGTAAATGCAAAAATATGAATTCTCAATCTCCAATTTCCCTTTTTTCTCCTAAGGGGCAAACCGGGAAGGACTAGGACTTCTTGCACCAGAGGTGTTCGCCGCATGGGCCGCTGCCTCCTCCTCTGGAAGACTGACCACACCACGCTGACGCAAGCCCCGCTTCAGTTGTTCAATCCTGTCCAAAATCGCTTTTTTCCTGGACCCCGCTTCGGCGTCCACAGCCTGCAACTGCCTCGCCACCGCTGCGTCCAAATACCCTGTGATCGTTTGTGTGCGATCGACAAATCGATCTTCTCGAAGCTTCAGGCGTGACTCTGCAGCTGCTTCAGTCGAAACACGGCCAATCGCAGCGTTCAGTCGGTTGTCGATTTGCCTCTGCTGCTCTGCGACGTGGTTCAAATACCTTTGCACCAACTTTTCCCTTTCTGGTTGCTGAGGTGAACCAGAATGCTTAATATCCTTCTGATTCTGGCTCTCCTGTTCATCCAGCAACAGGACTTTCGCAATAAACTCTGTGCTACTGATCAGTCCGTCTTTTTCAAAAACGCGGCTAGAAGCAGGACTACAAGGAGATTGCTGCTGCTCGTCGTCTTCACCGCGGCCTTCCTCAATGATGTTCAAATTATTGTCCTGTGGCTGTGCAGCTTCGCCTTCCGCCGTTATCGTTCTTGTTATGGGATTTGTCCTCGCCGAATCAGGGTTGTAATTACTCGAACTGCTCTGTTCCAAATACACACTGTATTGCTCGGCTAGCCCGAGAGTGTCTTCTTCTTGCATCACTTCATCGCTCGGAGGCACCGGGTGGTTGGAAAAGAACTCTTCTACCGGAAATTTCCCAGACACGATAGCTTTCGCAAGATAACGGGTCGGATTCTTATCAAGCAACTGCGCCAAGCAACTAGTACCATTCGAATCCGTAGCATCAGAGGAGGATGGAAACGACGAGTTCGAAACAGCGCTGCTTATCGGGGGTAACAGCAGTCGGGGAACGCTAGGCGAAGAGGAAAAAGGGCCTTCTAAATTTGCCAACGGAGATGGTGGCGAGTCCACTTCCAACGGTCCTGACGACCCTTGTACTTGACCGTGCGGCTGAGGCTGCGTTCTTATTAGACAAGTCTTGGTGACAGAGAATCATCTAGAAATTCTTGTTGACAGATACTCAACTTTCGTTCATTCTCTACACCAAAAACAATGATCGTCCTCTTATTTTCATAACTGTATTGAAGGATCTTTTGATGGATCCCTTGACGGCGCGTCCTCTGCTACAGTGTGATTCCCCTCAAGAATCGGCTGCAACTCAGCTCCAGTCATATTGTCTTGTTCTCACTCCTAAATCAAAAATTGTGGTTGGAAACAAGAATTATCAATGGCAAGAATAGTGTATTGATGGAACTGGAAGAAGCACATCTTCATGATCCTTGTATTGTTGTTCATCTGCCAGCTTGCATACAACGGCGACCACCTATGTTGATGTTCAAATCATGACGAAATCATAGATCTGCTATGCTGAAACTACTTCCCATTTAGAAGGAGGAGGAGTCGATAGAAGTGGTAGAAGTATTTTACCATTCAGGGAGTTTGCTTTCAGGGCCCTACACTGTTAGGCTGTGCCTTAGTTGTTCTACAGGGGCTATTGTAATATAGTTCCCTCCGATAGTCGTAGGTTTTGGCCGTTGTGATACGGTCTTCTTGCTCCCCCGGTATGTAAGTTTTGTAAATGGTGACTGTTTAGGTAGTTGAATGGGAGGCAGCATGTAGTCCTATGGAAAAAGAAAAAAAAAAAACCATAGAACTACCGGGAATGAATGAATGAGTGAATGAGTGAATGAATGAATGTGCCTAGCGCGAGGTGGTGCCGTACAAATTATATAAATATTTCTAGTCCACGACTAGCAGTAGACTGAATGAGTAGGAGGCTGGTCACAGAGAACATTCCAGCAACAGATTTAGTCTCCAGAAGGAGTATGGATATCCCAGCGACAGATTTAGTCTACAGAAGGAGTATGGACATTCGACACCAGAAAATTCAGGTCTTGCTGTACCTGTGGTCCTTCTACAGGAGCTTAGTGAACTTGCTTCTAGGAGGAAGATGAAAACCGAAGCAAACCGCAGACTCCAGCGAGCAACGACCGATGGCCAATACTACAAATACTCTTGTTGCGCTCCTCCACAAACGAATAAAAAGAAGTGATCGACACGCAATATTGAACTTCTATTTTCATCAACGTGGTTGTTCTGGTGTCGTCACCGCTTTCCCTTTTCCTTGTCCTTTTTTCCAACATACTGATATTCTTGGTGAGGACAACAAACTCTCATGCGTCGTCGTTGTTACTCAATTTATGTCCTGTGCATAGTAAATGTTTGATGCTCGTTCTAGTTGTTGAGTTATACATCTTCCCGACGGAGTATACATGAATTCCTATGTTGCTGCTCTACTTACTTTGTACTGCTTATACGTAGTTTAAATCCATGGATCAATTTCGATGAGGACAGTGTGCACCTTAAATCAATGTATGTGTCGTGTGTCTAGAAGTATGTCGTGTGTCTGGTTCTTTTATATTATTAGTTCTTGTTCTATTGCCCTAAAAAGTATTTTTGCTCCCACCAAAATCAAGTCTACTCAAATAGTATGTACAGCGTCCGTAATCACAATAAAGAATGCTCATGTTGTTGATGTCCATTTTCTCATGATGAAAATATCATCTTTTCCTGTTTCACTCACTCGTGTCCCTTCTACTTGTTGTTCTATTACTAGTCTCCTGGTACTAAAAATGTAGCAGCTTTTCGAGAAGTACAACCGACAAGTACAGCACTCTCGCTTTTCCTTTCTCATTTACCCCCTGGAAAAAAATAGTCATTAATCTGGTGAAAATCTCCTTCATCATCTCTTCCGTTTAGTAATCATGAAAGCTGATTGTGATTTATCAGTCCCCCTTCTCCTCCTCCTCCTCTTAAATCTCCCTTTGCAATTGAATATCCTCCCCTACTATTAGGGGTTGAGAGTTGACCTCTCCAGCTCTCCAGCTCGAAAGTCTATGGCTTTCGTACTTGGAGAAGCCATAGAGATGCTCATGATAGAGAGGTCAACTTCCCCAACCCTTAATATTAACTGTTCGCATGTTCTTGACTCATGATGGCATGTGATTTATCTGCGTTTCATCTAAATCACCTCTACCCATCTGCAGTCGATCATGCATTCAAATTCTCCTCATGGCTTCAATTGCGATCGGCAGGCATATCTTCTTCAACCTGTGTGTGTTATTTGCAGTTTTATTCATTTTCATATTAAGAGTAACGAGTAATCGTCTTGGTACTTCTACTCGCATTTCTTGTAAGTACTTCGTTCTAGGAGCTGCTAAAATGTAGTAGGTTGTTTTTGAAGAGAGAGATCCATCATTTTCATGACTGAGAGTGTATTAATCAATACTTTATAAGCTGCAAGGACCGTCCAGGAAAGTGCGGCATCTAGGCTGTCGTGCTGCATCTGAGCGTCCAAAAATTTACCAAGCGGCAAAGGCGATTAGAAGACGTTATAATTTCATTATTATGATTATGATTATTATTATAAAAATAGTGGTGGAGCCAACCTAACTAGGAAAGGCAAGGTAGTTCTCCAGCTACTTATAACTGGATGAACTCATCGTCATCAGAACGATAAGATAGGAGTGTTTTTTTTTCCATTCCATGGAGAGTGTCACTGGCAAGCATGCCAGGCCCTAGGACACTTGTAGAACTGCTATTGTCGTTATCAAATAATGTTGGTGGAGCAGGCCTAACTAGAAAAGACAAAAACCGAAAAAAGAGAGGTCAGGAAAAGCACATCTCTACAGCTACTAAGTAAGCGCCGGCGCTGCCGTGGTCCTGTCAGCCCGGCCCCATTATTCAATAATGTTGGTAATAGTTAGTAGTTCTACATTGACCACTATGACTATTACGAGAAGATTATCCAGCTTGTTAATATAGATACTTGTTTTTACACCTTCTAGTGACCACCAACCATGTTTTCGCCTTACAAATGTCGCTCAGTCGTTTGAATCGTATGAGTCGTTTCAGATCTGTAAGTGTAACCTGGATGCTCGCGACACAGTAAGTCGTTAGCCGGCCCAAGAATTAGAGTTCGGTGCCTCATGTGATGGCATAACCTCGAGTGAAGTGCTGGGGCTAAGACCAAGACTAAGATACAGTTAGGATAGGACGTTGGTGGAGCCCCCTGCTAGTTGATGAAAAGAAAGACTCAGAGGATGCTGAATGAAAAACTCAATGAATTAGAAAACTTGTCGTGCAGGAGCGTGGTGACTCATTCAAGTATCCACTTTTTTGTCCTGAGGGAGGTGGAGGGCAAGGACAACTACAATATTGAACTCATTATATTAACTAGTAGTAAGTATGTACTTACGTATCAAATCTCGCACAACTCCTAGACATAAAGTGGCCACTGATTTGAGGAACATATCAAAATTACATATTAAGCTGACAATCTGATAATTCTACAGCCTATATTACATCCACTGAAAGACTCACTAAACGAGCAATAATCTCCGCAAAAAAAATGGGAGTCTGTCATTGTCCACCTCCAGCCTCGTGTTAAAAAGGCACGTCGTAGAATTAATAATATTGAGACAAGTAGTTTAGTATAACAATCACAAGTTCTTGCTCCCCGGTTGGATGCGTATTTTAGTACTACAATAAGATTCAACGTGAACGTCCATGTCCAAGACATAAAAAAAGCTCCTCAACGGGAGTAAGGTTCGGCGGCTTTCCGTAAACGTAAAGGGTGATCTGACCACGTGGAACCTCAGGCACCCATCCTTCTGCCCAGTCGTGGAGTCGGTGGTAGCTTGGCTGCGTGTTCACTGTCAGATTAGAACATGCATACTCTAGTCATTTGTATGGTTCGAGAAAAAGAGTATGTTGGTACTGGTTGTTCTATTTTTGACATTGTTCTATATTAACTAGTAAAAATACAGGATGCGACTAGTAAATCGGAACCGATTTTGTAAGAGAAGCATCTATAATAGTTGTGGAGCCAGCCTGAATAGGAAAAACAAATAAAGAGAGCACAAAGGTAAAGAAAGTTTATAACTTACGTAGTACAGCGACCGGCTGCATATTGTTCCAGTCTAATCTTAAGAAACATCCAAGAAGCGGATCCGAATTCAGCAGCTCCGTAGTCGCCCTTCTCCTCGTCGCGAGCTATGTCGGAAAAAGTCATGAAATGCCCAGGTAGTAACCCGTGAATTAGAGCAGGTCGTAGTTGCAACAATTCATATTTGATGCCAGTGCCACTACTCAACTTTTTCCGCTGTGTGGTAGAATCACGTAAAACCAAGAAAAAGAATAATGCCTACGCACTTACCTATTTGAGGACACGATATTTCTTCCTGAAATCTTCATGTGCTGAATTCTTCAGTGAATAGAGTGATGTGAGTGTGCAGATACGAAAAAGTGCTTCAACGAGCCTTAATGTAAACCCGTGGCCATGCTTGTCCGGATTACTGGGGTCGAGAGGCGCCTTCTCTGTAAACTCCGAGATTCGAGGATAATAACCGAACACAATTAGAGTCTTCTACTACATTTAGTTTTAGTGTCCATCTTGTGGTCGCTCCCCTCAACATCTCGATCTCGTCGACCCCATTGTATTTGTTACCCTTGTACTCATGATTCATTTGTTTCAACATAGGAATTATATTAATACAGGGGAACAAAAACGTACCTACCAAGATGTTGCCGAGCCAAGGATGGACACTTCAAATGTTTACCATAACATCACGTAGAACCGCTTGCCAGGGTGATGGCGGTGTCCCTTGTTTTAGATGAGGAAACCAAATTTTTACACCAACAGTACATCAAAGCCAACAGCCACCAAGGTCGACGTCGTGAGGAGTGCTTCTATTGTCACTCCTCCCTCCTCCTTCAGTGAACAAGATAGGTGTGTCGTCGTGAAGAGGCCAACGCCTAATTTACACAAAAGGAGCTAACTAAGCCAAAAAATGGTGAAAAATATATAAGTAAGAGCCACCGTCTTTAAGAAAGAAAGATGAACCCTTTCATCCACTTGTATGGTCGTGCCTTTAAGATGAAGCCTTGCATCCACCTCCTTGCTTTGTTCTTCCATCTATGCTAAAAGATGATTAGCGTGACCATAACACTCGTCGGCTCGTCTCAACTGTGCGTCAAGCTGATTCCATTCTTAGCGAGAGCCCAACGACATCAACTGGGAGAACTGGAAGTGGAGTCTTCATCTGAAATCCAACGAAGATGACAGTCTAACTCATCTACAGATTCTTAAATTTCTTACACTACACATTTAATACATATTTTTTCTTAACGTTCAGCACTCCCCAATGGGGGAACGGGAACTCCTATTCCGTCTCCCTGTGGAATCACAAACGTGACACTTAATGCTAGACACGACTCACTACCTGTCCCTTAGTTAGTGGTGGAGCTTCGTTTAGCTTCATTATAGTTCACTACTGTTGTATCGGACTTCAGACATCGGGGTTTAGTAAGTTCACTTAAATGTACTATCAGAGGCCTGTTCGCTGGTTGGCCTGTTCACATTTTCATCGGATTCTGCATGCGTAAGTACTAGATCCTTCATCACTTCTCAGTGAACTCAATGACTAAGGATGATAATGCCACCTCAGCACATGATTCAAGACATCAATGAGTGAGAATGTAATGACACCATCCACCACTGATTGAGAATAGTGGGTGTCTAGCCTCAGGTAGTGAGTGTCTAGCCTTAATAAGCCACTCTGCTCTGGTGGGAAACGGGTCCAGTCGTCCAGATAATGGATTAGAGAAATTCTGAGAAACAAAAAACTAAGTTGTCCACCTCCTCGTCGATTCTTGTGGAAAAGCTACGCTACTAGAGGCAGAAGATTGATCATATTGAACCTAAATATTAAAAAAATATGATCAAAAATCGAAAGAATGATGGTTACTTAGAATGATCACAAACACAAGTATTGCCAAATAATACATCACTCAACTAAGGACCTCAAGAAGCATGATTGTGATTATAATTCTCATTCATAGTCGCTTTCCATGAAAGAATATGAAAAGTTCACAGATGTTGACTCAGTCCTCTTCGTACTTACGTACATCTACTAGTGGGTAAGTCGGTCGGTCGTGTTCAGCTACATGATCTATTCGAAATAATGAAGTAACCGAGTGCACTGCTCTAAGAGTGCTGCTCCACCAGAGTGCTATCCTTGAACTTTCTCGCTCATTTAAAGACTTCGAATACATCTAAGACTATAAGTGGGTGCGCAAGTCATAACATTCCGAGTGAATACATGCATACTCTTTTCGTGACTTCACCGGAAGATACTTGTGCAGCCGCTTGTTCTTGTTGTACTTCCTCTGGGGTTAGAGGTACTAGGGTTTTGGTGTTCATGTTTCCCGTTTGTTCTGCCTTTCTCCCGTAGGAGAGGTAAAGCAAACGGAAAAAACAGGAACACCTTTAACGTACCCTTTCCCTTAATGGAAGTGCTGCTTCCTCTTTTTCTACTTGTTGTAGTTCATCTGGAAGTGCTGCTTCCTCTTTTTCTACTTGTTGTAGTTCATCTGGAAGCGCTGCTTCCTCTTTTTCTACTTGTTGTAGTTCATCTGGAAGCGCTGCTTCCTCCTTTTCTACAACTCCATGATGTTGCTGAGCTTGCTGCGCTGCTTGATGTTTTAGACCACGAACAGCAACAGAACACCTACGTAGGAGGATATCTACTTATTTAGATACCCCTCCCTCCCTATCTTTGTTCGCCTCCCTCCCTAGTACATATGTACATACATAGGGTATAGAGTGAGAGTTGTCCTAGTTGTCCCGGAAGATGTGCACTCGGACCTACGTAGGAGAATATTTCGAAATCTAACTCAGATTGATAAGTTGAAGTTGTATAATCCTACAAAGATGTTCTTGTTGAGGACACATCTTTTGTGGTCCCCGTTTTCTATCATCTCTTCTTTGCATTTTGAATTTCAAAAACAAGAAGTCTGAGAGATATAGGTTAGGAGAAGAGAGGCATGTATGAATGTCAAATATGGAAGATGACTATTTACTTTTGCAGAAGATCGATAATGCCTTAAGTGTTGCGCTTGCTGCTCCGCTACCGCTCTCTGCTCTTCCGCTTGTTGTTGCGCTTGTTGTTGCCGCGCCAGCTCATCTTGTTGAGCCTGGAATTTTTGCCTATCAATCTCTTCCTGTTGGACTCGTAGTGCTTCTTGCGCTTGTTGTTGCTTCGCTAGTGCTTCTCTTAGAGGTAGCCAAGAGTCCCTAGTCCTGGCCAAGTGGGTCCTTGATTGATAAGTGAACAGGCCAACGCCTATAAACCACTAAACCAAAATGAGGCGGTGGCCTTTTCTACTTCACTTACCAAGTCTATTCTCCCTTGGTAGTTTCTATCTGAAATGAAGGGGAACGCATTTCTCAGGAGCATACATAGATAGTCCACATGAGAATGAGTTTGTCAGGAGCATACATAGATAGTCCACATGAGAATGAGTTTGTCAGTAAAAACCTTAATTCTTGTTCTTTGCGTAGTTTGGCCTCCCGCTGCTCCTTTTGCCGCGCCAACTGGTCTTCTTTGGCTTTTTTGTTTTTCTCCTCCACATGCTTTGGCGGAGCAGGAGTTTTGGCTTTCTTACTCGTAGAAGTATGCAATTGCTCCGACCGATCTGCAGCATTTGTATTAGGGCTGTCCTCAGATGTGCAACTAGTTCCTCTGTGTGTAGTGTGTGGTGACTGTGCATGATGAAGATTATCCTTGAAAAGTACGCAACTGGGAGTAGGGTATTCGTCGTCCCCTGCGAGGATATTACCCGCCCAGCCACCTCCTCAAGATACCCAACACTTGAAAGATGAATTAAATACTAGTGACAGGGGCCTTAACAGTATGTTGGGCCTCAGTATGGCGCTCCTCGCCTTCCGTTGCCACAATGTTTCCCTGCTCAGCCTCTGCGCCTCCCTGCTTGGTTAGAATCAGCTATATTCCGTCTTGGTCTCCCCATTTCGACCCCTTTCCCCTTGTATTATATAAGGCAAAAGGGGACCAAGATGCCGAGAAAGATGGACACTAAATGTTGGCCATAACTTGGGCTTCTTGCCTTTCGGGGAAATTTTCAGAATCTTTTTCTTCACATTACTTAATGTGGCAATCGGTGGTTGTGATTGCTCCTTGCTACCCTTTTTCAAAGAAGGCTTGTTTATTTTTGCAGGCTGTTTTCCCTTTCGTTAGAGAAAGCACATCAAGTTATTACTAAAATTAGTTGGAACAAGCAGGTGCATGCTTATGATGGAAGGAAAAGAAAAGTTGCTTGTAATTAGGTTGTTCTGATTATAAGTACTCGGTGCAGCGAAGGTACTTCTCAGTACAATGATTAACGGAAGTGTCGGATGTGGATCCTTCGTACAACTGGAACTACTACACCCATCAAATTTATGGTCGTGCTGCTGAAAGATCTTTGCCCTAATACATCGCTAGTAGTACTAGGTAGATGTTGAAGCCATTGCACATTCGGGGGGAGGAGCATTCATTATTCTCGTTGAATATTCATATAATTCATAACTAAGAGACCCGAGGTGGATCTTCTAAAGTATTCTAATATAGGGGATAAAAGCAGCATGGAGGACAGGATATTATGTTGTTCCTCGCCTGTGGACATCAAGGTGCTAGCCTTAATCGTCTGGTGGTGGAGGAGTAGCCTCCTTGATCTCAGCAACTGGCTGGCCGTTCCTCGGCGCAGCTTTGGATTTGACCACCTCCGGTGCCGGTGCTGCTCGTGCTCTCTTGTCCTTGTTCTTGCTTTTCCCACAATTAGAAGAAGAACAAACTGAAACTACTACCAACATTATGATTACAGCATTCAATGTAGAGGAACAAGAGAGAGGAAGAGATGATAAATGAGAACCGCAAGAAGCAGACGTATTTCTAAGTAAGTATTTTATTCAACCATGATCCGTTCAAAAATGTTCAATGGCCTCGATAAGTGAGAATGAGACACATCCCTCACGAAAGCGCATAAAATAGAAAGAACTGAGTCGTGCATTACCGAATAGTACAGTAGTAACAACTAGTATGTAAGTAACTGCTCGTGGCGGATAGTCGGTTTATGCTCTGAAGTGTAAGTGTTCTGAAGTGTACTACTTAGCCTTAATGTTTTTCTTATCCTTGTTTTCACTGCAATCCCAGAGATCCTCGCAACAGCCCATTCTCTCACTTTCCGAACCTTCGTCGACGTGAGTGCCTTGGTCCAGCTTATTACGATACATTAGAACTCGTCAAAGACAAAGCCATTGTTTTCTATTCTTCCACCCTTGTAGTTAATGACGCGTCAAGCGTAAGATAAGTGCCAGAACGGCTTCCCTACGGATGACAAACCAATTTCTACTACTAAATCCAACATGGCGAATAGATCCTTATTACTACTCTACTAGCAGTATTCCATTTTTTTAACTGTTAGAAGTCAAGAAGAAATAAACAGAACGAAGGGAATGTTGACCGTTGGAACTTACTTTGAATTGTATCAAGGAAGCCTTAAATTATACAGATACTCAGTCACAGACTGGGTCATGCGCTGCAGCATAGACATCACGACTCCATTGGCTACTTGGTAGGTTTCACTTTCATCGCGAGGAGGATTAACACCAACAGCCAGAGAAGCATCTCCCTGAGCATTATGGCTCTTATTCATGGATCGCGAAGAACGAAAGGACCTCGTTGTCACGACTTGCTCCGTTTCATGCAGCTTGTTCTTGTTTACTCCTATACAACTAGGTGTACAACTGGAACTGGTGCCATTCGTGTTATGCCTGTAATCACCGCTGAGTAACGTTGTAGAAGTCGCGTCTTCCGTTGCAGAAGTAGTGGTCGAGTCTTCCGTTCTTGTTGCATTTTTGTAGTTGCGATCAGTTGCATTCGTTGCATTGTTCATCTGGCGAGATGAAGGCAGCAATGCTCCTCGCAGATTCTCTGGTCGACGTGGAGGTGATGGAGGCTCGCCAACTTCAGCATCTACTTCTTGACCATGACCATCTACATCTTGCGCTTCAGGAAAAATTTTCTCACTATTATCAGCTGTTGTAGTACCCGCGGCATCCGTTGACGACGTCGACGCTGTCGAAAAGAATGGTGCAGTACTCAACATACTTGGTGCAGAAAAACGAAAGTTGAACATCGAAGATACACGACCTGTTGTCGTGGTGAAAAAATCGTGGAGACCTTCCGAGATCATGGCTGTTGACGATGATGTTCTTGACATCTGGCTACTGTGACTCTCTTCTTGTTCTCGCGATCTTGTACTACCAGAGGAGCCTCTAGTTGTTACCACCGTGACATCTGTGACATCTACCTCCCCTACGACCATTATTTGCTGTCCTTCCGTTTGCCCATCTCCATCTTCTACGACTGGAGGAGATGCTTCTCTAAACATCTTCTGTTGAATAGAAGTTGTACTTAGAGAAGTTGTACTACTAGTTGTAGTAGTCATGGCATTGCTCCTCTTCCTCAAGAGAAAGTTCTTGGAGCTACTACTTCTTACTCCACCAAAGTCATTTTTTAGCGTGGTTCTTCTGGTTCCCCTCAAAATAATGTTCGATGGTGGAGAGGGTTGATCATACTCGTCATGATACTGCTCGACTTTTTTTCCAAGATCCTGTTCCTTTTCATCATGAAAGACGCTGTTGATGTCATGAAGATCCTGTTGTTGTTCTGTATAATCATTTGCGTCGCCACTTACCTGTCCACGGATGATATTAGGCTTGTTGTCCATAGGCACAACGCGTAAGTTGGACTTGGCAGTTGTACTTCTAAACCTTCTAGATGGCATAGGAGACTTAGAGTCTCCACCATCATCTGGAGCAGACTTAGAGTCTCCACCATCATCTGGAGCAGACTTAGAGTCTCCACCACCATCATCCGGAGACACCCCTTGTAGTTGCTCAGAAGCTGGACGTAGCCACGATTTTGCATCTGCTAGTAGATCCGTAGAAGTTGTTCCACTTCCAGCGGAGTAGAGAAGCAAATACGTCGAGCAAACACGACCGAAGAGTTGCTTCATCATCATGTTGAGGGGGCTCACCATCTGGAGAAATAAGATTGAACTCCTTCTAGGGATGACGCAACTTCGTTAACATTCATCGTCAAGATGAACTACATTGTTTTACAACAACTACTACTAGCCAAATGGGATATACTGGATAGTTATGACTTGTAAAAACAGAACAACTTCTGCTAGTAGAAAGATGGAACTAGAAGCAGTAGATGTCGGAGGATGATTGAATTGTTTCACCTATGATGAAAAAATGTGGATGACAATAGGTCAACTAGGTGGTGGCTTCGGTACGCAAGGGCGGTTCTCGAGGGTGACGAGAGAGACGAGGTGGTGGCGATCTACAAACCTTCACAGCACATAGATGACCGATGCTCCAACCAAGTGGACAGCGTTGTTGGACCGAGCAGCATACAACTACAGGTATCGATACATCATACAGTAGATGATCATACGATACAAGACCGATACATGACCAACATTTGGATTTCGATTTGGAGATTTCAGAAAATCCGGAAACTTTTTTTTTTTTGTATCCTGGGGCTACTGAAAGAGCGGCCTCAGCTTTATCCAGTTCGCAAACCGGCGGCAGGCGGAGCCTAGTGTTCCTCTATCACGCTATACTCTACGAACCCGCCGACTTTAGAGATGATCGAAAACTAGGAGGTTGAGGGAATGACTACGCCACAATTCCCAGCGATATGCCGATCGCCTCACACTTAGCGCAGACACACAGGTCGGGGCGAGCAGGGTGCCACCTACTTCTTCTACCCACATCGACGCGCTCAACAATCGGTGAAAAAGAACTAGCTGATAGCCAATATTCTGGTGTAAGACCCTATATAAAAACATGCTGCTTAGTCACGTCAGTAAATCGACACTACGCTAGTTTTCTTATCTCTTCAAGCGAAGTCTCCCCTTCGTCACTTGTCACGCATCCTTTCCGCGTCCCACCCAGACGGCCGCAGAGGCTTCCAGTGCTGCAGAAAGTTCCATCCGTCGCACGATCCCGATCGACGTCTTCTTGCACGCAAAAGACCGGAAAATACAAAACCGGGGAAACCGGAATACCGCACTGAAAAGTACAACGAGGGGACCTGCTAAGGGGGCACAAAAAAAAAAGCGCCGACAAGTTGCGGCAAAAAAACCATGCAGGGCAGATCCGGTGAAATGTGTTGTTTTGTTGCAGTACCAACGCCAGACCGATGCAGAAAAAAAGGCGTCCATCTCAAACCGTACGAGGTGAACAAAAGACAGGGCCGAGCACTGATCAACTCGTCATTTGAAGCACTCCCAACCATCAGATGGAAGGAGCAACTACAAATGCTCTCAGGAACACATTTCTGGCCACCAAAAAGGGGCACAGTACTTAATTGCAAAGTTTGTACTTAATTTGCAAAGGTTGTACTGCATATATAGGCCACCCAGGGGCGAGATTCGTTTCACAAACCGCAGACAGGCGGAGACAACATAATGCCACGAAGAGAGAAAGATAATAATAAACAGACTGAGCGACAAGCACTGAGGAAACGTGGATGAAGGAGGACCGACTCTGACTTATGCACAAGATGCTTATGGTCCACTCAGCTCTTGAAGAACACAACTGCGAGCATTAATTATCGCAAGAACAGCAAAAAGGTGCTGTACCTAGTTGTAAAAGCTGTAACAAGATGAAAAAGCTCCCGTATTGGTCCAGGAGGCTGTGATCAATCCGAGCCATCGCCTACAGCCATCGCCACGGAAGAACTTCTAGCCAATTCCATGGTTGCGAATAGTGAATGGTCAGTGAGCCCAAACTTTCGACCGCATCCCCAACGCTGGAAGTAACACCTCGGATATTAGAGAATATGAAGGAACTACAAGATGAAATCACGACCATCTTCACACCAGTTATTAGTACTTGAAGTAGGATGAAATCACCATCACACCAGTCAAGAGTACTTCAACTTCAGGTCTAGATTTCCTCTAGAAAAACTTTCATAAGCACAGCATCCACACCCGTAAGAAACAAGCCACCGATGAAGCCACTGCTCGAAGCTCCCTCCCCCGTTTCTCCTTCGTCGCGTGTGGTCGCGCTAGAAGAAGATGGAGCGGTAGCACGCTCTTCCACCGCATCTCGCTCCGTTGATTCCGATCCTCCTGCATCACTCCCTTTAACATCCTGTTGTCCGCATGAGCCGTGACTACGAGTGAAGCGGACTCTCCGATGTTTCGCTGCTGCCAATAGAGTACCGTGATCCACATGCATACTGCTTGAAAGGGCAGAAGCACCACGATCGATCAGTATTCTCGCACCACCATCTAGATCTCATATTAGAAACGACGAGACCATCCGCCTCCGACTAGAAAGACCTAACGAATTCATAAATTATGTAGCTTGTTCCATCTAGAAGCAACTTGTACCATCAAGCGTGGACAGCTTCAGTGAAGATTCAAAACATAAAAAAAAAGGAATCATCTAGTAGTACAACTAAAACCAGTACAAATTCCCAACATAACATTATCTCGCTGATTCGATGCGGACACATACAGCGCCACGCATCTGAAATAGGCGCTCCGTCTGCCGTCCGCTCGTGCCAAATAGACGACTCAGTCTTTAGAAACGCCGCGTTGCCTCGCGCGCAAACAGTGTGCTTACAAATGTCATCCTTATTGTTGGAACGACAAAATCCGTCATGAAGAAATCCCGCTTTTGGAATGGGGGGAGTGCTGCTACTACCAGATGTAGAATTAATAGAGCTAGAAGAGATCCATCTTGTGGAGCATCTTAGTGACCGTTTCCCCTTAGAAAACGGACCGAAGATGCTGGCTAAGATGGATTTCTTCTAGCCTTAATAGAAGTAACATCTTCTGCTGCACCAGAGACTCCTCCCTCTCCGCACATTCGTAAGCGTCGCGAGAGTAAAGACATTTCATCGATAGTCGTGGCTGGCGGAGAAACAAATGACGATCCATTTCGTGAAGTCGATGTTCGTGACGTCGCTCGGCGACTGGTTGATGATCCCCAGGAGCCGAGCAGGTCATCCAGCGTCCTCGTCTGTTGCGCCACAATGATAGTGGAGGTGGAGGACAAAGAAGATGAAGAAAACAGCATCTTCGCAGCAAATCAACTCCTCTCGTCGCCTGACTGATTTTATGCACGTCTGCACGCGTGTCCCGGAAGCGCTATATGATGTAAGTGTGCACTTGCAATCACCGGGAAAGAAGACCATTATAGGGAGGTGCAAGTTATTGTACTCATAGACCTAGAGAAACCCTTTCCCTTTCGGTAATGCCGCATATTCTGCTGACCTAATCTGGTCCACCACAGCGTCACTGAGTAGTTGAACTGACCCACCTTGTCCTCCGACTGCAGTTTTCGTTCTAACGATTGGTGGTCCTCGGTAGGTCTTCACGCAATGCATCGGCATTCCAGGTTGAAGACGTGAGGGAACTGAGCCACGGTAAATAGAGGCATCGGTTTCTATTCGTGACGACGGGACGCGAAAAGGTAATTTGGTCAGCAGTTCGTCTCCCAGCAAAGGCGTTGGCCGAGGCATGTTGGTACTAATTCTTTGATATCTATAATACTTCCGCTAGTACCCTACGACCTCTAGTAAATATATTACAACTTCCTCTACCCTACCTCTAGTAGAAGATGAAGGTATTGCCAGCAAATTGGCTGTCTCTCGAAGTATGCGGAGGATTGTCGAGAGTTCAGCAAGCTAGAGTCCAAGCTTTTTCAAGGGGGTGGAAGAGTGACTCTGTCTGGCATGTAAGACATCAACATTCTTCTTGTGTCCAAGAAATTCAGGTCGTGTGGGGCTATCTTCACAACTATCGAGGGCCCCGCTGATGAAGGGCCGATCATGTCCACCGATGTTATTTGAGAAAACCTGAAACTGAATGATGACGAATCGTAAGTACTTAGCAGGTGAACAGAATCTCTGACTCACCACAGATGCCGTGCACTCACACCGAACGAGCTAACGAGCTGCTGCAATGTTCTCCATCGCGTTCTTGCCTCAGGTCTTTCCGAAACCTCTACAGATTGCGGCTCTTGTTCTGCTCGCCGCAGACACCGATATTGCGTTGGTCATCGGTTGTAAGTCGTCTGCTCAACACAGCGAATAAGAACTTGCGTAACGCAAATGCAGCTCATGATGATTTCGTGGTGCTGTCAACAAATGCAACTGTAAGAACAATGAAGAAGAACAAGTGCAACAAGCCTTGAGAAGTAATGGGTCTCTCAATCATCTTCTCGTTCAAATAGATGAAGGTCGTCGTGTAGTTAGAAGAACAATAAAAATAGGCAAAAGAGAAAGTCGCTAAGTATGATCCCATGACTGATCTTCATCACTACATCACAAGAAGTTATATGTATCATCCGCCTTCCCCAGGAGGCGCTGCATAATTGTTCGCAGCTGGTATTCCTATGCCACCACCGAAGACGAGGTTGTTCTCTTGCACGTAGTACTCGTTGTTGTATGTGCCTTGGTCTTGTTACGCCACCAGAGTTATTCCGCTAGAACTAGCAATAACCAAAAATGAATGTTCTTGCACGTCGTGCATCTACCTGTACAAATCGCTTTGCTTTCTTCAGCTCTAGCGTGATGTTGAAGTGCGATTTAATAGTCTAATGCCAGAAGTACGTAGTGACCTTCTCCTTCATGTCCTATGGTTCGTCGCATAAAAACTCGTAGCTGTAGTTGTAGTAGGTTAGTAGTACAACTAGCACTTCTTACTTCACTTTTCTCGTTCCTCCGCATCCGCCACAAGAACCTTTTTATGAAGGTGCTCCCGTTGAAGGTGCTTGCGCCACTCCAAACTTGCATCCGCTTGGTCCTCGAGGATCCGGTAACAAACTAAGCAGAACCGGAACTAAGCAGAGACCGTGCAACAATCCGAAGGCCACAATCCCGCAAAACATCTTGAAGAAAACGCGGAAAATGAAGGAGTTCGCAAACACAAAAACCAGCACTCCAAGGAAGGTCGTCGTCCCACCTTTGAGGACGTTCGGCATCATGTCAGTGAGCGCGTGTCGGATGCGGGTGTCCTTATCATCCTCCAAGTTCGTCTCGTAGAAGAACGCATGTACTATGTGCGCACTGTAATCCACAACCAAGCCAACAGCCATGATCAAATTGATCACGCTGATTGAGTTCAGATCCAACCCAACAAGCCAGATCAAACCTGTCGTGTTGGAGAGACAGAGAGTGAAAGTCGAATGTTGAGCAGCAGTGAGGACGATCACGATGTGCATTACCTCTGGTGGTGGTGCCATAATGATTTGATTACGAACGAAACATCAAACTGTAATTGAGTGAGGTAATCATGGCAAAGAGCCACACGACGAGGAAAAACAAGAACGTCGAAGACGAAGTATACCTGTAAGGTCAATATCCACCATGCAGATGATAAACGCTAGCATCACCACAGCTATGGCGTTCGGCACGACGAATACTGTTACGATGAGCACTCCTACCACGGCCAAGGCGTAATTGCTCATCAACTCCTCCTGGATGTGCCACGTCTGGTCAAAAAATTGGTAGAACGGCGAACTCGCGACCACATTGATTCTGCTTTCTTTTAGAAGAGTCAGCTTTTATCCTCATCCCAAGAAGTCCCCTTTTCTCGACCCCTCTCCCATGTCGAAATACAAGGGAAGAAGAGGGCAACAACATCAAGATGCCGAGAAAGATGGACACTTCTAAATGTAGATGGGTTGACCGTAATTCTTGTGCCTCAGCAAAAGCGAAAATTTCTTTGTTCGCTTCAACCGCATCCTTTCCGGGTTTCACCACTTCCACCGTGTGCTTGAAAGTCACACGCGAATAGAGGAGGTTAGAACAATGACCAAACGAAGTTTGTTCATTTCATGATCTACTTACTCTTGATGATGTAAATCTACTCGGCAATCTGCCTAAGATTTCCCTGACTACTTCTTACTTACTTAATATTTCATCTAGTTACTTACTTATTTCATCTCTACTTACTTACTTACTTACTTATTTCATCTACTTACTTATTTCATCATCTACTTACTTACTTACTTATTTCATCTACTTACATATAATTTGTTCTTAATACGAGGAGAGGGAGATGACCGAGACTTCTGATCATGCCATAAGAATGACTTTATTGCTAGATCCGGTTATTGGATCCGCTACGTCTCGAAATACGATGTTGTCTTTCCATCGTGAATTTATAGGGTTTTGAAGCCAGGCATAGACCGCATTGCCAAATGCCTCTGGAGTTGCGGAAACGGCTTGCAACGCTGCGCAAGGGGCGTAGTTTTCCGCACGATACTGGCCGGTTGAAACGAACAGGGCACGACTTGGAGGGGAAGGTTTAGAGGTATGCATGTCTACTCAATGTCAACATCAAAAGTAGGACCAAATACCCAGCCCGATTTACATCTGGCCTTCCTAGCAATGACTAACGATTTCTACTTCCGACGCGTTTCCAATGGGCCATCGATTTCACGATCATAAAAGAAGAGCTAACATCTGGAACCGGCGCCATTCCACTTCCGCATTGCTGCACTCGGAAATCCGCGAACCAGGAGGCCAAATAATCATCCTCCACATAGGCCAAGAGTCGAGTGGAAGTCTCATGTTCCTGCATCACCGCTTGAGCAGAAGTGGCGTGGTGGTTATTTTAGACGGGGAAAAAAGTTGAAGGGTTGTACTAATTACGGTTTATAAATTTATACAAGTTAGTTAGTGCCTAAATTCTATACAATTTTTCTTGATCATGAAAGCAACAGCCTCGTCAACATCGTCGCTATTCTTGTACCCGCCGCAAGGAGCCTTAATTCGTGTGTTTGTAGTAGAGAGAAAACGTCAAGCGTCCTTTCCCGCTGTGCGTGTACAAGTCCTCGGTGGCCGTCAGCATGTCCCGAAAATACGACTCGTCGGGGGCTAGGTCTTTCAGGTCAAAGTCTTTCGTCACATTCGTTAAGCAATATGCCGAGAAGCCACAGTAACCGGAGGTTAGAAGATGAGTACGGTGAGAAATTATACTTAGTAAGGAATAAAACACAACACAACTACACACCAGACACACGACACACCAAACACACACGAGACACACAACACACCAAGCACAAATAGAAGCAACACACAGCCAACACACACAAACAACCAACACACACAAACAACCAACACAAAGCCGCAGTAACCGGAGGTTAGAAGATGAGTACGGCTATAGTAGACAGGACATTCATGGTGTGCTCTACTTCTGAACTAGCACCTCAGATCACTGCGGTCCTATCCCTTTCTTTCGTCGAAGAACAAGAGATCCGACGCCGAGCCTTCACTGTAAAGCTTGATGCTGCTGATGCCCTGATGCAACGAAGACGAACGACCTTCGTCCATGATGAGACATTACAGGAGAATAAAAACGCGACTACAACCGACCCTATGTATACAAGAATATTGCTAGGTAGTAACAGGAGAATAAAAACACAACTACAACCGACCCTATGTACACAAGAATATACTAGCTATGTGGTAACAGGAGAATTAAAACACTACAACCGACCCTGTGTTGTATACAAGAATATAGCTACGTAGTGATGAAGTAAGTGTAAGTGTTGTCCATAAGAAAAAGACAGCGATGATAGCAAGCTTGACGAGCAAGCTGTGGGTGATGAAGGGTCCATACGTGCCCTTAATCCAAGCCCTGTAATTCGCTTGTTCGTACGGACAAATTAGCGCTCACCGGAATCCATCTCGAAATGCATCCTGGGCCCCGTTTCCCCTTGAGGACCCTCGTGGGGATGCTTCCGAAGATGGATTAGGGGAAGCCTTAAACAAAAGAGAAAATCTTTATCTTTTTGCACTTCATCGGGCGCTACTCCTGTATTGGTATTCTTCTTCTCGTCTGAAGGAGAAGAAGATGAAGCCACAACTTGATCTGGATGTCGATGTTCTTCCTGTACTTGTTCAACATGAGCATGACTTTTGTCAGCAAGTATAATCTTCCTGCATTCCTCCACCTCGGCATCCGTTAGCAGCGCTCCTCCTGTTTCTCCGTCCACGCAAGGACTCCAACATCCGGCTTTTTTCGCGACTCGTGTCGGACAGAACGGCAAGCAGCATCCCTCTTGTAGTCTGTCTTCTTGGCGCTGCAAGTCTTTGACCACAAAACTGACGAACACTGTCAATTGCAGGACGTAGTCTTAGAGCTCAAAACGTTTCATTTCTTGCCTGCATTTCTTCCGAATCCCAAGAAGGAAACTGCAAGAAATGACTTGTAGAAATGATTTGTTTTGAGCCTTAATAGTCTACGAAAATCGCTACTGCTGCGTACACGCAAAAGTATTGGATTGCTGGGTAGGAAAAGGTCAACCCAAAGAGTATGAAAAGAAATAAAGATGCACTCACGACACTCAAGAAATTCTAATTGGCTAGGACTTATTATAAATATGTAGATGAAGACGGAAACGGAAAGTAGCTAAGTTTTCTTACTTAAGTGTAACTCCCATTTTTGAGTGTGACTGTGAGTGCACTTTTTCCTTTCATAAAGAGAAAAACCACTACATTCGTTAAAGAAGTCAAAGTCACTGTCATGCCGCACTTGCGCAAGGCGTGCTTGGCTCGTTCCTCAGGGTTGTGTTGCAGGTGTGCGAAAGCGTCAAAGGCACTGCAGATGATGAACATGTCGTCAACACCGATGCCAACCAGGATGAAAGGCAAAACCTGGTGCCATTAGAACACGAGCTGCTTGCGAAAGCGAACAAAGTCTAGTCTGCTCTGGAGTGGTGAGTTATCCACCAGGCATCTTCCCTACGTACATTTTAAGCAAGCTTTCCGTGCAAGCATGCATCTTTTTGAATCGTGGACCACTGATGATAATGTTAGTCGATTCGGATTGAGGAGTCGTGGACTCTTGAAGTAGGCCTTAATGTAGTGACACGAAATGAACTCCGCAGTAGAGGCAAAATCCGTATCCAATGACCGTCGAGACGATCACGGTAAGAACGCCCAGTGCCGAAAGCGCGTACCGAGACCCAATACGGGCTACTCTCCACCAATAGAGCCTACTCCTGCTCTTCGTTCCCGTGTTTTCCCACAACTTCGGATTAGGTTTCCGCGAAAGCATTAGCCAGCAATACAGACACATCAACGTGTAGCACATAATGTTCAAAACGATATCCCCTTGCACTGACCGACCCAGTTCGTCGTCGACACTACGCGTCGCTTGCCGGTAGATCTGCATAGTTGAACTCGGTTGTTTAGTACGTACTCGGAGTTCTTTGACGTATCTTCACTATGTATCTATAGATACACGTATCTTCACTACTTATGTATCTATTATAGATACTCAAGTACAACAACAAAGACCACTATACAACAAGTAAAAAAATGGTCCTCGGTGTTGCTTGTCGTGACTGTCAGTGCTAGTGGAAAACTCATCTCAATATTTTAATAATATTCAAATTATACCCGAAAACCCGTATTTTGCGCTTTCTCTGCATCATCTAGTGCCTCCATAGACTCCAAAAACGCTTTTTCCCACGCCAATATATCATCCTCAGGCATCGTATCTGTATCTTTCAGCAAGTATATCAACTGCATGCCGTTAGCCCACGGCATTCCGCCATTACCTACTCCCCGACTCGAATCGCTATTAAAAAAGGTAGTCGATCACTATCCGTGGGGATGTGAGTTGTTTCGTTTTCTCTTCCTCTTGCTTTCCCCTCTTGTAGATCAAGGGGAACCTCGCATTCCGAATACCTGCATGCTCATACTAGATAGTGATGTACTAGCCTTAATGCTATTGGCGAAAGAAAAAAGCATTTCGCCATGGTCCACCTTTTCCAACGAGTTGGCGTAAAATTCCACTTCCGTATCCGCCAGCTTCGATGTGGAGGATTGAAAGGCAGGATAAGACTGATTCCAGAAGTTGACAGCGCCGACTACATTGCACAAACCGTTGTAATCAACGCGACGCATGCAAATGTCGTGTAGATCCTTGCTACTTGGGGTACGTACATTTACGACCGCATTATGAACCGTCCAAAGCTTGTTCAGTCCTTGTTCGGTGAGTACGTTTTCGTTCAGGTAGCATTTTTAGAGATGAATGATAGAAGACTTCTCACCCCAGTACGACCACAGCGGCGGAAAGTTGTTGAATGATCCATCAACTTCATAATAGTGATGGATTCATCCTCGTCCTTGCAGTGCAGGTGCACTTTGTTTTCGAAAAGAACAACATGATCAAGAACAGCCTTGCATAGCACTTGTTCTAAAAGAACTACACTTGCAGTGTGTTCTTTTTTTGCTAAACTTCTATCTTGTTTCGTTATGATCACTAGAAGACTTGCTTATGGTTCCATAATTCGAATTATCTTTCGTTATAATCACTCGCGTGGGTCTCGGGAATCCGCGAAAACTCGACTCAACCCAATTCTGAATCGTTTTCGCCTTTGAGTCTTGGTCCACCCATAGATCCTCAGCGCGCACGACCGTCAGAGAGGGCAGTGTTAAAGCTATAAATTTCTAAGTGGTTTTTATTCATCGTCCTGTTGAAGTTGAAGATACCATATTTCTAAAAATTTGCTATTTTTGCCCAAATTGAAGATTCCTGCTCATCAAAATGTCAATGTCAAAGGAGGAAGGTCAAGGTCCTAAAGAGCGGAGGAAAGGACTAAGAAACATTCGTCTAAGACACTTACTTGTTTACTCCAGCAGCTCTATCATGTCCGTTACATCATGATCTTCAACATCTTCATCAAAAACTTCGTCTCGTCCTCCCAGACGCCATAACACCAGCATCAACCCTGGCGCAAAGGCCAGAAAGAGTAGGAAAGTCAACGCGTAAACCCTGCATGGGTGGCGCACCACGTAGACGCCAACCTCTCCAAAGAAGTCTTCTCCTTTCGCATGGAGCGAAGCGACCAGTCCGCGCGACGCCGGTTGCAGTGTCGGCACAAGAGGTTAACGCTAGTTTTTCACTATGCCTGGTCAATTGAGTTAGTTGCCCTTTGGTTTTTCCTTGATTTGTTTCCCCTTTGAAGAAATCAAAGAAGGGGACCCGACGTCCACGACCCAGCATGGTTCAGATCAGAATGGGTTAGTGACAAACTAGCCTTAAGAAGAGGACACGCCGCCAGTGGTGTGTGAGGTAGGGAAACCAAGCTGGACCACTGCAGATGATCCTGCATCGCCCTTCTCATCTGTCACGCCTTTGGGGATTGTCATGATCTTGCGCTTATTTTCATCTAGTAACATCTGCGATTCAGATCAAGGTCAGCGATCCACCAAGTAAAAGTCGTCACGAGTCATTGTGGAATTATAGGCCTGCCAAGATCATTCACCTCCTCCACCACGACCTATTGCTGCAATTTCAATGTATGATGTTTTCTACTTACTCGAGCATCTTTCGCGGCCGTATTTTTCATCGTCCGCCCGTATTCATCGGCCGCCTACAAAAATAAACCTAGAAGTACAATCTTTCTGTTTCGGCTCTCGCGCACACCGATTTTCCTACCCGCGGATGCTGCTTCATCGTAAAAGTTCTTCGTGGAAGTAGTCCTGTTGATCCTAAAGATAGCACTCAAACACTGTAATAAAACAGAAGATAACACTCAAAAACTGTAATAAAACAGAAGATAGCACTCAAAAACTGTAATAAAACAGAAGATAACACCCAAATACTGTAATAAAACAGAAGATAACACTCAAACACTGTAATAAAACAGAAGATAACACACTCAAGCACTGTAATAAAACAGAAGATAACACACTCAAGCACTGTAATAAAACAGAAGGTAACACTCATGCTCCATGTGTAAACCGAGTTCGTCGACACCGACATGAACAGGAAAGAAGAGTCTGATGCGAACCCTTCTTCCCAACTAGTGTAGCCACGCTCAAGATAAATTTACATGGCAGAAACCGAAGCTGTGGTTGGCAAGTCAGAAAAAAAAAGGATCGTCGATGCTGAATCACCGAGTGCGGCACAACTGTGGATCACGCGCACGCCGTGTGCAGGTGATATTCTTGTGCTATATCCACTGCAGAAGCTTCCATCTGCATTTGCATATGCATGTTGCCTCACTCCAAGTTGTGGTCCAACAACATTGTAAAAGTACGTTTGATCATTATTCTTAACATTTATAAGTCCACCTCATGTTCAGCATGCATCTTCATAAGTTCATCAATGTCCCCAATCATAGTTTTCCATCACGTCACAGAATCCTAGGAGCCAAGGTGGACTTGCTTTGCAATTCTTCCAGAATTCGATAAAAAAGTGCATGCGTCCATGGTCTATTCTCGGCAAAACCTTCTGCGTTGCTTGGGGCCTCCGCTTGGAACCCGTTGCTTTCTCGCATTAGAGGGGGTAAGAATCAATAGAACCTCCACAACTACATCACCTATTTCCTGCTAATTCTATAATTTGTCTTCAAATCATTCTCCACAACTACATCACCTATTTCCTGCTAGAAACCCAAGCTAAGACGCTTCCTGCAGCTCTTAAAAGTGCTTTGCCATTGCTGGATCGATAGGTACTGCATCGAGCTGAAGTCTCGCTATCAGTTCCAGGACATTCCGCCACATCGGTGCGGTCTCAGGGTTCTCTAGCAGAAAATGCGCCGTCTCCTCAGTCACGTAAGTGCGCGGACTGGGCTCCGAAAAACCCTCCTTGTCGGTCGGAAACGGAGAGAATGAAAAAAGATAGGAACGATTGAAACCAAAGGAGACCAAAATCCTTACACTAAGTGTCTTCACTTTCTCAAACAAACTCCGGTTCCGCACCATTATAGCATGGATACTGGCACAACGAGAGTTAACATCTGAAGTGTGCGCTTGTTCTTGAGCAATACTATGATGAGTCACTGTTGTAGTAATAAAACTCTCACTACAACTACAACAGCAGGAACAGAGTAACGCGATTTTTCAAGTACATGATTCTCTTCTACGTCCATAAATACCACATCCAATGACTCGTTTTTCTTCCGTGTGTCTCCAACTCATCCAGAATCCTCGGAAAATGTCGTCTCTGCTTCTCTAAAAGATGCTCGATTACTCTAGGCGGTCGCGTCCTCGTGTCATGATCACCTCTCTCATCTCCTCCTGCTCTCGATGATGAGGAAGAGAATGATCTCACCTGTTGTAGTTGTGAATTCTGGACACCTCCAGTGGGACTCCGACTGCTTCTATTCAGGCCTAATAGGTCGTTTAGGCCCCCAAGAAAAGACGATGATGGCCTCTTTCGTTGTTGGGAAGCACGAACTCCTTCTTCTTCTTGGTTAACCAGCGTTCCTCCAGCTGACGAAGAATCCGCATCTCCACCACCTGTTCGCTTTAGTACTACACTCGACGATGAAGCAGGTGTTTTCCGCTTGATGCCACTAGGACAAGAAGGTATAGATTTATTTGCAAGCAGACGACCGTCATCATGACCATCATGATCATCTCCTTGCACAAGTTCAAGTTGGTTATTTAGATTCTCATGATGTTCTTGAGAATTATCGGACTCAGATCCTTGTTGTTGAGCTACAAGTATATCTCCACGAGGAATGCTCCTCATCTTCTGGATTGTTGATGACGTGCTCGATGTCGTCCGCATGGGGGGCTGCTCTTCCATATTTGTCGTGCTGCACTTACTAGAAGTGAAGTAGATGGTACTATATTCTCTAGTTGTATAGGAAGTAGCGCTACCTAATGCGCTAGAACTAGAAGTAGAGATACGGAATATGGAGGGGACCAATGATGGACTTGATGAACGAGCTTGTGCTTTTTTACTTTTCCTACTTCTAAACCTACCTCTAGTATAAGCAGAAGCTGAAGCCAGCTGTTTATCGTCCTTTTTGTTCACCATTTTCTTCCGACGTTTTATTCGACGAAACTTCTTCATCTTCGATTATTGTGGTGAGGTAGTACGAATATGCCTATCGTGAGTTAGGAAATAAATGAAGAGGGGGTCGTTGTAGATGATGATTGATGTATGGGCTAGCTTTTTCCTGCGACATAGAAGTAGTACTTCTCAATAAAAACAGAAACCTCCAAAGGTAGGAGTATAGAAGTAAAAAGAACTAGGCAAGAACCGAGAATCAAAAATAATACTAAAGAGAAGAAAACCGAACATCCTTATCAGGTCCTCCTGCTGCTCCTGCCGCGACAACATGTTTCTTTCAAGAGAGAATTATTAAAGTGTATGCTCTACTAAAGACGGTGAAAAGGTGTTTGCTTTGGAGAACAATGCTGCACTAGTGATTTGAACATCTCCAAGCCATCTCCTTCAAGGATCCTGTCATTCGTGACAACCTTAGAAAGTAGCCAGGGCCCACTTCACAACAGGAGCCCGACATTTTTGCGTTTAGCTGCGATTTCGCGAATCGTTTAACAAGAATAACATTTTCTTTTAAGTACTGTTCAGGGTTTCTACTTTTCTGTAATTCATGATAATAAAGAAATAGCGACATCAACCTCAACGGTCCGTCCTCAAGTAAGAAATTATTTTTGCGGCCACTTCTATCTATCATAACTAAGAAAAAAAATATATCTTCATAACTATAAAAAGATCAAAAACTACTTCCAGAAGTATAAATATTATATCTCATCAAAAGCAAAGCATCTTCTTTATTCGAAGATAATTCCCAGTATCACTCTTCTTGTTCATCCTCTTTCTTCGCCTCAGAGCAAGAAGTTCTTCAGCTGCTCCTCCTTAATACAACAAAACAAGAACAGTTCTTCTTCATGATCCCCTCGTGCTCCCTTTTCGATCCATTTTGACGATAAGTTCGGGACTGCTGCCAGCAGGACTGATTTGAAACGGTGGCATTCGTTCCAGTGTGTATTTCTTAACGTAAGCACGAAATTCGTCCTTATCGACGGTGCCGCTCTCGTCCGTATCGAAAGCACGCCAAACCATGTCGAATTCATCTGATGACGATGATATACCCAGTCAAATTGACGGGCATGCAGTGTTTATGTTTTTAATTATAAGTATTTGTCCTCCTTGTGGTAGTCGTAATCGTTGTTTCATGATTATATGCGTGGTGGAGCAGTAGACCTAACTAGAAAAAATGAAAACCAAGAAAAGATAGAAAAAGAGAAGGGTCGTATCTTCATCATATGATAAAAACCTGGAAGATCGTAGTATTAGTAGTAGTGTACCCAATCGCGGGGTATAAAACTCAGTTTTGAATGAAAGCAGGACGATTAATGGCGACCATTTCGTACTACGATGATGGCGTTAGTCGGTTCGGATTGCGCCTACGACTTCCCTGAATCTCTTCTGAGTTCTACGAGCTTCGTACTATGATAACCTAAATCCTCCGGTTAGTCCTACTATGATAAATAAGATGATGAGGAGACTAAATATATTTTCGCTCCTGTACAAGATGAAGTAGGAACACAAGTCATGGCATATCATTCTTGAATGAAATAAGTGGGATTCTTGAATGAAATAAGTGGGATTCTTGAATGAAATAAGTGGGAGTATCCCTCTGATTATCTTCATCTTCATCTAGAAGTTCTAACCAGAGCATGCAAATTTATAAACAATAATACCCGATGTGATATCATTCGCTGAGCCGTGAAATGTCCGGATTTCATGGACCACTGTGGAAAGTTCGTCTCTATCCAGCTCGCCTGATATTAGAGAGGGCTTGGAAGTCTCTGATCCAAGTTCAGATGTATCAGAGTTCGAGGATTCCCAACTTTCGTATGACCATAGTTCGATATATCTGACGAGTTCCTATCATGTCCATTGTCCAAGTTCAGATATTATATCTGAGACCGTCACGGTGGAAAAAGACAAAGAGTCAGGGAATCCTTCATGATAAGGAAGTAAAGTCGGAATGTTAATGATAAGGAAGCAAAGTGAAAAAGAGTCAGGGATGTAGTTCGTGAAGGATGTATTAATGTGGGAAGCAAACCGTAATGATAAGTTAATTATAGTGAAGATTGATTGATTGATTGATTGATGTACCCATTCGCGGGGTATATGAATGTAATGATAGATAAGTCAGGACTAACTAAGTACAAGATTACATTCTTCACTGTAGTTACTGAGTAATCTTACTGAAAAATCACAAGTTAATTATTTAGTTGTGTTACTGAACCACCTTAATGATAAGATAAAAGTGAAGAATGTAATGATAAGTCAGGGATGTACTGAACTTAGTTGTGTTACTCTTACTGAACTACAAGGAAGAAGTAAAAGTAATGTTGGAAACCACCTTAACGATAGGTCGACGTCAAACCGACTCCAGATTTCATCAATCTCCTCATCTGCATACTTGCTGCTTTCGGGGTCTTGGATAGTCGTCAACTGAGACTTCGTGCGTCGGAATCCACCACGGGTCCCACCGGGGCCACTGGTACCTGCCAGAGGTAGAAGAATAGATCAGGATATTAAGTAGCTTCCTATTCCTGTGGGGTGGCAGCAGTGTCGTAGTAAGTTGCTCATGTTGAATATTACATGCCAGTCCTAGAAAAAATGCAGTAGATCGTCAGGATGAAGGAGTAAGAATTCTACTTGTGACGAATGTCGGTGTGAAACAACGAACCTGCTTCAAAATTAATTACGAAAAAGCATACTTGTACTTGTATGTTCACCTGAAAAGAAGTATCCAAAATCAAGATGAAAGTAGAGTAGTAGTGCCCAAGATGATAGTACCATTAGCCTGAAATTTCTGTATGATCGAGAGTTGTGCCCAGAATTCCATAGGAGGCAGGCTTTGCGCTCTTTCCCTAAGATATTCGATGCTGGACATCTCCGTCAAACGACTGACCGTTCGATCCCACGCAAATATCTCGTCTTGGATCGCCGTTTTCTTGTCCACTGATGGATCTACATTAGAACTCAGTACAACCGCAGTCACATCCTTGAGACCACGACCATCCCTCCTGTGCCCTTTTACTACTTGAAAAAGACGCGACCACGGATGCTGTCAAGGAAAAGGATACTTCAGCGGTCTCTCTCCCTTGCTCCTGCTTTACTTGGCTTGTCATGTCATGTGTCTCCAATCTGATCTTCCAAATCACAGCTTTACTTGGTCATGTCATGTCATGGTACCTCGTGTTTCAAAGTAACTTATTGAAAAGGAGGCCCATGGTACCTCTTGTGTAGCTATTAGCGTCTACTTGCGAGGCCAACCAGTAAGGTAGTAACTCCGGAAAAATATTGACACAGACCTTAACTACGGAGAAGATTTCCGCAGCCCTCGTCTCACTCAGCAAAACGCACTTTGTTCTTTGCTCATAGAGGTTGTCGATCAGCGTGATGAGACGGCGGACTTGATCCCGCTCTTGCAGGCTCAAAGCGGGAACGTTATCGATGAATAGGGTGTGGAAGCTGAAGATTTTTCGTATAGGACGAGCACAAATCTAAATTATATGTAGAAGAAGTATGTTACAAATTAAACTAGAAGTAGCAGCATGGCTGTCTCCGCCATCAAGATCAACTACTACGGCGATGTTCTTACGCATTGCGACAACCACTAGCGGCAACAAGTATCTTCACACAAGAAGAAAGAGCAATTTTAGTACCTTTTCGCTATGCTGATGTAGTCCGCAGCCCCAAGTGGCTTATCGCAGAGGTCTCTAAAATCGAACTTTGCTACTTTCACCTTGCTTCCACGTGCTGGGATATTGAACTTGCGTCCTTGCACTTCAATCACGTCATCTTGCACTACGTTGCCAGCTGTAAACCGCTTAAATTAGAGGTATAGGAAATTCATCTCAGGAATCATCTAGCTCGCTTTTTCTTCTTGTTTTCTTCTTCCAGATAACTTGGGAGATGAATTCCCTACACCCATAATTAAACTTGTTGTCGAAAAAAGCCCGCTGCTTGTCGTCAATTGGCGAAAAGAAGACCTGAAAAGCGTCCTCCGCATAATCGGTTACGAGACGATAGTCAGTTTGACTCGCGATATCCACGACCTCACAACGCGCAGATTAGAAGAAGGAACAAAAGTCTTTTGTTCTTCCGAAGCTCTAGTACTTGCAAAAAAGGTCTGAGGTGGAGGACCTGTAGTTGTACTTGCGAAACCAAGATTTCTTCGATTATACTACAGAACAGTCTTTTACAACTCTATTAAAGCAGTCCTCATGTTGATTCAGACCCCGCCCACGAGGATAAGAAGAGACGAAAACAATTACAAGACTCCTGTACTAGCCGTAATCTTTGAGTAAAGGAATAAAGGGAAGAAAAAGTGGTCGGTTCAGCCCATTCAGATACAGGTCCTCTGGAGGGCGGTTGCTTGTGCTCACGACAACTGCTCCCTTTCGAAATAAAATGCTGAAAAGCTGCGGGATATGAAAGAGGAATACGGGAGCAAAAGGGACTGACGGTCTGAGAGTACAAGTTGTAGCCACAATTCATCACAACCATGTGGATCAACAACATCAAAGCAGAGTATTTTTGAACACTCACTCCATGGTTTGAGGGCTTTTGGTTTTTACCTTAGAAAAGGTATGCATGTTGCAATCACGGAAACACAACTACGCAGGAGCCATAATTCATGATCATCGCATCGGATATATGGGTCACCTGAAATTCGTCAAAGCAGAAAAGCCAAGCTTCTAGAATCATGTCGTCTGCTATGGATTCCATAATATCGCTTTTCTTATCCTTGTCGGAGGAACCAGCCTGAAGATGGTATTGGTAGGGTATTGAAGGTAGAGCTTCTACTGGTTCTTGAGGTCGTTCAGTTCTACAGCGCAAGTCCATCTTCGACCAGGCACTTATTACGATTACGGTAGTTGATGGAAAAGAAAATGGGTCTAGAACAAGCTAATAAACCTCGTATACGGATTGTTCTATTTGGGTGGTAGCTGAGGAGCATGAATGAAATCAGAAGTGGTCGTGTCACCACTACAAAAGAGGAGAGGCATTTGCTTGATAAATCCGAGGAATGCATATGTCGAAAGGCTCTAAGCCACCCACACCTTCTTGTCAAAAACATATAAATATCTATGATGATCGAACAATTTGAACACCTGTAGCGACTCTCGCTGTTCTCTTGCTGCAGTCGCGCTCCAGACACTATCGGCTTTAGCGTGCCCTTTCCCGTGTGTTTTCTTGTGCAATCTATCGTGCACTTCTATGAGCCACTCATGGAAATGAACGCGACGCTTTCGCTCTATATGCGTCTGCGTGTCGTAGAATAGATCCATCAGAAGATTAGAGAAATAGGGTTGATCTACTACTACTTGAAGTAAGAACTCAGGAGCCTTTTCATCTTGAGAAGTTCTTTCTTTATCACAGTTTGGTTGCGTCGCGGCTCTCCTCCTAAACCCAATACCAAGCAAGCAGAAGATAATCCAAAAGAAATAGAAACACAACATGAAGTGCCATAAGAAAAGATTTCCCGCTTCCGCAGCCTCCGTAGATATACAGCCCTCTTGGGTGATCAAACTTCAGTTCCGGTGTGGCAGCCGGTGGAGGGGCGCGAGGGGCGGCAGTTGTCGCTGGAGGATTCGGAGTCGTGGCGGCACCACCTGAAGAGTGAACAAGCCAGTATTCTTTGCTTGAAATTCAGTCAGTATCAGTATTCTCAGTGCATTCAGTCGGTATTCTTTGCTGCCGCAAAGATCAACTTAATTGCCACAGAGAAACTAACAAGGAAGGACACATGAAGAAGAGCAAGCGAATCTTGGACGAAAAAAAGGAGGCGCAGTAGAGAGATGAAGAGAGAGATATGCTCTCATGAGGGGCGCGAGGCGCAGTACAGAGATGAAGAGAGAGATATGCTCTCATGAGGGGCGCGAGGGGCGGCAGTTGTCGCTGCAGGATTCGAAGAACTACTACTGGAAGAAGCTCACCTCCGGTTTGTGGCCCGCCACCTCGGTTCAGATTTGGCGGTGCTGCTCCTCCGATTTGTTATTAAACGAGAACGAGGTCGTTTACATCGAAGATCGTTATTACTGATAACTGATTAGAGAGAGATGCTCTCATCGCGAGGACTCCTTGAACAATTAGGAACCTTGAAAGCATAGAAAAAATGAACAATTTTGTACATGATATTACAGTAGGCGGAGTAGAGACAACAACCGATGCAGGAGTCGGAGTACTAGAGACAGTTGTCGAACTACTAAAACATGGAGTGAGAACAAGTGTTCAAGCAGTTCTTGCTTCTATTAGATTATACTAGACCACAAAGCTAGCTGAAAGGAGAATCTTCTAACAATTAAATATTCCTTCTACGTACAACTACAACCAAGGCACCAGGGAGGGTGGGCGCAACAGCAACTCCCTGACCGCTCCTCATAAAACATGGGTTAAAGGTGTTCAATTGCGAAGCTCATTATAGTATACCTACTATTAAACTATCACTAGCTCATACCGAAAAGGCTTGCAAAGAATCCTCCTCCGGAAGCGGCTTGTGTGCTTGCTGCTGCCGGAGCGGCCGAAGCCGCACCAGGGGAATCTCTTGGCTCATAATCGCTCCTTAGAAGTCTGAAATTTCAAAAAACGGAGGTGCGGTTACGACAGCCGACCCGGTATGTCTCTATCCTAGATTTGAAGGAAGCCTGGATCTACTCCACATCGTATCATCATGCTCCTTTTTATCTTCTCTATCATGATCTGTATATCGAAAATAAACTGAAACTATCATCTACGTCTAGGTCTACCTCCTGCACCCCTGAAGTAGATGATGTGCCTCAGTACAACTGTTCCTCGCCTTCAACACTCCTACAGTAGCTGTTCCTGTTGATGTTCTCATAACTTAATCAGATTCGACAAAGCTTCGAGATGCTTTACGACTTCCACCTGGTTTTCATCCCGATTGATCTTTCCACCGTCTAGAAGGGCGTCATAGGTTGCTTGGGGTCCTCCCGTTACCTCTACTTTTCCAGCAATGCCACGCCTCTGAACACACGTGGACCTCCTAAGCGAATGAATGCTCCTGCAGAACTGTTCCCCCGCTCCTGGGTGTACAACAAGAACTTAGAAGTAGTCTAGATGAACGTATTGTATTTGTATAATTCCAATCCGTTGTAGAATGGGTGTTGTTGAAAATGAGCATTCATTCAACGTTCTTGTTCGGCTCCTTAGTGTTGATCCGCATTTACGAACTTTAAGGTTAACTACTTCGTCGTACGTACATCAAATTTAACAAGCACATGCACATCAAGTAAGAATAGGTTGAAGACCTCATCTCATGGGAACATATTCTTCATCATCAAGAACACTCTAAGAAGTTGATAAACGCATAAAAATGCAAACTCGACAATGCATTTGTCGTGCTGCTGCTACTGCTTCCTCCGTATTGGTACCGGTCCAGCCGACGAACAGCTGTAGTGCGTCCAATCACTGTAGTCGTACTACACCGTGCCCTCTGCGTCCTACCGCACAGGCCGCCTACCGTTGTACTGCTCAAGTGTGCTCTCTGCGTCACTGTTGTACTCAAGTGTGCTCTCTGCGTCCTGCCGCAAAGGCTCTTCGTCACAGCACTAGGCTGTCCACCTTTCGACAACATCACAACATGCTGCATCTTCATGGACATGGAGTTGTTTCGCGATTTAACTCAGTTCGTTGCGCGAGCTTCGTTCAAAATCGAATAAAGGGTGCGCGTGCGATGCATGGTCGTTTAAAATTATTCAACGATGAGCACGACGCGGTCATGATCCTGAAGAATTGTACGCAGTATGTCATGTTCTTGAAGAATCAATCAAGGAAATTATTGACAGTTGTACGCCTCGGCAAAAAAAGAGGATTCCTGAGGTTCAGGTGGAGCCTGCGCGGTTTCATCACGCGTTGACAGGAAGTATCATGGTGCTGCACATCCGCATAAAAATACTCAACAGAGGGGTTCATCTTGTTCGCCCCACCGACTGTCTAGAAGTCTACAAATTGGGGTACTCGTCACTGCTCACCAGAAGGTCTCACTTATTACTGGGGTCGTAAGGAGCCTGCTCCGTCTTCCTCTCGTTGTAACTCTAGTTGCAAAGTAAACAATTCTACTTAACTACTTAACCTCTTGATGACAGTTTTTTTATCATGATTATAACGCTATCTCTTCGAAACAGATTTTTTTGATAGAACATGCATCATAACAGATCACAGGCTAAAATTGCTGGAGACGGGACATCTCGCTCTCGCCGCTCTCGTCCGCCCGTCATAACTTGTTCGAGGACTGCAGCTCGTTGCACTCATCACCACTCTTCTTCAATGTCTTCGGCCTAAGGGCTAACGCATTGCAAAATATATTTATAACCCTAGTACTTCACGACAAGCGTATTCCGCTCCACCTACCACTCGGCAGCTCGTGATGCAAGTCAGCAGCACGACTTTGTTTAGTACTCTCAATTGCGAAGATAGAACACAAACGCAATTGCTTGGCAGGTCTCCCATAAGTCGCGGCGCGCTATTTCTCATGTTATCGATTTTCTACTCTTTTTTCAGGAAGATAGTAACTGGTGATCTTGTTCGTTGTTCTTGTCAAATCCAACATGATTTTTTTTCAAGATATCGTGGAGAAAATCATATATGTGCTCGGAAACGGCATGTTGTAGTCAACCATTTCATGGAAAACGAAGTGGTAAGTGATGTCTTCATAATAAAAGTCTTGAGAAAGAACAAGTAGGACTTTTAGTAAAGGTGCAAACGAAATGATCGATACGGCTTCTACCACTATCTATGGATAAAAAGAAAATTCGGCGTCTTTCTGACTAGTTATTGACCATTGGCTCGCTGTCCTCCTCGGGTGTTGTGCATGGTAACACATTTCTTCCGTATTCGAAGCTTGCAATCAGCTGTCTTCATGGTGCTGCGACGCATAGCCTTCGAATTTTTAATTGCCAGATGCTCTTTACGATTCTTATGACATTCGATTCTTACTGCATACATTATGACATTTTTATCACTATTTCTATAATGCTGAATCGAAAAATTCTTCATTTTCATTTTCTATAGAACTATGCATTCATTGTAATCAATATTAAGTTCTTTTTGATGATCACTGGCTTACTCCTCTTCCCTCATTGCTTGTCAGCACTTTTGTATGTCGTAGAAATTTGTTGGAGATTCTTTTCTTGTAGTCGAGAGGAAAAACAAGATACTAGGAGGTGGAAGACTTCCATTTTTATAATCTCTGTCAGTCATTTCTACTGGAAGTGGAATTCAAAAAACGAGTCTCGTTGTACTACTTCACAAGTCTCTGCGACTTATAATTCTGCCTGTTTTAGACTACTGCTCTTGATCATCGGCTTTCCTCCTCTGAGTGTGTTTGTCTTCCCTCTAACCGTGGGCTTGGCCATCCATGTCTTCATCTTCTCACTGCATGAAGAGTCTGGAGGACAGCCGTACTAGTTAGGAATCTTTATAGACGAACTGCCAAATGATCTTCTTATATATTTTCAGTTTCACTGTTCCCGTCCCCGAATACATAATACATCACGATTTGCGGCAATTCTACTTACCAACGTGCTGTTGCATATGTCATTAATTATGAAAATTGAAAAAGCCTCTTTTGCTCCTCGTATTAAGCTCTTTGATACGATTACCGGAGACTTTTTAGAAGTACCACCAGATAGTGACCATGATGATGATGTTGCGTCACAGCAAGTTTTGTCAACGTGGCTGCACCTTTCCTTTCTCATAGTCAACAAAAATCATCTCTTGCCCCCTCCACGTCCACCTCCACATATGAACATGTTCAGTATACCATCACCAAAGTGTTCCAGTCATAGTTACTTTCTCGTCCTACCTGCGTTCTATTCCGAAGTTAGTAACTATATTACTTGAAGATCTTCAATATCTATCATGTCCTTGTTTGTTTAGCAACATCCGTCCTTCTTGGCTGGCTGTGCCTTCGGGTCCACCGCTGGAGCAGCAGTAGCGCTTTGGTCCGCAAGAGAGGCTTCCATCGCGACCTGCGTGTTCGTGATGAGTTCTGCCCGGCTTTCCTCCTTGATGGAAGCCAGAGTAGCCGCTTGCTGGGAAGGATCCCAGCAGCAGTTTGCCACAAAACTCCTTTCCATTGCCTGGGTGCTCACGTTGCGTTTTCCTGCACTCGCGTACATTTTCTTGGTCATACGTTTAACCAAGTGGTTGTAGTATGGAAAGTTGTTTTTCCCGATATCTTAGAAGAAGAAGTAGTCCTCGTTCTTGTGCTGTATGTAATTACCCTCTTCATCGGATGTTGAACAACAGGAACATCCCTGAACCTGGAGGTGACCACCTCCTCATCTTGACGTTTATAATCCCCAGTACGAGAATCAATACCCATAATATCGAAATCGATCGAAGAGAAGATTTAAGGCACCAGTTTCTATAAATATATGTGGCAGGGCTGCACGGCACCCGCCCCCTCCGTATGCCCTGTGGTGGCGCGCGCGCGCTTTTCCGCGCAGATTTTCGCGGATTCTAGTGCTGGAAGGCGTCGAAACTTGGCGCGGGCCTCCAATTGAGCCGCTCAGCGTGTTCCGCAGAGGCCTCCTGGCCTCTGCTGCCCCGCCTCGCGGGAGAGAGGTCTCCCGGGCAAAAGGCCGCCGAAGGCGGCCACGGTCGCGAGAAGAGCAAGCAAGCCGATGACCAAGGGCCCGGAGGGTACAAGCCGCAACGCCCAAGGGGTCCAGCCCCTCGCCTTTTGCCGCCTTCAGAGGCCTTCCGCAACTACCGGCGCACTGCTGCGACGGCGAAGCATATCGGAGGCACTTAGGGCAGAGGCAGGCACCTGGAAGGGGACGCAGACGGCCCCTTGGGCCCCTTTTGAAGCCTTCCACCCACATCGGAGGCCGGTAAGGAACAGCCAAGCAGCTGGAAGGGGGCGGGGGAGGTCACCTGGCCCCCTCTTGAGGCCTTCCACCCCCGGCAGACGCCTTCAAGAAGGGTCCGGGGCTGCAGGGCCCCCCCCTACGCTAGGGGGCGGGCACCGTCGCCCTGCGCCCTGGATCATATGTGTTCCAGTGGTGGAGGCTCCCCCCTGTGGATGGAGCGGTGGTGGCGTCCACGCGCCCTCTTTTCCGCGGTGGTTCCCTGTGAGGACCAGCGGGGGCCAAGGCCTCAAAAGGCGGGGCCTGAGGCTCCTGGCGGCTCTCTGCCTGTGCCGACTCTTGGACCTTATCAGGGGGACGGCCTCCAGGATGAGAGGGCCGCGGAAGGCGGCCACGGTCGCGAGGCCTGGCCCCTTTGGCCCTCGTCCGCCACCACCAAACGCCCGGGGGGTTGGGGACCAAAGGCGGGGAGGAGTGGGGGCAAGGCGTGCCCGCCTGGGTTCTGTCGGATACATGCAGCACGGCGAAAGGGGTCAAGCCTTGCCACCTGCTTCCCCCGGAGGCCTTTCACCACCCAAGAGACTCCCCCAGTGAGGAACCCGCACCCTGGAGGTCTGTAGGGCACACGCAACAGGCCAGAGGGTGCCCAGCCTTGCCACCTTTGCCACCTTCGGAACCCTTGCACCTCCGGCCTTCGGTGCTTCAACGTCCACAGGGAAGAAGCGGGAAGGGGTCGGAGGTGGGCTTTTGGAGGCCTTCGAGGCCTTCCCGCCCGGCCGTCCCTCAGGAAAAAGGGTCAGGGGCGGGAGCCCCCCCCTCAAAAAGTCAGATCGGGGTGGGCCTTGGCACCTGGCCCCTGGAACATATTTTATATGGAAGTGCTTAAATCTGTGGTATATCCTTTACCTTTTGAAGTGTCTACTTAGAAGTGGAACCCGAATCCTATTATTATATCGAATGAAGAGAAGTTTATTCCAGTTGAAAAAATGTCAATGAGCAACTATGAGGAAGAGGCGATGAAATAAGCCTTAAATCTCTGGCTTGTCTGCATTTCCCGCATTCGGCAAGGTGTTTGGGTCCGTTGTTTTGGTTTGGTGAAGAAACTCTGAGATTTTGCGGAAGTCGTCCTGATCCTCAATAGAGGCGGATCTCAGCACCAGTTCCTTCTTCGTGCTTTTGCACCGACGGACCATCCTTTTGAATGCCACGAAACGTTGGGCATCTACGGTAGATATCTTAGACTTTAATTACCCAGCATACTTGTTCATCTCCTTCAAAAGCACCATCCATCCTTCAGATGTTGGAGTTAGTTTTTCCCTTGAATGACCTTGTCCTCAAGGAAAAAACATTAAAACATCCAGTAGAACAAGTAGAACTCGTCATCTTCAAACATGTACTTCACTAAAAAAATAGATGCTTTGTAAGTACGACGAAAAATACGAATATGGGAAAGCTCCTCTTGCCTTAAACATGTTCCTGCTCGAGTCACTGTCACTGGCGAAGGAATAGCATCCGTTGCACCTCGTCGCCGATAAAAGCGGAGCACATCCTCTTGCCAGGCAGCGGAGACGAGGCTTGATTCATTTGGAGCTTCACAGCGGACGCCGGAGCGACGACTACTCCCAGAGTGACGATCTGCTTGAGGGACATCTTGATGTGGGCGGGTCGATGATGAAGAATAAGAAATGAAGAATTATATTATTTTTTAGGAATAAGTAGATATGAACTCAGTTACAGTTCAAAATCCAATTATATGGCGGAGTCAATTCTTGTGCAAGAACTTCTACTTGTTCTAGTCCTTGATTATATACGACCGACGTGGAGTTTATTTCAAATTCAGATGGATGTTGTGGAGAAGATCATTAATGTGGTTGTGGAGGTTTTCCAAAAAAATCTTCAGTCTACTTCAAGAAGATTCACTGTGGCTAGTGTTTTTTTTTCATTTCAGTCCATCGGCGCGACTCCATCTCCCCATCGCTGGGCGTAGTCGACAAGAGCCACAAAAAAAGGCACACCAGGCAGACGAGTCTGCCACGTGGAACCGAGTTAGACACCAACAGCCCCCAATCTCTTATTCTGCCGAGAGAGGTCCGACTTGAGGCATCACTGAGGCGTGTGCGTACTCGTACTGGCACGCGAGGTTTTACGTCCGTGACACCAGTCCACGAGCCGAGACGTGGGAATTCATGACAAAAGGAGCTGGGGCGCTACTACCTATATATTCTATCTACTTCCAAGCTTCTTGCAGCATTTACCTAGCAAGATCTTGGGCGCCCATCTTTCAGCACTACTAATAATTATACTATCACCAGCTATCTATCCTAATCTCCTTGAGTCACAATCTCCCTTGTCTCTGGGACTACCGATGTCCCAGACGGCCCATTGCTAAGGTACTTGTTAAAAGCGACTTGGCCGCCTGGGTCACGCCGTCGAGATCGTTGCAGTACTTGGGATTGGCGTCGGGAGCTCCCCCTGCCTGCAGCGCAGATTGCCCTACTACTTGCGCCTGCGAGCGTGCCGGAGCCGTCTTGTGTTCACACACTGGACGAACCGCCTCGTCGACATACACTACCAGCTGACGAAAACCTTCCTTCAGTTGTTCCGCCTTCTGGATGATCTGCGCGTGCTGTGCCTCTAAATTTTCTTTCTCTTGTGCGTGTTCTTGCGACGCTTTCAAGTTGGCCGCTTTTTCAGTAGCCAGGTCACGTGTGAGCTCACCAATTTCTGTCCGTTGCGCTTGAGATTGTTGCCCCGCCTCTGTCGCGCGACTCTTAAAGATTACGTACAGGTCCTGGAGGTATGCCACTTGCTTTTTAGCGGTTTCCATTTCCGAACTCAGCTGCAACTCGACCTCCTGGACCTGCCGCTTCTGCTTGACTATCTCCTCTTTTGCGACCCTGTTGGCCTCTTCGAGCCCAGAAGTCTCCTTGTCCTTCGCCTCCAGTTGCTGCTTGGCCATTTCTTCACTTTTCTTCAATTGGGCTTGGATTGATTGTATCGCATCTGCGTGCTCGTTTATGACACGAGCCAGCTCCTCATCGAGCTTTGCAACCTCAGCCTCCTTCGCTGCAGCCTCGTCCTTCGCCGCGCGTTCGGCACGTTGTGCAGCACTCAGCTTATCCTCGAGCCCGCGAACCGTGTCGTCCGCATCACCCAGCTTGCCTGTGAGCTCAGAAACCTCCTTGTCCTTCGCCTCCAGTTGCTGCTTGGCCATTTCTTCACTTTTCTTCAATTGGGCTTGGATTGATTGTATAGCATCTGCGTGCTCGTTTATGACACGAGCCAGCTCCTCATCGAGCTTTGCAACCTCTGCCTCCTTCGCTGCATCCTCGTCCTTCGCCGCGCGTTCGGCACTTTGTGCAGCACTCAGCTTATCCTCGAGCCCGCGAACCGTGTCGTCCGCATCACCCAGCTTGCCTGTGAGCTCAGAAATCTCCTTGTCCTTCGCCTCCAGTTGCTGCTTGGCCATTTCTTCACTTTTCTTCAATTGGGCTTGGATTGATTGTATAGCATCTGCGTGCTCGTTTATGACACGAGCCAGCTCCCCATCGAGCTTTGCAACCTCCGCCTCCTTCGCTGCAACCTCGTCCTTCGCCGCGCGTTCGGCACCTTGTGCAGCACTCAGCTTATCCTCGAGCCCGCGAACCGTGTCGTCCGCATCACCCAGCTTGCCTGTGAGCTCAGAAATCTCCTTGTCCTTCGCCTCCAGTTGCTGCTTGGCCTTTTTGGCTTCTTCGTCATTGCCATCATCACCAGGACAGACTTGGCCACAGAAAGCTCCAGCTTGTCCAGGTTTGTTGGTGTGGGTGGAAACCTCAGCAACAGCAGAAGAAGTTCCAGAGCCACTACCACGTGCTAGACCAGGTGAACTAGCTCCTCCTGCAGCACCTGCACCAGCAGGATCCTGTGTTACCACTCCAGCACGAGACTGCCTCGTGAACGAAACGGCGGACACAGTTAGCACACCAGCGGTAGCAGCCGTGGTGGCGGCGCGCGACGCGCACGAGCGGCGTTCGCGTTGGGTACGTTGGCGTTGAGAGCGTCCCATCTTTATTTTTGTTTTTTTGACAATAAATGTCAAAAATTCGTGTGGAGGTCAAGAGATTTGACAGACTCGAAGGAAGAAAATATGACTGCGCCAACCGACTGTTGATCGATGTTGACGTTGTAAAAAATGATCCTTGATATCAAGCTAACGACTCTAGCTACCTAGGAACTTCTTCTCGAAAATTTTATGACACTGTATATGCCAAGAAAAATCCGTGTAGAAGTTGTTTTATGACAATATATGCCAAGAAAAATCCGTCTGGAAGTTGTTGTATGACAATATATGCCAAGAAAAATCCGTTTGGAAGTTGTTGTATGACAATATATGCCAAGAAAAATCCGTTTGGAAGTTGTTGTATGACAATAAACGTCAAAACCTGTAACGAAGAGAATCTTCGGGAATCCTTTCCTGTTTTTTCATAGCCATCTATAACCTGAATGAGTGAATGAATGTGCCTAGCAAGAGGTGTTTGCACTGCCTTCCATGAAGGTCTTGAATCATATGTGACGTAGTTGACCTCCACCAGCACTCACCAGACAGAATCTCTTTCTCCTCTAGCAACTCAGACAGATCTGCCATAATTTTTGACTCCAACAATCACGCAAAATGCAGACGACAGACGAGCTCTATCAATAGCTCTAGCTTCTCACTCTCAACAGACAGAGATATATTTATCAATATTGATCTTGTTCACCACACGAGCACTACGTCGTGCCACTCCACTACATTCATAATGTTGATCTTCTCTGCCACTGCCACTACCTCTCCTTGTCAAACTCGTCTACTCCTCTGACCAGATAGTGTCCCTCTCATATAACTTAGATAATTCTCCACGACTACCCCTGCTCTCACCAGATAGTACCCCTAATACAGAGCCTCTATTCGGCGTTCCCGACTTGCATCAAATGCGTAAGTGCAACTCTAGCATGCGTAGGTCTTCTGCAGCTAGAACCTTCCAGGGGCTCGCAGTCAAGAAGAACAAGAACAACTTGTAGACGATCTCTAACACTCCACCTGCTGCGCCACCTGCTGCGGAAAAACAAGGCTCCACCCATTGCACCAGCAGTGGTGCCGCATGTATTTTCATCGCCAACACTATCTGTGCTGTCATGATTCTTGATAGTGTGTCAATTGTTATATGACTCATTTTCAATTTTCCGTTTGATAACCACTGGCTTTCCTCCTCTGTTATGTATAATAACACCAGTCTTCCCTCATTGCTTGTCAGCACTTTTGTATGCCGTAGTTTGTTGGAGATTCATCCCTTGCAGACGACCCTGCTCGTCGTGTTGCGTCAAGTAGTAAAAACTCTACAACAAAATCGTGCTTAGCAATGGAAATTTAACATGCTACCAGATGACCTTTTTCTTTACGCTATAAATTCATAATTTGGGATTGGCTAACGTTGATCGATCGTCTGGTGCGTGATCGATAGCTTGAAGTGCTACGAAGCCCACGACTTGGCTCGTTCTTTATGTAGACATCACAACGAAGATCCCTCCTCTTTTCCGATCTCTGTTCTTAATCAATCTCACAAACAGGCCGGGAATTATAAAAAACGCGCAGCACTTTAAGAGTGTAAAGGTGCAGTGCTAGTGTTCACAAACACTTCTCAAGCAACATATTAGATAGTGGATGACGTTGTAAACGAAGAACCCCTTAACTTTAACGACAGCATTGGGAGTCTTCCTCCTTCTTCTTCTTGTCCGCAGCTGCCAAATTTGCGTCATTTGTTAGAGTCTTGGGCCTTTGACCTTGACCTTTTGATTCATTGACCCTTTGGTCTTGACCCCTTGACCGTTAGGTCCCCTCATCTCGACATATTAACCTTTTAAGTATTACCCTTGGCCTTGTTGCATCAATTTCAATTCATAGGAATAATAGGATAGGATAGGCGTCGGCTCGCCTACGGAGAGGTGAGCATTCACGACTGTGAACCTTTGAGAGTGTATTTCAGGAGAATACAGGGCAAAAGCAGGGTATCTAGATGCTGAGGTAGTTGGAGAAAAGCTGAAGACCTTAAGTTTGTCTGTTGCGCCGCGTTCTTGATGAGAGCTTGTTGCACATTGCGAGCATCGAAGCAGCATTGTTTGAAGAAGTCAGCGTCAGATTCCTCTGGGCTGATCCCGAGGAGGCGCGACTCCATCGTAAACGTTTTCTTGGTGATCAGGTCGCGGACCTGTTTCACGTAAGGGTATTTCTGTTCACCCAGAACAGGAGTCTGTCCCTCCGATTCAATCTTCAACGACGAGCTGAATCCTTTGCTTTTTTAGTTAGAAACAGCAACAGGAACAGCTGTACAACATCTTCATGTTGTAGAAGAAGGGTCCGGGATGAGAAAGTTGTAGGTCATGGTCATTGGCCAGGGAACAAATAAAAAGGAATGAAAAATTTAAAAATATTTTTAACAAGAACTTATGTCTATCCAATAAAGTAGAAGCACCACTTCGTTCACGTTCTTCATCAATTTCAAGTATTTAAGTTCATCGATCATGGATGATCATGTTGTAGGTAGTTATAAATTTATCTAGAAAAAGTAGCATCTGCGTCCTCAAGCGCGGCAACATCTTCTTAGTACGAAAATTCATCCTCTTCCTCTGAAAATGATAGATAGAAATTTGTGACGAAAGTACACTTCTAAATAAATACGTGTCAGTTTCTGATGAAACAACAAGATCTACTAGTAGTAGAGGCAAGCGCAACTACAAATCTATACCATAAATAAACTCATGATCACTAGTAAAACTAAAAGGAAGTGACAACAAGCTACAGGCACAGTCTACAACTACGTCAACTGTAGTTAGAGCCGAAAGGTTAACCTAATAAGCTTCCTCGATAAGCATATCTATTGCTCTTAGTTTGTATGTCTTCCTTTCTTAATGGAAACAACGTCGGAGATCGAGGTGAGGATCATCTGATTCTCTGCATTTTTCTCCGCGGTCGAAGCTCCAGTGTCCGGCTTGGCCAGAATCGTCATCCCATTTTTGGAGCGACACTTATTGACCATCTGAAAAACGGCGTAGTACTCCATCGCAGAGGTTTTCTGGAATCTTAGAGCTCGCAATTCTCGTAGCATCACGAACAAGGAAGGTTGATTATCGAAGTGACTTGAAGTCTCAGATGGATTCTAAGTATCAAAAAGGAATGATTGTCGCGGCCTTCTCATCTGCCTCCTACTTGAGAGTCCTTAAGATTTGCTACCTGGGGGCTTGTTCTTTTTCAACAAGAAGAAGAACGATAGACGAGAAAGATGACCCATTACGACTTCCAAAGAAGGTCTTCTACTTACATCGTGCTGTACTAGAAGTACTAGGAACGGATAGGAGTTGACTCGCCTTCCACAGGGTGACCTGTACTACCGTCAGAAATACTAAGTAGGGAAAGGGTAAGGGACGAGATACTTATTCATAATTAGCGGTACAAGAAGGAGCCGTAAGAATGAGACGTGGCCGTGCTGTCCCTTTTGGAGAGCATTGAACCTGTAATCGATGTATTTCGCGCACGGAACCAAGTTCTTGCGCGGCTCCTGTACCTTCGTGGTCGCGAGCATCACGGCGGATGCATTTCCGACCACAGTGGTGGCAAAGACGATCTGCTTCAGAGACATCTTGGTTGTTGGAGGGTGAGTGTGTCGAGATCGAGGTCGACAAGTGAAGAATGTGAATCGAATCGAAAAATCGATGAAAAATGATTCTCCTAGAACTAAGCTAAAGCTCTTTGAATTAACTTGAAGTTGAAGTTGATGATGTTAATGGTTTTCGAGAGGATTAGAGTCCGAGGACTACAACAATCGCGAAAGAAGATGGTGGATGTGGCGGAGGCTTTTCAAAAAAGCTTCAATCAACAAGATATACTGCTGTAATTTGGTTTGTATCTTCGTCATGTTGTTTGATAAAACGGGTGGAGCCAAGCTAACTAGGAAGAGAAAAAGGAAGGATAGTAGCTAAAAAGTATATAAGTACAGAATTATAGTAATGTCCAAGCTAAGTAGGATCCGCCTATTCTAGGCGCCGCGTGTCGTCCAACAGCCCTGGAGGTCTTCTCATCAGAGGCGGCCGAGGCCTGTACTTGCCTCAGAGAAGTGCTCGGTTCTCGCGCTATGTGCACACACTAGTTCGCTCCAGGGTACCGGCCAACTTTTTTTCGTCATGTTGTTTGATAAAGATAAAAATATGGAATCGGAATGGAACTTCGAGATGAGGATCAGGATGCACGATAGCAGCACAAGCACTAGTACAAGTACAATTTGAATCAAATATTATCTTATCAAATAAAAAGTAAGACCATAGATATAGTGAACCCTCATCTCTCCACAGCAGATTTCTTCTCAGACAGAACTTTTCGTAGCAACTCAGACTCGACGGACTCAGACAGACAAACAACTTCTCCAACTACTCCACGACTCTCCACCATGTTGATCTCGCTTGTCGACAGACTCTGCTCTAACTCAAACAGAAGCATGCCAGTCAGGTGGCCTTGTTCACGACGTGATGCCTCTAATTGCACTACGTGGTATCCACTCAGACTCACAGGATAGTTGCGTCTCTTTCTCTCAGACCGACTCTCTACAGTTTCAAACAGGAACAATGTGGCTCTGCACTTCTAGTATCCGCCTGTAAAAATAACAAGTTCTCCAGATAATTTTTCTCATACACAAATGGTTTTCGCAAACCGGATGGGGCGCAATGCGTTTCACAAACGACAGACAAGTCGTGGTCTCCCGTCTCTCTCCACCTGCAAGTGAACTGATGAACAAACAAGGCCGTTCTTGCTCAGAACGAATATGGCGCTGAGTGGAAAAGGGCTCCTATTTCGTTCTGTTGAGCATATCCATCACACCTGACGTTGACGGAGGAGTAAAAAGACTATACATCACGACACAGTCTCGGTGATGAAAGATTTGCTAGCAGCCGTGGCCGTCATGGGTGTACAAAAATGAGCAATAACATCGATCAAGAATCGTAGCAGTGTCTTCACTTTGTTAGACTTAGATGATCATGATCTTTTCAGTTAGTCTTAGTGTTATGATCTCTTCAGTTAGTCTTAGCGTTAGATGGGTAAACGACGACGACGACGTATGTTTGCTGAATGCAAATCTAGTCCTACAACGGACTAAAGGAGCTTCTCCACAACATTCGTCAGCGATAAGAGCCTTCCTTCTCACGTTGTTCTTTCTCGGCAGTTTGTCCTCATCGAGTTGAATAGAAGGTCCTCTCCTACTTGGTCTCTATGACAGATCATCAGCAACTTGCTGAGCTTCTTTCACTTGGCAAGGGTTGTATTACATTTCACCTATTTCAGTGACTCGTAGTCAAGAAGAACAAGAACAACTAGACGATCTTCGACGCCGCTGAAAAACAAGGCTCCAACCACTGCACCAGCAGTGGTGCCGCAGTTTTTTTTCTTATTCCCAACATTAATATCTGTCAATTTTTATATGATTCATTTTCAATCTTCCGTTTGATGACCACTGGTTTTCCCTCTCTGTTGTGTATAATAACACCAGTCTTCCCTCATTGCTTGTCAGCACCACTTTTGTATGTCGTAGATGTCGAATCTCTTGTAGACGACCTTGCTGGCGTTGCTAGTAAAAGTACAAACTCTACAACATCTTCGTGCTTAGCAATGGAAATTTAACATGCTACCAGATGATCTTTTTCTTTAAGTTCATAATTTGGGATTGCCTAACGTTGATCGATGCGTCTGGTGATCGATAGCTTGAAGTGCTACGAAACCCACGACTTGCTTCGTTCTTTATGTAATCATCACAACGAAGATCCATCCTCTTTTACAATCTCTGTTAGTAAATCTCAAACGTGGAAAGTAGGTAGGTTGGCGACTTACTTAGATTAGATTATATTACCCTATTAATTGTTCTATTACTTTTGATCACTGGCTTTCCTCCTCTCACTGTGCTTATCTTCCCTCTAACCTTGGGTTTGCCCATTCATCTGATCACGCAATACCAATAAGTGCATGAAGACTCTGGACAAGTAGTGTAGTTAGGAATTTTTATAGACGAACTGCCAGATGATGTTTATTCAACACTATTGATGTCCTATTTACTAACTGATACTTACTCATGTTCAGCTTAGCTACATCTTTATAACCATTGATTACTGTTCGCGAATACAGAATACATCATAAATTACAGCTAAGTAATTCTCGTTGTTGTGAAAAATATCATTAATTACGAATGCCAAAAACTTCCCCGCATCAGAATCATGCCATCTTAGTAGTGACTGCTATTCTACTTCTTGTTATGAAGAAAATAAGGCAACAAAACTACGATGACTGAATATCACCCCCAAAAGAAGCCTCCACGATGAGTTACAGCAAAGTCTTGAGAGGATCAAGACTCCGATAATTCTATCATGATAGTCAACATTGAACTCAACATGATCACAGTGAATACTGAACTCACCTGCAACTTCCTTCTAATATGATTCTCCCCTCACATCATCTTAATCACTAGTCAACACTACGTCATCTTCACGTGTAGTTAAGAACGTCAACGTCTTAGCCGCTAGCAGGCTCCATCCTTTGCACTGCTAGGATCAACTTCAACAGCATGTCTTTCATGAAACCCCCATGCTGAGGTTGATACTAGCATCCCCACGCCCACCTCCTCATACTCACACTATGATACTGAATTCCACTTACTTCCATCTACAATACAATACAACTAATCTCGCACAAAGTTCAGTGCAGTGCAGACTACTTACCAGCAAGTCTCCTTCCATCTCGTTTCCATCCAAGCGACCTCCGAAGAACGAGCACCCAAGCAAGCAGCAGTATAGTAAAATAAGTGGAAATAGTATCACCAAGGTGGAAATAGTATCACCAAGTCGTCTTGCTGTTTCTTTATTAGAGCAGCAGATTGCAAAGTTATACACTCCACCTCAGAACATGATCCTGGACAAGTAGCAGACCTCTCTTTATTGTATTTCTACAAGAAAATATATAGAAAAGGTCTACTTCTCAAGGAACATATTAGATAGTGGAGGATGTTGTAAATGAAAAATCCCTTAACTTTAACGACAGCATTGGGAGTCTTCCTCCTTCTTCTTCTTGTCCGCAGCTGCCTTTTCTTCGGCGGCGGTCTTCTTGTCAGCAGCTGCCTTTTCTTCGGGGGCGGATTGTTCAGCGGCTTGGATGCCAGCAGCCAAATTTGCGTCATTTGTTAGAGTCTTGACCCTTTGACCTTGACCTGTTGATTCATTGAAGACCCCTTGGTCTTGACCCCTTGGCCGTTCGGTCCCCTCATCTCGATATATTCATCTCTTAAGTATTTTTACCCTTGTTGCATCAATTCATAGGAATAATAGCCGGTAAGCGTGAGATAAGAGCCGAGAATTATAGGCAGTAGTAACTGATGCTTACTTATCGTCTGATCACGTTGCACTATCTTTAGTACAGTGCCAGCTGTACGATAGTGCCTACCCTATTGGAATTATCAGTAAAATAGGATAGGATAGGATAGGATAGGAGTCGGCTCGCCTACGGAGAGGTGAGCATTCACGACTGTGAACCTTTGACCTTGCATTTCATGAGAATACAGGGCAAAAGCAGGGTATCGAGATGATGAGATAGAAGGAGAAAATCTGAAGAAGACCTTAAGTTTGCACTTTGCATCTCCTGGTTCTGAGCCACGATAGCTTGTTCCACATTGCGAGCATCGGAGCAGCATTGCTTGAAGAAGTCAGCTTTTGTTAGAAGAAGAGGATCCACCATTCTGTAGTATGCATATGCTTCCTTGGTAGTGGTATCCTAGTCCTACTACTATTCGACTTCAGTGGCGGAGTAGCTATCATATTTGTGGTGGAGCCGACCTAACTAGAAAAGAGACAGACCTGATATTAAGAAGAGAGATGTATTGTTTAGATTGTAGCCGCTTTCATTAGTAAGTCATTAATCCACTTCTTGAGTTTAAGCTCAAGCTTTCCTTTCTGTTCTCTCTTGAGCCAAAAGACCTGATATTAAGTATAACTACGAACAACAGTAGAGGGTCACGACTGGCAATCTTCATATACGTACATAGTCTTCTTCTATCAACATAGTGAACATAGTTGAGACACATCTGACATAGTTGGCCACATCTTTCTTTCTTCCTTTTTAGCCTAAAGCTACATGATATATATATGTAGGTAGGAGTCATATCAAAATCAATTGTATTCTGCTTGAAAGGAGATGAGTCATATCAAAATCAATGATAGGAGCTCCTACTGTATTTTCAATAAGTATGAAGAACTTCTCCAACTACCTATCTTGTTCATGCTCCTGTTGTACAACTAGGAATTGAAATTTTTAGAGGGAGATCAACATGAACATGGTTTATCATTTGCGATTTAGTATCTTTTTAAGCCGTAAGTCAGACTGATCGGCGGTGACTCCGGGTCCTGGTTTGGAAAACATCTTCTTAGTGATCAGAGCGCGGACCTGTTTCGCGTAAGGGTATTTCTGTTCACCCAGAACCGGGGTTTCGCCCTCCGATTCCTTCAAGGACGAGATGAATCCTTTGCTATTTTAGTTAGAAACAGGAACAGTTGGACAACATGTTCATGTCGTAGAAGAAGGGTTCGGGGTGAGAAACTAGGTCATGACCATTGGTCAGGGAACAAAGGGATGAAAGATTTTTATAATATCTTTTACAACTTATGTATCCAAAGACAAAGTAGATGAAGCAGCACTTCGTTCACGTTCTTCAATTTCAAGTAAGTAATCTGCAACTACCGCAAGAAGCTGCAGCTTTCTTTTCCTCATGATTGGATGATCCATCATGTTGTACGTAGTTATTAATTTCTAGGACAAAAAGCATCTGCGTCCTCAAGCGCGGCAACATCTTCTTAGTACAAAAATTCATCCTCTTCCTCTGAAAATGATCACTAGTAAGACGAAAAGGAACTGAAAACAAGCTACAGGCACAGTCTACAACTACGTCAACTGTAGTTAGAGCCGAAAGGTTAAGCTAATAAGCTTCCTCAATATTAATAAGCATATCTATGTATAACTATATCTTCCTTATTGTTTCTATTTACTTACTTACTTACTTATTCTTAGTTTGTATGTCTCCCTTTCTTAATGGAAACGAAGTCGGAGATCGAGTTGAGAATCATCTGGTTGCTCACATTCTCCTCCACGGTCGAAGCTCCAGTGTCCGGCTTGGCCAGAATCGTCATCCCATTTTTGGAGCGACACTTATTGACCATCTGAAAAACGGCGTAGTACTCCATCGCAGAGGTTTTCTGGAATCTTAGAGCTCGCAATTCTCGTAGCATCACGAACAAGGAAGGTTGATAATTATCGAAGTGACTTCAAGTCTCAGATAGATTCTAAGGATCAAAAAGGAATGATTGTCGCGGCCTTCTCATCTGCCTCCTACTTGAGAGTCCTTAAGATTTGCTACCTGGGGGCTTGTTCTTTTTCAACAAGAAGAAGAACGATAGCATAGACGAGAAAGATGACCCATTACGACTTCCAAAGAAGGTCTTCTATCTACATCGTGCTGTACTAGAAGTACTAGGAGAGGATAGGAGTTGACTCGCCTTCCACAGGACTAAGTAGGGAATAAAGGGTCATCATCATTACGTCTCAGGTGATTGTACAGAATCACCGTCAAGACGAAACATTTCCTGCGACGATAAAATGGCCGAAGAAGTGTATAACCCATACGGGCGATACATGGATAAAGGGTAAGGGACGAGATACTTATTAATTTAACTATAGCGGTACAAGAAGTAGCCGTAAGAATGAGACGTGGCCGTGCTGCCCCTTTTGGAGAGCATTGAACCCGTCATCGATGTATTTCGCGCACGGAACCAAGTTCTTGCGCGGCTCCTGTACCTTCGTGGTCGCGAGCATCACGGCGGATGCATTTCCGACCACAGTGGTGGCAAGGACGATCTGCTTCAGAGACATCTTGGTTGTTGGAGGGTGTGTGTGTCGAGATCGAGGTCGACAAGTGAAGAATGTAAATCGAATCGAATAATCGATGAAAAATGATTCTCCTAGAACTAAGCTAAAGCTCTTTGAATTAACTTGAAGTTGAAGTTGATGATGTTAATGGTTTTCGAGAGGATTAGAGTCCGAGGACTACAACAATCGCGAAAGAAGGTGGTGGATGTGGCGGAGGCTTTTCAAAAAAGCTTCAATCAACAAGATATACTGCTGTAATTTGGTTTGTATCTTCGTCATGTTGTATGATAAAGATAAAAATATGGAATCGGAATGGAACTTCGAGATGAGGATCAGGATGCACGATACCATCACAAGCACTAGTAGTACAAGTACAATTTGAATCAAGTACTATCTTATCAAATAAAAAGTAAGACCATAGATATATTAATAGTGAACCCTCATCTCGTCTCCACAGCAGATTTCTTCTCAGACAGAACTTGTCGTAGCAACTCAGACTCGACGGACTCAGACAGACAAACAACTTCTCCAACTACTCCACGACTCTCCATGTTGATCTCGCTTGTCGACAGACTCTGCTCTAACTCAAACAGAAGGATGCTAGTCCGGTGGCCTTCACGACGTGATGCCTCTGATCAATCTTGTACTACGTGGTATCCGGTCACCAGATACTTGTGTCTCTGTCTCTCAGACCGACTCTCCACAGTCTCAAACACGAACAATGTGGTTGCTCATCTCAATCTCAAAGGAGAATGTGGCTCTTCACTTCTAGTATCCACCTCTAAAAGTAAGAACAAGTTCTCCGGATAATTTCCCTCATACACAGATGATTTTCATTCATCTCGATTTGAGGGTCGTGGTTTTTTTTTTTTTGGATTGGACGTCTCTCTCCACCTGCAAGTTGAACAAAGGCCATTCTTGCTCAGAACAAGCCTGGCGCTGAGTGGAAAAGTGCTCTTATTTCGTTTCGTTGAGCATACTTACCCCGCACACACCTGTTGTTGACGGAGGAGGAAGACCATACATCACGACTCAGTCTGGGTGATGAAAGATTTGCTGGCAGCCGTGGCCGTCATGGTTGTATAAAAATAAGGATGAGCAATAACATCGAGCAAGAATTTTCGCTAGTATGTAGAAGTCTCTTCAGTTTGTTAGATGATCCTGATCTTTTCAGTTAGTCTTAGTGTTATGATCTCTTCAGTTAGTCTTAGGGTTAGATGGGTAAACGACGACCTCGAGGACGTGTGTTTGCTAAATACAAATAGAAATAGGATAGATCGAAATATTAGATGTCTGTGTAGTAAAATGAACCTCCAGCGGAAGAACTTCTATGTAAGTAGTTCGTAACATGTGTAAAAATAACGAACAACATCAATTATAAATGTCGTACTAGCTCTTACACAGTAGGATCTTCGTGGTTGGCTGTTCTTTCAATCTTAGTGTTATTGATTCAATTTCAATCAGGTATCCGCGATGATGTTGATGTCCTAGCTCTTTTATATCTCAAGCTTGATGATGATGTTAGTCGATTCGGATTGGATCTACGACTTAAACTTAAACTTAATCTTTCTGTAGTTTCTCTTATTTTGATTCAATAGTTGCGGCCGTATGCATTTCAAGATTAATTTCCTAATAAAACAAAGTCAAACTACTCTTTTTGTTTTCGATTGGAAATAACAACAAGCGCACAACAGTTGTCAACAGTGCATGATCTGCCTAAAACAGACAACCTAAAAATCTCGATGAAGAGCACGTTGGAAGTAATATGTGGACACGTAGTTTATCGTTAACGTTATACTATGCAATTCTAACGACTTTCTTTGCGACCAGCGCGTCGAGTGCACCTTGTTTTTTCTCGCGCTCCCGCCGCTTTGCTTCCAGCTCCTTCGCCAATCGAGCACTTTGGCGTCGCTCCTCACGTGCGGCCGCGCTTCTTAGAACCTCAGCCTCAAAGTCAAGACCCTCTGTTTCTCTGAAGACTACTACTAGAGGAGCTCGAGTTCGTCACTCAGAGGAGAGGTCTGTTATGAGCTCCTCTTGAGCAGACCACAGGTACTCGATAAAAAGGAAAAAAAGAAAATCACTACTTCGAACAACCGAGATACTGAAAGAAGAGCAGCTACGTAGTTACTCCGCTATTTCAGTTAGCTACCCGTCTATTTGCCCTTTTCGCGTAAGTATTCGAAAAACTGAAATAAGCAAGTAACTGATCAGAATAAGCGAGATACTGATGAGAAGGAAGAGTAGCCTTGATGTTAAGCTACCTCCCTTATTTCAGTCAGTAACTCGGTTATTTTGAGTTTTCGAATAGATACAGACCGACTATACATCTACATGATGAAGTTGATGAAGTTCGGCTACGTTTACTTAGTACACCTTCACAACACCTTGGGAGAAGAAGCAATCATGGTTATATTTTGCATGAAGGGATAGACCTAGAGTATAGAGGTGAAAACTAACCAGTTGTGTTACTTCGTGCTACAGAAGCAATCATAGTGATACAACACGGCAAATTTTTCCCCACAACAATTACAACAACTGAACTAGAGCAGCTACAGCTAGACTAAATTATACATAAAAATAAAGTAGTCCCAAAAAATGATCGTAAATTTCTCTGTCTGGCCAGGACCGTGCCTGCTCGTTCGCGAGATCCACCAAAGATTACGGCCCGTTCGCCGTCCAAAGTCCAGGTAACCTGTGGTAAGGCTGTCGCTTTGTCCACCACAGCCTGAAGCTCCAAAGCTGACATCGCCTGTACTCGGTCATAGACCTTGTTCTTCCAGTCTTCCGCAGCTTGCGTTTCTCGGTCTCTCCGCTTCTGCTCTTCCCGCATTGCGCGTAGCGAGAGCGTCTTCGGAGCCGTGCCAGGACGTTTGCTGGTGCCACCTGTTGACTTAGATGAACTACAACAGGTAGAAGTAGCGAAGGCTGTAGCTATTTACACTAAATATTCTTCCCGTGGTCCTTAGAAGTACAAGCAGTAGAGAAGGCTGGCCTACAGTGTATTTCTGCACTAGATTGATCTACAAATTTTAGTCCTGCAATTATTTATTCTTCGAAGATTTCAGTTTGACCACATATTTTTGGTCATCATCCTCATCATGCTCATACTTGACCTTCTTATCAAGAATGACCAACTAAATTAAAGACTGCAAGAACGCTTTAAATACGTGAGGTCTTAACACCTGCTGCTTGCGCCAGAGAGCCTCCTTCTCCAGCCCCTTGGATATTCTTCAGGTGGACACCAGCAGCATAGATTGCTCCGGAGGAGCCCGCTGAGACTATAGGATTGGCACTTGGATTCGTCAGCATTGCAAGTTTATACCCACGTTTCCAAGGCTCCGCTGCTCGGCTTGAATGCGGACGCGCGTGGCATAGGTTAGAAGAACAAGAAGTAGAAAAATACTCCGCAGCAGTAGAAAAATAGTTTCTAACGAAAGGGATGTACTAAAAACTGGCATTCGAAAAACTGAAATAAGCAAGTAACTGATCAGAATAAGCGAGATACTGATGAGAAGGAAGAGTAGCCTGGATGTTCTTAAGCTACCTCCCCTATTTCAGTCAGTAACTCAGTTTTTTTGAGTTTTCGAATAAGCGTGAGAGAAGAGCCGAGAATTACAGGCAATGAATGAAGAGGTAATTTCTTGGATGGACACGTTGCCGTGCTATCTAGATGTACAGCTAAGCACCTGTACAGTAGCACCTATTTACCCAAATTAACGCCAACTATAAAAGGGATGTAAGTACCAAAAAATGAATTTCCCACTTTCATCCAAAGCCATAACTACCACTATCGGGGAAGTCGGACCCACACCGCAAAGAGCTACTTCTACATTATCGGTGTGTGCGCCAACTCCTCGGGCAGGAGCTCCTGCTATATTTGCTAGTACACCAGAACTAGAACCTGCTTGTTGTTGTGCTTTCATCGAGGCATTCTGATTTTCGTCTTTGATAGCAAGTAGAGGGCCAGTTCCTGACGATACTGCAGGCAAACCCGCGGATGCTGGTCGAATTCTATTGTGGTCTAGATGACCCGTGAGACGCGTAGACGCGTCGTTTTCTTCATCCTTAAGTGCATGTGGGTTGGCTGCGACAGGACCCGAAGCCACCCCCGCGTGAGCGATAGGAGGAGCGCCAATATGGCCCATTGGTGCTTGGCCTGCTCCAGCGATCACATTAGAGGAAGAGGATCACCATGACGTCGTTTTTCATGATCCTCTGTCCTAACTTGAGCAGAGTGGTTTCCCTTGCCGAACTCCTACCTATGTATACAGAGGAGATTCTTGCAGCAGTGGTTTTCGCCCACGCATACACTCACGCACATACAATGGAACGACTTCTAGTAGTGTCTTTTGACAGGATCCTTCGCCACATTGATGAGGAAAACATTGAAAAACGAATAAAGAACTTCAGCTTGTAATAATATAATTAGTGAGTGCCGTAATAATAGCTGAGATAGCACTGCCGGGACGTGAAGTCAAAGTCGTGAAATACTTCGGATTTTGCGGCAGAATCCCTATACCATGCGTCGGCTCTTCCCAGCCCATTGCTTGTGAAAGTCGTCGCTCTCGCCATCTCAGCTGTTGCGACATCATCGAATTCCCAGTAGGCAGTTTGAAACGGCCAGAAATACGCACCATTCCGCGATCCTCCGCTAAATTCTCGAACCGTTTCAGTAGAAGTAGTTGCGCCATTGCATGCCTAGGACGATTAACATCCGCTTGACTTCTGATTCTGTCCTATGGGGAAATAAGAAGTCGAGAATGGCAGTGCGGGATGCAATGTGAAACAAGCCCTTAATTTCACCACCTCTTGCTTCTCGAGCCACGCGATCTCACTTTCAAAGTTCAGAGAACCTCCGCTATCGGTATCCAGCCAGTCGAAAAGTTCGAGCTCACGACCCTTATGCTTATCCATCTTGAGGCGCATCTTGATGCTCCTCTCTCCTTATGGAACAGCTTCAAGATGCTTTTACTTTGAAGATTGTGTCGGTTTGTCTTCAGGTCCAGTTTTAAATCGGTTAGATTTCGGTTCAAGTGGATAAGGGGAAGCCTTAAAAAAGCGTGTTGGGATCGCACAAGCGCGCATGCTCAGTGTAGCCCAGACGCTGACACCCTGCCAGAAATTCTGCTCGTGTGATGTTTCCCTGGGAACCAAAGCAACTTTTGAAACCTGAAGAAACTCGTTCGTCATCCACTATGTCGCGTGGTCCTTAGAAGAAAACAAGAACAAGGGTATTTATATATTATATTTCTTGTTCTATTTAAGTATACATATTTCTCCTCACAAGTACAGTTGTATTCTACTCCACCTGCCCTTAGTTGCTGTTGCGTTGCGGAAGCATACCTGAAATCGCCCTGATCACCTGTCTGGTTGCTGCATGCCTAGTACGTGGAGCATGCCCGAAGATCACATCCCTACCTGCATCAAGACCACATCTTTTTTAATAGTATAATGATACTATGTCAGATACGAGTGCCACCTCCTTGTAGTACTAGCACTAGCTATGATGCCTGCGTCTTATACAACTAGCCTTAAAGATAAGTAAACCACTCTTCAAAGGCTGCGTAGATATCCGGAGCAAACTCCTGGAAAGACACCATCCCAGTCGCGTCGTCATCGATGTGTCGAAAAAGCTCCTTAAGCTTGCCACGAAAACCCAAATCTAAACAGGCTTTCGCAAATTCCGTGTAGGACACTTTACCTGGTGGGGAGGAGGGGTCGTTGGTTTAATATGCGTCGTGTACACCTTGTTAGAGAGGGCGGGTCGTTGGGATAATATTTGATTCTAATCGTCTAGTTGGTCATTAAGTTGTACAGTTGTATTTACTAAACTTCATCTGTGTTTACAGCAGGTCGTAGAGGTACATACCACGTTATAATATCGGATATCTCTAGTCAAAATGTGAAGAACTCTTTGCAGGAGCTCAACTACAGCTGATCGAGCAGTTCGACATCATTGAAGAATTATATCATGGCCGAGCAGTTCCTTGAAGGACGAGGACAAGAATATGGCCGTGCATGAAAAGGACAAGGACATGGCCGTCCGTGCATGAATAAAAAATTCCCCTTCCTTATCCTTGTCGAGGTACTGAGATGAATGAAAAATTACCGCTCTTATCCTTGTCGAGGTACTGCCATGCACGAATCATGTTGCCGAATCGTGTAAGGAGCGCTGATTTGAAGTTTTCGTACAAATCAAGCACTTCACGTTTCAGTTTCTGTGCCTGTTCCATCCGTCGTCGGAGGAGCTCCTCAAGAAATGAAAAAGGGGAAATTTTTACTCCCCTCCAACCTGGGGATGGATTCCTGGAAGAGGAGACAGAGAAGGCAAGATCAAGAAGAGCAAGATTTTCTTTCATGAGGATGTGGATCTATCTAATCTAGAGGAAGTTTTTCTTTGCCAATCTAATCTAGAGGATGAAGTTTTTCTTTGCCATAAAGCCAGTGTCATTTTTTGTGCTCCACTGCCATCTTTCTTCCCACCTTTTCCACGTTGCTGCTCCAACAACTTCTCTGCCTCCTTTCGCAGGGTCTCTTCGTCTTTTTCGTGGTACAAATCGAGCAGAATGAACTTGTCCCGGGTCATGTATCCGCTACGGTCAAAGTCTAGAATGTTCCAAACTTTCAGTGCGTAATCACTCGCGAGAGACTGGGCTTCCACTATGGTTTTCGAGTGAGCTCCTGCTCGATGCCGCTGGGCTTCCACGGTACTAGACGGAAGACCGCCTGCTTGGAGTCGTTAGAAGAAGTTAAAAAAGTTCTATTACTACAGTAGACAATATGTAAAATTTAAACCGTATTAGATCTTCGAATGCTACAATAGAGCCGCATCTTGATTATCTGACATATCTTTCGCCTCGAATACGTAAAGGAGTGACGCCAGTCATCATAGATGACTGGCGTAACGATAGTTGAACTATCGGAATGAATCAATGTGTAATAAACTCGAATAAGTACTGCGCCATTGTACTAGCTAATAAACTTTTCAATTCAGTGCATAAGCTAATAAAATTTTCATAAGCAACAGACGAGTCTTCGTGCTTCGAAATTGACGAGTTGGTCGGTGTACTGGAACCATGATCAACACCCACGTTGGAACAGAGCTCAAGGAAAACCGGCTTCGGGACTCGTCCTGTCAGCTGCTCGCGCACGAAATGCTGTTCGTTGTGAAGACGTTCTTGTAGAGGAAAGAGGTATTAAGTAAGTTGACTGATTCATTGATTGATTGGAGAAAACAAAGAGGTATTAAGTAAGTTGATTGATTGATGTGCCTCTTGCCAGGGGTTGAAGAGCTGCTAATTGTTTATTCAGGTTGCATTTTTATTCGTCCACCCGGAGGGAAGAGGCAAGTACTTAATACGTTGCTGAGTAGACGCACTTATTGAAGCGAAGCGTGAAGATGACGAAGACGAACCTTCTTGCGTGGGACGAAGGGAAGAACTACAAGGCCACCCCTGTGGCATCGGGGTAGTATAATATTATTAAATATAGTATACGACCTATTTAAGAATTATGCAAGCAATAATCTATCTACCAGTCTCCACGCCCGCTCCACGTTGCCATACAGTTTCACTATGACGTCGTTCGTGAATTTCGAGAGGAGTTTGCTGTCCCCTGATGTGTCTAGGAAATCGATGGTGATGAAGCCAGTACGTTCCTGATCGAACTCATTCCACAGTTGCCTTAGATTCAGAAACCATCCGACTTCACGACATCCTCTCGTGAATTCGCGAAAGCTGATGCGGCCACTATTGTCCACGTCAAAATGCATCCAAGCTAGCACTACGCTCCCAAACTTCTGTTTGAGAAACAGACGAAAAGCATGAAGACTAGCTGGTCCACCTGGGTTTTCCTGCCGTTTCCGTCTCCGAGAAGTCCCTGCTGGAGCACTACCCGGTTTCTTTGGTGTCGTGGCAGCGTTGGAAGACACAATCACTCCTCCACCGGGAAGGCTTCTACCATCTTCGACTTCAACAGTCGTGCTCCCACTAGCCGGAGGTATTGCGACTACCTGCGCGGCAATCTCCTGCACTTTGGTCATCGCACGAGGAGGCTGGCTCCTGTCTTAGAAGAACCAGAGCATTAGCTACAACTTGTAGAATAAGAAAGAACTTGTTGGCATCTGTTTGGGCTTGTTCTGATTCTGTTGAGAAGTGAGGGAAGCGAACGAAAAGCATGAAGGAAAAGAGATGCTATAACAAGTTCAAGTCGTGTCTGATTCTTATAGCTAGTTGTAGCAGCAATGCTTCTAGATCCTTGACACGAGGAAGAAGTTGTAAAAGGTGGATGTTGTCCTCATCAAGTTAAATCTACTAGCCTTAAAAAGCGGGTCTACTTTCAGCTGCACCATCGTCCAAGAGCGACGCAAAAAGGCCATCACCTTGATTCGCATCACCTTGTTGATTCGCATCACCAAGAACGCCTCCACCATTCGTAGTTGTTCGCTGCGGCGCAGTGCTCGATGACGAGCCTCCAACTTGCAGTGTCCCAGCACCCATAGTCGTATTCAAATTTTCAGGAGTACTAGGACCGCCCGAAGATGAACTACAGGAACTGTAGTAATTGTTGAACTTTAGAACTAGACCTAACCTGTCCCGTGAAGTAATCCCCTGAACATAGTACTCGAGCCAACACTTGCCTCAATACAGGCACGGGCTCCCTCTTCAGTATTTTCACGGGATTCACGTGGAGGCAGGTTCTTCTCAGCCTTAAGAACTCTTTAAGCACGATGTTTTTACTTTGTCGTCTCTTCACTCGGTCAATCAGGTCTTGCTGCTGTTGTTTTCGCATCTCTAGTCGCATCTCCAGGGTAACCATTTGTTGCTCCTTGGTTACACCCATCATGTCCCGCTGCAATCCAGGCAAAACATCACACAAAACGATGCCCTTGCCAGAAACATCGACTAGTTGGAATAGGGCGGCAGCAGATGCAGATGAGTACCTAGAAAGATGGTAGAGGTTGGAATAAGGAGAATATTAACATTTGTGGGGGGGAATAATAGTAAAAAGGAGGCTCATCGTGTTGGTCACAGCGGTCTAAGAGCCATTTTGATACGAGCAATATTGGTGGCTTAACCTATCACATAAATCATATTTTTTCTCGCTAAAAATTGCACGTAATAAAACTCGAATTTTTGATTTTTAGACCATGCCTTGTTTTTTTCCTTTCAGTAGATTTCTATGCCAGTACTCTAAATTTTCTCCTAGATTTTGACAGAAATATTGAGTAAGCAATACTTTTACTTGAAGATTGGAAAAGAAATTTCAGACCTGAAATTTTATAAAATGAAAGAGATGAATTTTTTATTTTTCGAGCATGAAGTTTTTTCTTCGAAATTTGGTACTCCGACGCTTTATTAGAACTATTTACTGAATACTTGACACAAAATTCAAAAGGATTCACCATTAGTAGAAAATACTGAAATAGCTTCAATTTTCAAACCAACTACTTTAAACCAAATGCAAAGTTATCGCCAGGATTTAAATTGAATTAAAATGGAATAAAATCAAAATTTTTGTGAATTCAATCGAAATAATCGAAAAATTTTGATTTTAATCTATTTTGATCAAACTTATTCATTTCAAATTCAAATTCAAGAAAAAAGTGTCATAATGAATCGAATTACTCTGCTCATGTAAAAATTTCTAATTTTTCAGGCAACAAAGAAATGGCGCTTACCCCAGTCTTTGCACACAGGCAGCCACAAACTCTGCTTCCCATATCTTGCAGAAATTAGAGTAAGGACAAAGTATTCGCTGAATACATCAGGATCAACACGCCAAATCTCTAATCGACTTTGTCATTAGAAATCATAGCCAATTACCATGATTTCGTCGATAAATCAGTGCATCTTCTACAGATCAAATGAAATGAAATTTCTGAATATCATCTTCAGCAAGCATGCAATAGTGGTCGTCGCTCCCCGTCCCCATCAAGTCAAAAACCACCTTATCGTCATCCTCGTTTGCGTTTGCCTTAACGTTTCCATCAGTGTCCATTTGTTCGAATAGCTCTGGAATCGTTCCCTCCACATCATAGTCGTTCCTCACCAATCGCAGTAACTCTTCACACCGCTCACGAAATTGAGCGATCAGCGTGAACCCCACTGGATCGAATACGTCGAAACTCAGGTGCTTAGAAAGGAGGAGAAAATGTAATTACCGTTACTCGCGGCGAGTAGCAGTGGGTGCCTCAGGGATAGTCTAAGTTCTTTGGACAATCACCATTCCAACGAGGAGCAAAGGTAGCCAGCTCTTTCTGTTTCTTATTCCTCTAATTTCAAACTACGAAGTAACCTGTGCCATAACACTGTGACCACCGTCGATCGCACTAAAACGTTTCCAAATCGTCTGTATGCCTTCGGGGTACCCCAGCTTTCGTAGGGCCTCACAGAACTCCTTTGCCACCAAGCATCCGTTTCCATCTGTGTCTAGTGTGTACCTGGATGGTTCTTGTAATATTGGGTCTACTAGCAGGATTCGTATATCGGCACACCTGCAGGCTCCGGTAGACTACTGCACCTACGTCAGCTGCACATCTAGCAACGAAGACATGATCTTCACTTTCGACTAGCTGTAGTTGATGATTGTAGCAACATCAAACATACCACAATCAAAGCTAACGCGTGGTACCATGCTCGCACCATATTGCCGTACTTACCGCAAACCCATTTTCGAAAGCGCTTTATCAATGGGTCTGCGTGCAACTTGAAAATGTCTTGTTCCCGCTTAGACATATGTCGTCCTCCTCCAGGCAGGTGAGTTGGATTAGCGACGGAAGTGGGTCCGCCGTGTCCCTGCTTTCGCACAGATGGCGATGGAGATGCAGTGTCCTTTGACGCAGTCCTCGCATCCTCCTGAGTAGAAGATACCAGAGGACGGACGGCCGAGACTTCTTCTTCATGATCTCGTCTTGTAGCAGTTCCCATTTTGGTGGTCGTGGTTAATCTTATGCGTAGTAGTTTTTGATACCTATGCTTACTGTGTCCTAACAAGAGAGGAAAACTATGACACAATCGTCTGTGTGAATGACTCGAGTATGTGACGATCTTCTCCTACACAGTGGGTAGTTTTGTTCAACGCATGCTTGTGCAAACCAATCAAAAACGATGATCATCATGGTGGAGTCAAGTGGTCATCCAGTGATAGGCTACACGAGGCAACTAAATGGCTCTTTATCAAGTAGACAGAGTTATGGGCGCCAATCATATTATTTATTCTAGCAGGAGAATGATCATACAACATACCGATGCGATCATCAACATAGCAGAGAGGACAGAGACGAGTGACAACAACCGAGATGAACATTTTCCTGTCGTGACTGGCAACCGAACTCTAGCATCCGTTCTATCGCATCTCGACCGAACTTGTGTTTTCATGACTCAAGATGATCTTCATCTGGCCGTACTGGTAATCACTCACTAGTACCGAAAAGGAAAGTACGAGCGAATTCGCTTTCGTCATGTCTTATCCCTCTTGATACAGATTCGGTTGCCGCGACACCTAAACGCGCGAGATTGACCGCAGACCAAACCGCCGGAGCCGGTTGAAAACAATAAACGAACAACAACAATGCAAGTCAATGTGATGAGTGATTCCTGGTAACTCACTTTGTGGGCTTGAGGAGGTTTTTGTTCCAATTCGTCAAGATCCTGCTACTTTCACAGGACAAAAACTTCATCGAGGTTCATGGTGAAGCATCGATCAGATCGCCTTTGTCAACGACATCATGTCCGACTTTCTTCCTCGTCCTCTTCGACCCCACAATCCCAAGCGGCCTCTTCAGGAGGTTGCCATGAGCCCTCTGTTTGGTAGAAAACGAATGAGAATCGATCTTTGCCATGCCACGGAGCGACCCAATGAGGATATCTACCATCGACTTTCGCTAAGCGGTTCTTGCTATTCAGTGATATCACCCGCCAAGGATCCCTGTGATGTTCCACACAGAGACCTCCATTGAAGGGGACATTGTTCTTGGTCGTCGTGGTCCTGGATGGAGAGGATGGCGATGGGGATGGGGATGGAGAGGTAATTAATGAAGGAGACCCTGGAGAATGCGAAGCAGTAGTTGTACTTGCTGATGACGAGTAGATTTTTAACGTATCTTTATTCGGGGAAGTTCTCTGCGTCGAACATGGAGACCCTTGCGAAGCTGTCGAGGCGGTCGAAAGAGTCGGAGAGGTTATGCTGGCCATCGTGCTGTCCTTCTCAGGTTGTACTAATGTAGAAGATGCTTGCGTCACCTTGATGTCCTCCTGTTTTCTATCTCTACCAAAGTCCCCAACCGCGATTGCATAGAAAAACCCAGTGTTTTGCTTGTCGATGTGCGGCGAACCTTCGAAGTTATGAGTCACTGCCAGTTGCGTCCATTGCGTAGAAGCAAACTCAGGATCCACAGACTCCACTATCCGACGTGCCACGTCCCACACTGCTTGATGTTTACGCTGTTTCCGCAAAAATCGAGCTTGCTTACGGCTGGCGGCTGTTGAAGGTTCGAATCTATCAAGCCTGCTACTTTGTGGATCTGTTGATCCTACTGCAGCAGGTGTTGTTCTATGTGCATCTTCTTGCATTTCCACGCCCACGACCTCCACATCGCTTCTTCTCAGAATCATGTAGTGCGCGGCTTTGATTGAGGGTCGCTCTCGCGTCGATTTCGATGCTTTTTTCTCTTCTGCTGCTACCCACCTCCGACATTCCTCTAGCATCTCCGCACACAAAGCTTCCTCCACTGGGGTCCCATAAAAGCGGTCACAAAAACGCTTCCCACCAAGAGAAGGGCGGCGTTCGAACCCTCGCTGATAACAATCTAGAAGTCTGCACATCACTTCTTCTCGCTCGAGCTCTTCGTAACCATTTTTGTCGTGATAATTATCCTCGTCCTCTCTAAGTGCCACGTCTTGATTCGTCGTTGATGCGATTTTGCATTCTCCATCTCCCACCTGCTCATGAGGGACCCTGTCTACTATCTCATGCATCTGTGCTAGTCGTCGCCTCAACACTCGAGTTGGATGAGGCTCGAGTTGCGCTCGTAGGTCTTGAGCATCTCGGTCTGCGGGTCGTGCGCCCTCGAGTTGGCCAAACAAACTCATCTTGATCTCTAGACCATACGGAGCAGCCTCTTCGTGTAACTTGGCAAGCAGCAGTGGGCACCCTAAGCGTTTGTTGAACCGTAAATCGAGGACGCGCAGGCTGGGTAGTACACGGCAAAGTCGGGGTATGATCCTCTTGATGTCGTGAGCGTCGCTAGTATGCCGATCTAAAACAGGAGGAGCTGGTGGAGCTTGCGACCCGCCCTCGCACTCTTTCTCTTCATGCGTATGCCCATAAGATGACTCTTCTTGTATAAAAACTTGCAAACTGCTGGGCCGCAGTAAATTTCGTGTCACGACAAGCGTTTCAAGATTCGGCATCACCTCCAAAGCTCGCCAGGGAAAACTTTTCAGGTTGTTGCGGTCCAGATTCAACGTGCGCAAGCCTTGAATGAATGTTCGAATCTGCTCCCTTTCTTCATCGTCTACTTCCTCACAAACACAATCTTCTTGTTTACCAAGTTGTAGAAAGAGTTTTTCGGTTTCGTCCGCTGTCATTTTCCATAACGACAGGGTCAATTCTCGTCCTTCATTTCCTGTCGGGGCCTCCTCTTGGCAGATTAGACGATGGATCTCCTTCGAGAGCCGGCTAGACAATTCCATTATCCTTCCCGCCGCTGGAGGCGCATCCTCTGCCGCAACGGGATCAAGGGTAGGAGCCATTTTGCTTGTTTTCACTCAAGCTCAACAACGCAAAGTCAACATACATAGATGAACGGAGGTGGAAAAGGGAAAAGTGACACAGTCTTCATTAGCATGATTGAACTCACTCCGTAGCTGCTGCCCTTCGATGACGGTGATTTGATGTGGTATTTCCAACTATGTGTAGCGCTTGCGCTTTCTGCAGTCTCACTTGCTTGATGAGCATGAGCTAAAAGACGTTTCATTGAGCCCTACCTGGATTCCTATAATTCGGGGTATGATCATATTTCCGCTTGTCGTTCTTAGATGACGATGTGGAGACACACTTTTGGAATCGGAAACGGAAGAAGATCTTAATCTTCAATATTCATAGAACTCAACGCCAAGATCTTAGCCAGCACGCCATGGCTGTTCACAGAACAAGTACCTATTCTTTCATTTTAAACGAGATCATTTCAATCACAATCTATGTATTAGTTTTCCATAATGAGCGTGGTTGTCTGTTACCAGCGGACTTCTTCCATATTTATAGTACCTACTAGTCATACTTAATAGTAGTCTCTTTCCCTGAAAAGTTAGTAGCAAAAATTAAAGAGCTAAAAAAATGATCAACAACGTCCCTCCCAACCTCCAAGACCCGTTGTCATCAGAGAGCTTGCTGTCGTCGTTGCATTACCCATTTTTTTTCCCTCTCCAGAATTATCAACCTCCTCATTTGAGGAATCTGCAAAGATGCGTGCCAGTCTCGCTTGGGCTGCTGCATCGGAAACCTGGCTGATGCCATCGTCTTTGATTGTAGCTCGTCGTTTGAAGATTTGTATACTGCCGGCAGCAGTCGAAAAGGACGAAATCGCTGGCAAGCGTGCTCCTGCTGGTCCGACAAGACTGCTTTGTTGAGTAAGAAGGCTGCTCCACCGCACAGACGTTTCTTGTGGAGCACCGCTAGCAATAGGGGTTTCACTTTTTCCAACTGCACTAGTGCCGCTACCTGTGCTAGAGGTAACAAGACCAGCTGCGACTGACAGTGACGCAGCAAGCGCTTTCTTGGCATTCGTGGAACAGCATCATCATCGTCGAAAATGCGTGCCAACCGTTCTCGATCCCCGCTGGAGAGACTGGAAATTCAAGCGCCCAGTCCTTTGACGGAAGCCGACAAGGCCTTACGAATCGCTGTAGAGAACAAACCCGTCACTGTCGTGATGATATGATGTTGCAGCTACTTTGTGACCGTGAGGACCATGAAAAAGAACGAACAACAGTACTAGAGAACGACCATGAGGAAAACTAAATTTAGAAAAATGAACCTTGCCAAGATCTCTTCTCTATAACATCGGGATTGAGGGTCGACTCTACGACGAGAGACATTGGGAAATAATCCAAGGGTTGTTGGATGCGGCGAGATAGTCGTAGAAGTTGCGACAGAACTTAAATTGATGAAGCAGTTGGCGACGCAGAGGTTGACTCCGATGATGTTCACGACAAGTATGTGTATGGTCTCGACCGAGGCCCTTACGACAATTGCTTCTCAACGAAATGTAGAGCCACGCTGAACACCGATACCGATATCATGTAGACCTACGACCGAAATGCTATACATCAAGGCAAAGTCGATCAAAACCCAAGAGAGTGGCAAACTCCTTTCGGGTCCGACAGCTAACCTTCTGCAACGATCATCCCACCACGAGAAATCAGCCGACTCTATTGGATGGAGGTCACGACATCTAGTGATAGGTCGGACGATCGGGAAACGATTCCTCATATTACAGTTCTCCGTGTTGCGACGTGTTGTATATGAGATGTTCGATAAGGGTGGACCTTCAAAGAGACAGCGAACTCGATGCGTCGGGATACGACCGAGAAATACTAAGGACACAACTCACGAGAATACAGATATGTTTGTATGTCTGACGTGTAGATTCTTCGCATACACATATCGCAATACTTCTTTCTAACAAATTCAAACTCTATTCAGTTAATGTTACTATTCTTCTTCTTGGATGAGGATGACAGACAATTATATCGAGAATAGTTCCTATCGCGGTATCTTCGGTTGTATGCTGTCATAGTAAAAGTAATCATATAGATGGTAGTTATAAGAAAGGACTTTTAGAAGATATAATGGTACAACAGAAAGATAAATGAGAAGATCAAATTCTTTCATGTAACAAAATGACACGAAAGCCCTCACTCGAGGACGCTTCGTCCACATATTTCCAATACAGCATAGGGGATACGAGGGAGAATGGTTGCTGCTTTATGAAGCCAGAATCTACATGTAAATGCTACGCATGTTGACCATGATGATTCGATTAATAAAATTCAACCTCCCTCGACCCTCACAAGTTGTATCATTCAAATAATTATGAGAAAACCAACAAGCGGGATCTCCTGTTTTCTACTTGTATCGTGCCAGTTCTTACATCATCTTCTCCAGGTAAGGTGATATTAGAACTAGACGAGACGGATTGCTATGAAGACTGACCTGACCACGCTGAGGCTGACGCTCTCATTCATGAGGTTAAGTTATAATGATAATTCGTGGAAGTTAGTACTAGATTATATTCAAAATAGTTTTTTGTTTTCGATTTCGATGAAGGTGCACCTATCTTCACCAGGAGTAACCGTAACCATCGAAAATTTATTGGTGAGTTTTCATCCAAATCAATCTAGTTACATGTCTGTTAGGCAAAATCAGTTCATCGATAACGCGGCCACAATGGTCACCCTTCGATTTCCAAAACACGGCACGACCTCTAGTAGTGTTGAGCGGGAAAGGGACTATGCTTAATACCGATATTAACTACACCTCAGTACGAGAACTGGTGCGCAGCAATTACCTAAAAAAGCGGCCCCACTTACTTAGTTATCGTGCAACTCTATCCTCAGCTACGTATTCATCATCTTCAGGCTCGTATAATGTTTTCAATGAAGAAGACGAAGGCACGGTAACAGATACGAACAATTCACCATCTACGATCCGTATCCTCCGTAGTAGGGGTTTTGGTTACCATACTGAGGGAATCCGGAATTTCCGTAGAACGAGTGACCGCCTGTGGCACCTCCATACTGCTGTTGCGGTGGATTTCCCCAAGAGTCATATCCACTCTGCATACCCGGATGTTGCTGCTGTCCCATTTGATGCTGGCCATAGTGCTGCTGCTGTTGAGGTTGGCCCATCTGAAAGTAGAATTGTTGGAGGGGTTTCAAAAAAATGTAAGACGAATAATTTACTGTGGAAGAAGATGCAGATGAAGGACTGATAGATATTTATAAAACAATACTTACATCTCTACACGTGCACTCATCATCCTGTTATTCTCATCACCATGTCATCAAATCAGAACGAAGAAAATAAGGTGAATATAATCAAAATACTCCGCTTGCGCCTGAACCTCCGTATTGATCAGGCCTCTGCATCTGTTGGTCCATTCGCTGGTGTTGCATCTGTTGACCTGGGTGGAAGTCTCCTCCCTGCTGGCCCATATTTCCATGGTTGTACGGCTGTTGTTGCATCATCGGGTTGTAGGAGCTGGCTGTTCCTGGAGCCGGACCACGCTGCATGTTGCCTGCACTTGCAGCTCCTGGGCTGTACGGGTTTTGAGCTCCTGCTCCTCCACCCATGTTGGACGGCTGGCCCATCTGTTGATGTCCGCCCATCATCGCTGGGTGCTGTTGGTGCTGACTCGGGTGCTGTTGGTGTTGACTGGGGTGTTGCTGGTGCTGACTCGGGTGCTGTTGGTGTTGACTGGGGTGTTGCTGGTGCTGACTGGGGTGTTGCTGATGTTGGCTCGGGTGTTGCTGATGTTGGCTTGGATGTTGCTGATGTGCAGCGGCAGATGGGTGCTGCTGGTGCGCCATGCTGGCTGCTCCTGGGTGCTGTTGGTGCGCCATGGTTCCAGCACCCATTCCTTGCTGCATGTGAGGCGGCACTTGCGCGTGGTGAAGGTTGGGATTTATAGATTGCGGAATACCCTGTTGTGTCTGCTGTGTTGAAGCGTTAGTGCCAAAGGTGCCTGTTGACGGTCCTTGCTGTTGTTGATGCATCGTTCCCTGCTGTGCGGGGTGCTGCTGCTGGTGATGTTGCGGTTGGGCTACTACAGAGGCAGCTCCGTGCTGTTGATGTTGCTGTGCCGCGTTGTTCAGAACAGCCGGCGAGGGTGCTTGCGGCTGCTGCATCTGTTGCTGCGCTGCGGCTGGTGTGCTTACAGCATGATGCTGTTGTTGCTGCTGAGCACTCATATTGTTTGCGGCCGCGTGCTGCTGCGCTCCCTGTTGCTGAGGCGCTTGCTGTTGGTGGTGCATTGCTGACAATCCGAAGCTTGTGGCAGCCGGCTGTTGTGGTTGTGGCGCCTGCTGCTGTTGCTGCTGCGGTACGACTGGCGTTGATGCCACCGGACTCGGCGGACTTATCTTGTCCACGACAGCGTCAAAGTACCTGTAGAGTAATTAAGAAAAACGATATTAGTTTGGCCGTAACTTCATCCAAACATTATGATGGTGATGGCCGCCTATTAAAAACAAGCATACATTTTCAGCTAAAACATGAAATTACTCGAGACACTAGAAGTAGTATCTTCTTCCTCTTCTTGGTCTTGTTGAAATTTATAAGATGATCAAACTTCCACGCACTGAGCAGTAACTAGTATCTATGTATAAGTAGTTGATGTTGTACTCAATCAAATCCTCGCTTGCAATCGGATTTGTTTGTTCGACTTTTCGGCCCCAACCTACGAAGATATCCGTCGGAACATCCGCGCCGCCTTTCGATTTATCAGTCCGAGCCCTCACAGAGACAGTAGTGCCCGCAATATTGACGTAGTATAAGTCCCTCTTGCTGCTATTCTGGTCCTGACCGCTTTCTGCTGCCTGGCGCGCTAGCTCTCTCAAGACGCCATTGCGATGCTCCACTCGGATGAAGGTGATCAGAGCACACCCCATAGAACTGTGCTTCTTGCAGACCTGAGGAAGGTTTTAGACGCACTTTGGTGAGAGGGTCGTACTACTTGTGTAGACTTCAACACGACTATCAAATTAGTTAGTCATGATCATCGTATATGTGTGTAAACTTCTATGTATCGAGTTAGTCTTCATGATCATCTACATCTTTGTATGTAAAATATTGAATTGTTTACTGCAGACGCAGCCGCTACTCTTGTATGTTAAAAAAATTGCAAATACTTTATTTACTTGGTAGATAACCAACAACAAGGACGAGCAAGTACAACAAACTCTAGTAGAATAGAAGTAATACCACATGTTTCCCTGTAGTTTCTTGTGGTTTTTTTCGTCCTTCTTCTTCAAACCTGTTTGCAGCGCTATCACGCTCTTGAAAGCCTGCATTGGAGTCTCGCCTTTCCAGTGGCAGGAGTGGCGTAGCATTAGGTGATGACGATGTCGATTGCTTACTCGCCACGTTGCTGTTGTTCATCACGTTGGATCCTTGTCCACCACCAGGATGTCCTCCTCCCATGCTTGACCCAGCTGCCACGTTAGGGTTATACACATTTTGCATCATCATTTGATTGATGCTCTTGTTATGAGGCGGATGATGTTGACCACCCTGGCCTCCTCGATCATCCCGACTAGAAGCACCTCCATTGTTGTACGAGCCACCTCCATTACCGCCTTGGTAGCTGTTGTTGTTATAAGAAGACTGCTGCTGATACTTGCCGCCACCTTTGCTGTTCATCTGTTGCTCCCTTTGTTGCAGTCGCTGCATCTCCAACTGCGTGTAGTCCTTCCTCTGCCCATTGTTCATGTACACCTGGGTGTCGTGACCTGCGTCAGGACTATCGTCTAAAGCCTGGTAGCCTTTTTTGCCTGCTCCTCCATGGTAGTTACCAGCATCACTGACCTTGCGAGAGTCAACGCGTGGCTGTTGAAGATCATTGTTGATCATAATTGGTCTCGAAGTGAATCTTCACAGAATATAGGTGCTAAACCTGAAGCTGCATCAAGTGAATAGACGAAAATTGTGGTTCAAGAATAAATACTGATTCTGGAATCTGATTCGTTTATGAAGATCTACATACTTTGATGACCATCAACAAAGTTAGGTCCTTCGTGTTAGGAATTAGTACGCTTTGTTCGAAGTTTCGTGGCGTGCCGTTGATACCCTTGCCCCGTCCCTTGTCATCGTGTGAGTCCTGTAGTGGTGGTTGATGGAGGTGGAATAGTCTTAGTCTGTTGTTCTCAATATTTTCTAGCTTACTTGTGTTCACTTTGTTGTTCTCGATTTGAGGCATTTCCATACTCTTTTTAGATTCACCGCCCACTTCTATCACTATGGTATTTTACCAAATTAATAGTCGTACCTTATGATCCTTTCCTCCTCGTCCACCCTTCATCTCGTTAGGCGCAAAACTGGAATAGACTCCACCCTTTCCAGCACCTTTCTTGCCTCCTGGAGTGGGAGTGCTACCATCATGATCGAGACCTGGAGTCGCGCCATAATCCGGCTCCTCTCTCTCGGTTCGGTCAAACCAGCTGCCTGCGTCTCGTGGATGCCGCAAGTTGACATCTGATCCTTTGCCGCCGCCGTAGTGCTGTTGTTGGTGGTGATCATGGTGATGATCACTCATCATGAAGAAGAAGGTGTTGGAGGTGGTCTAGGGTTTATTAGGGAGTAGAAGACGAAGATGTTTCAACCTTCTTTGACTCATAGACTTTGATGATGAAGCAAGTCATTGTGCCAAGAATATCAAATTGAAATCGATGTGTTCTTGTGATCATGGTTCAATAAAGTAGCTAGGTAGTGGGATAAGAAAAAGAAGGATTATACATGCAAAAAGACACAAAAATTCATACCCTATGCTCAGGAGAAGACGCAGTCTGCTTAGCACCAGAAAACGCGTCGTACACCTTGGTATAATCTGGTCTGCCTCCTTTTGTACTATCACCTCCAGCTGGCGTCTTTGGCGCTGTGGTGTTCGTTTTGGTTGTGATGGTGGGTGAAGATGGCAAAAGTGTGAGAGTGAGATGCAAGTCATCAAACTGAAGATAAGAAAGTGTCTGCCCAACTGAAGCATGCTGGAAAGTCAAGTACATGTCTGAGCCCAACTCTCTTTTTAGTTTCTACTCCTAACAACAAGTGGGGGGAGTCGGAGGAGCGTCATAAAAAAATACAATGTCCTCCGCCCATCGGCCCGCCTGCTCCTCCTGCCGTTACACTATGCGCATCGTTCAGATGAACTTCTGCACTCTTTGTTCGATTGCTACCAACTGCAGATCCTGACTGCGCAGCCAAAATATCCTTCAATTTTTTCGGCTTCTCGGCATCCGTCAGTTTTCTCCACTCATTCTTGTCGTAATCCCAGATCCAATCTTTCTCTTCTGCTTTCCATTTGGCTTTTTCTTCCTTTCGCTTTCTCTTCTCCTCAGCCTCCCATTCTTCCCACTCCTTCTGTTCCTTTTCTCTTTGTGCACGTCGTTCAGCGCGCTTAGAATCTTTCTCCGCCTTCAGTTGACGAGCCTCCTCCTCTCTCTCTTCCCTTCGGCGCTTTTTTTCCGCCAGAATGCGCTGTCTCTCCTCCTCAGCAGCCTTCTCCTCAGCAATACGCTTTTTTTCTGCCTGTGGTGAAATAAAGATAAACAAGGAAACTTTTACAAGTTCAAGCTTTTCTCATCCGTGACAGCATCATATTCTGTCTCTTCCGAATGATCTGAGGAAAGCTTCAAAATTTTTAACTGTAATAAACGATAAAAACAACAAGAGCATAAACATAAGACTCCGGCTCTCGGTGGGGATTTGGATCAAGTTTCACAATGGATCACAAACTTAAACATATTCTTATTCACTGCAAGAGTGGTGAAAGGAGAAAGCGGAATAATCTATCCGTACCTTGCTGATAACTTTATTCCAGCCATTATCTTCCTCGGGTTTGTTATCCAGGACAGAAGCAACGTGCTGCTCTACCGCAACGTCGTCGTAATTGAGCTCGTGGACCAGTCTCGAAATATCACTGTTGTTTTAGTTACAGTAGGGAGTAGAAAGAGCAGTTGTCGAGGGAGATGTGATCAAGGCAATGCAGTCTTCTAAATGATGTTGACCATGTAACTTGATGTTGATGGACAGCTACAACTAAATAAACTTGTACAGCTACTACAACTAAAAGTAGTACAAACTACAAAGTGAAGATAGGCGCAAAAAAATAGAAGTACGCTTTCGTATAGCCATATGGTTCCAGCGTTGGCAGAAGGTTGGTGACCATGTCAACCCCCTTCGGTTCTAGCTTTACTTCTCGGGCGGGGCCGTCTCCTTGGAGGTACTCCATGACCCGTTTTTGAACTTTTATCTTTTCTTCCAAATCGTCTGACGTCGCAGAGGTACCAGAAATACGCTGTTCTCCAGCGCCTGGACTTGCAGCTTTAGTCTTGCTATTGGCAGCAGCCGCTGACTTTGCGTTTTTGGCATTACTGGCAGAGGAAGTGGTATTGTTCTTATCCTGCCATGAAGACTGCTTCGAGGTTTTGTTGTCCTTATCAGAAGATTTTGTTTTATCGTTCTTGTAGGAATTATAGGAGTCCTTTTTGTTGTAGTCCCAAGATTTGTCCCACTTACTATTTTTATCCCAATTGCTCCAATCATCGTTCTGGTCTTTCTTTGAAGCAGATGTGCTGCTATCATCTTGCCTATCTTTGTTGTTCGCTGCAGAAGATGTTGAACCTTTAGTCTTCTTGCCTTCTCCTTTTTTAGTGGTAGAGGTCTTGGCACTATCATTCTTTCCACCTCCAGCAGTGGAGGTAGCAGTAGTTCCTTCTTTTTGATCTGCTGCAGCTCCACCATCGTCTTCAGCAGTGGTCTTTGACGCGCCTTTTTCTTTACCTCGTCCTTTTCCACCCTTTTTACCCTTTTTCGGCTTCTTATCCTGCAGCTCACCAGTAGTTGTAGTACCTTCTTTTGCATCCTTAGATGAAGGAGCGTTCTTATCTGCTCCACCACCTTCTTCACCGTCTGCACCGGCTACACTAGTATTGTTTTTTGGTGCTTTGCCGCCAGCTCCCTTCCGCGGCTTTGCATCAGCTTTACCTGTTTTAGCGGCAGAACCATCTGCTTCAGGGTCTCCACTAGCTCCATTGTTTTTCGACGAGGAAAAGCCTCCCTTCTTGTTGCCCTTTCTTGTCGTTCGTGCTCCGTTGTCCTTCATTTCTTTAGAAGTAGATCCAGCTTGATCTGTTGCGCTGGTCGCCTTTTCATCTCCTGTGGCAGCATCCTCTTTCTTCCGGTAAACCCTGTTGCCCTTGCCACCCTTGTTACCCCTAGTGTCGGGCTTAGCACCCTCGTCGCCACCAGATGTCATCGGGAAAGAGCGAAGTTGGTGGAACAGAAATAAGATACGACACCGGGTGAAGATGAAAAATGTACAAGAAGAGAAGTAGTAGTACAGTGACGCTTCTACTTCTATTTGCTCCCTCTGGAAGGCACCACGATCAGAAGATGGCAGATCTCCTGTTGCTGCTACAATTTGTGGATGGTACTATGATAGTGCGAACGCTATAACGCTGTTTCTTCTTCTAGACCGTCTCGGCGACGTTAGTTCCTTCTTAGTACTAGTATGTAAAAATCCCAGAATCTGTTGAAATCCTCGTGTAGAAGAAGTTGCTTCTACATCGATGATATGACAATTTTTATGTTGAGTGCAGTTGTAGTTCTTCGTGTGAAGGGCCCGCGTGGCCATGATGTTCTTCTTGATGAAAATTCCGTCTTGCTCCTGTTAGCGTCTAGTTCGTGGAGCCTCTTTCTGCTCCAAAACGTGAAAGCTGCTGCATGCAGGGACGATGTAGTCGGGGATCTTCTCCTTGTATGAATATCGGACGATTTTTACATGCGCGAACGATAATGCATTTTAATAATGGGCTTGAAGATCGATGTACTTAGACACGTGGAGTTACAACTTCTTGGCGCGAGAGGCTTCTATCAGTTGGAGAAAAGTAGGTCAGGGGATGCGAATTTTTTCGAGTAGAAAAATATTCTGCGGGAAGAGGCACGACAAGGAAACAAGAGAAAGCAAGCTAGCGATTCTTGTTTCCTTTTCCGTAAATCACTGTGTACTGCAACTATTGGTATTGATAAGAAAAAGTAACTACTGTGTACTGTAACTATTGGTATTGGAAGGTGTTAGTTGAGGGAGCCGCCAACCTTGATGCGCTTCTCACTTACGCAATGAAGATCGTTGATCTGCAGTCGTGATTACAAGTTTTGGTAGTCATTCAGATTCAGCATTCTCCCCGAACGGTGTGATTAGAAATTTCAGTGATGTACGAGCTTAACCATCACTAGAACTAGATCAAAGCGACATATTGATATTTTCAAGCGATAATTTTGATTCAAATTATGGTCCGTCTTTCGGATTACAAGATAAGCGGAAGCAATCATGACCCCACCAGTAACAAGGCTCACTTAGACGAGCAGAAGCACACGCTGAGTTGAATTTGAATTTGGACAGCTGCAGCACTTCTTTAGTAGTATGCAATAGGAGAATCAGACCAGCACTTCCACAGGAATATCTATGTGTGTTGAACACGAAAAATGGAGCTTCTGCGTCCGTGGCACCGTACGAAATATCTTCGTGGTGCGACGTACTAGCGACTTTGTATTCATCAGTGTTGCTACTGCTCATTTTGACTGCAAAACTATGGCGGTTGCGATGGTGAAGAAGATCATATTGATACTTATTCTGCATTTCATTACTATGTGAGTAGTAGTAAGGAGTTGTAGTAAACCCAATCCGTGTCGTAAACGAGCGTCAATATCTTTCTAGTCGTAAACGGCGCCAAAAAGGAGCTGAAGTCGTGTGATCATGCGACAATTTTCGTTTCTTGGAACAAAAAAATAGATGGAGCGGTGGATAAATTTTTTCCTTGATATGTTTATGTTCTTAGACGTTCACTATCGCTACAGTAATATATACGTGCTACAGCAAAATCAAAAATATCAAATCTAAACTATGGAATGCTGCAGTAGGAATTTTGAAGGAGCAAAATGCACCCGCTTCCGGTACTCCCGGAAGCCCGCCCTTTCCGCGCTTGTAATGAGCTGCGTCGGGGTGCGGGGTCGCCACAGACTACCCCCCCGGCGATTGGTGGCGGGAGCCGTTGGCGATGCTCCGTAAAACAGCCTCCCCCCTTAGAAGTTAACCTCCCTCAGTAACAGTAGCCCTCGTATTTTTTTTTGTTGCAGTAGATCGCCGCCTTCTTCTTCTGGCTACCTATGGCTGCATCGGGGGCATCCTCTCATGTTGCGCCCGGTGGCCTCCGGTCCGGCTTCATCTTCTGAAAGACGTGGAATCAAGCAAATGGCGCCCCTATTTGACGCGCAGGCATCCCCTGCTCTGCCGGGGGGGGGCAGACTAAAGATTAGCGTCTGGGGGTTCTTTGCTTTCAGGGTGATAAGCTGGCGCTGCTTTCGTCTGTCTTAAGCTTAACCCACGTAGTTACTAGTAGTGCGGTCTGCGTTGTGGGGCGGACTCGTTATGGCCTCTCTGAACCTAAGAAGACGATGATGCACGAAGATGGAGACAAAGACAGGAGGATCGTAGGAGTGTGGTGGCGGTCAATTTCACGTAATGAAGCTGGGACCCGTGCAGCGGGGAGATCAAAGCGAAGAAAAGGACGGAAGGAGACGATGATGCAAAGACGAAGAAATGGAGACTATTTTCAGGCACAGAGTAGGATCTAGTGTAGCTCCACCAATGTAACTCGCGCGCATGTTGCAGTTAGCCAAAAGCATCCGCTGACTTCTTTCACCAACGTGTTGCCGCGCAGCTCCACCTAAAAAGGCCCAGAAATTAATTAACTTATTCACGCGGACAACCTTCCGCCGCCCAATGCTAGCACTCTCCTAACGCGCGCGAAGGTGAGGCGAACAGCGTCCCGGGTGGCAGATGCTAGCTGTGTAATTGCCTCCGCCTTTTCTCCTAGTCCTTGATCGTGGTAAGCGTAAATCGTAGGGGCTTTGGCGCAGTTATTAAGGAGGTTAAGAGCCCCGAGAGCGCCGGTAGGTACGCGGCAAATATGTAGCCAGGTTGTTTACGAAACTCGCTTACGATACAAAAAAAGTAAATACTAAAATGGAATTGGATTGAATCTATCTTTTTGAAATAATCATCCATGTGCAATGCTGGGGCCAAGAGTAGTCATGTACAAATATGTAACAAGCAGAAGGTCGTAAAAGTTGGAAAGCGCAAGATTGATGGCTAGAAATTATAATAAGATGAACCTAGAAATTATAATTTTTAATGTTCTTCTTCTATGTCTATTCATCATTTAGTAGTACGAAGACACCAGCACAACAAGTAAGTAAAACTATGTTGTGAACTCTAGTATGATGGTGTGACTTCTGAAGTCTTAACCATACACATCCATTGCTGCAGCGACGTCATCTACATTCAGATTGAACCACATGGACATGTTCATGTGAATTGCTCCCGTATGCACAGGGCAGGCCGCGCGCATCTCTTCGAGCTGTTCTCTCTTTGTGCGGCGAAATCTCTTGACGACCCCAAAAGTTTTCCCCATGAAGTTGCGAAACTCGTCTACTCCCGCAGACGTGTCACTATCGTACTTCCCACCAGTTGGCTTCGTCACACAGTAGATGTCTCGCTCAAGGTGCATCCGTAGCATTTTGTGATACTGTCCGGAGGAGAGAATGTACCGAATTCCAGCCGGGCTGAAGTGGCAACGTCCGGGACCTACTCCACGGTAATGAAGAAGTTCCTCATCCTCACTGGTAGAAGTACTACTAGCTGTGCCATTAGAACTAGGAGTAGTTGTATTTTTATCACCACGAGAAGATGACCTAAGAGAAGATGCGGGTCGTAGTTGTCCTTGTTCTATTGTTTTTTTGACATCCTCTTCGTATTGTTGCTTACTTAGAGGTTGTAAGAACTTCGTCAACAGCTTGTGTGTGAGGGCGTTGGACAGCTGCATTTCGCTGGTTTGAACCCGGAGAGGCCCCCAGCATTCTTTCCACCTGCGAAACAACATACCACACATCTGCGGTTGTTCCGGCATTTTTGATGAGTCGATTTTCAGGCTGTGAAAAATGCAAACGTCCAACCACAATGGCGATGAGCCATCGTAAAGCGTGTCCCCGCAAGCGTGGTCCAGTTCGCGGCCGTACTCTTTTTCCAAGTTTTTCTTCGACTTCTCCAAAAGCTTGGAACACGTCTGAAGCTCTTTGGCAGCTTGCTCCGAGTCAACCTGGCATAAATATATATGAATCTTCATCTAGAGTTTTTGAAGACGGGGCGCCGATACGTACCATGATGTTTCGTTTTTGATCAGGCGACATATCACTTTTCATGAGGACGGACAGTCAATAAAAAATGATCGAGGTGATGTAGGTGTTGGTCTTGGTGGATCTCAGCAGTGGATTCGAATTTTGTACCTTCCCACTCGCGGACAGCTCCGCAGATAGAGCGCAGTGTGACCAAGTTTGGAGCATCCGATGTGCAACGTGATGTCGGTCGTTCGCATCCTTGAAAAACAGAGCACTACTGCTCAATACTTGTTCACAACCGGCAGCGTCATCCAAGCCGAACTCAGCCAGCGCGAAGAGATGCAAAAGCTCTGATATGAAGCAGGTCGGTTTCCATGGAGAAGGCGTCGGTCCATTCGGCGGAGCTGTCGTTGCGTGTAGAAGCTGCTGCAACGTAGCCTTTGCATTTTCAAATTCGCGAGCGTCCATTTCCATGTACGCTAACCCCCATAAGAGAAGCAACCTGATAATGATAAATACGTGAAAGTCAAAGGTCGTGAAAGAGAAGCAAACACTTACAATTTACGATGCAATTAATCTCGCACGCATTTCAGTGCAGACTGCCGCGCGGCGTCATAGTGTTTTGTCGCGATGTTTACTCACGCAAGTTTTGACTAAACTAACAACGGCACGGAACTGAGGAAAGAAGTGACAACAAACTTACTCAAGCGCTATCTTTAAGCAACAGCATCGGCCTACTTAGCACAAGCGTGACTGAGTTTTATATCGAGCCATGTGGACAAAATTGGAACGGCTAAGACAAAGACTCGAGATCTGATCGCCTTCTTATTTTATTCTTTTGAGAGCCTGTAGTACTGAACTACTGAGAACCTTTGGATAGGACCTGGGGTGATTCCCCATCTACTTGCTTCAACAACTAGTCCTAAGGAAGACAACCCATAAAAAAATGAGAACCTGCTCTGGCAGAAGATTTGAGATTTGTTGTAAGAAACTAAGAGAGCGAAGTTTTGTACGAAGTTGATAAAAAAACTGGAAGTAATTTGCGTTTAAGCAGTTTGTAAGAAAATTGTAAGAGGTTTGTAAGCAAGCTGAAAAAAAAACTGTCTCTAAAGCTTCACTGTGACGCCACTACTTTCTTTTTATGTTTTTGACGACGTGAAACAAACGAGCAACCCTGCTAGCTTCCTAGGTTCAACTTTCTCAACTTTTCTCATTCAGTATACATGATACAGAGATAGAGGCCGTTACATACTTCGCCAAAAGGTGGAACAACAACAAGCTCGTTGAGATAAAAAAAATCAACTAGAAGTCTAAGCGACGTACTTCTCGGTTCTGTCGGGCCAGTCCCGAATTTTGAGTCGCAGTTCTGCTGCTGCCATGGCTGGAAAATTTGTCGGGCACGCTGGGTGCGTGTGATCTTGTACTCGGCGTAACCACCAAAGACAGGATGATGTGCAGGCAGGTGATCGCATCCACTCGCGTAGACGAGGCACATCTGCAGCCAAAATCAAGGGGCATTTCGCGAGGGTCGCAATTACTTTTCTGTCGGTCAGAACATCGTCGGAAAATAGATCTGCTAACGCAGAGTTGATCTGCGTGAGCATCGAGGAGCCCTTGCTGTTCGTGAAAAGTAGGCTGGTCGTGGCATTGAAAAAAGGTTCGACTTTGTCATCTAATTTTTCAAAAAGCGTGTTGCAGCAATCGAGCTTCTGCGCGTCGACTTTGTTACCGTAGTCGTCTGAGCCGTCTGGCGACATGGTGGCAGCTCCAGCTTCGAACATACTACCCCATCCCAGACCGAGGCGGAACCAAGCATCAGCAAGTCGGTAGCGACATTTAAAGAACCAGCTGCGGATCTTCTCGCGGAACGCGGGCCGCTCCTGCTCCACTGCTAAAAGATGCAACAGGGCGTACTCGCACAGTTGTACAGCATAGCTCGCCTCTGCTGCTGCATAAAGCGGAAGAGCTTGAGAAAGAGCGCAGAGACTGCGGTTGCTGTGGAGTAGAATTCGAAGCTCAAGGCAAGCGAGTGCAGAAGATGAGTATGTTTGTAGTTCCTTTTTGTTTCCAAGATGAGTATCTGGTTTAGAAGAAGAAGACGTCTGTTGTAATTGTGACTGAGTCGTCTCCTCGTAAAAGCACTTGTTTCTAGGTAGCCTGTAGAAAATGGCGGCGAGCTCTTTCTTCGGCTCTGTTTTCGACGTAGGTTCGCACATTTTAAAGTCGTGCAATTTCTTTTTCTTGTTCGCTTCCCATAGAGTCCCGTCCAGAGGGCTTGGAGGCTGAGGCAGTATCGTAATAGCGCTGCCGAACAGGTGGAAAGCTCCAACGAAATTTCCATTTTTAAACGCTATCTTGCCGGCCTCTTTGCGCTGTAGGGCTATCAAGTACCACATATGCTTAGCGCAAACTACCGCTGTAGTTTGTCACAATCCGTGGCTGAGTGAGTTGCTGCCCTTCGCATGCATTGATTTCCCCTTGAAATCGAGCAGCTTTCAAGGCAGGATACGCCACGCAGGACAGTGAAAAACTACCCTTAATATACCCACGATCTAGATGAAGAAGCTCCCGCACAGTGTGACTCTGCAAAAATGCTGCAACTTCAGCCTCACTCTGTGGGCAGATCGTCGATGGATGAGGAGAAGCAGCGCTGTTTCGAGACTCGAGATCTGCAGGTGGAGTATTGCTCGTATCTGTTGTTCCCGTACCGCGTCGTTGCTTGGCATTCAAGTCCAACTCGTACTCGTGGAAGAGGAGAACTTCGGCTAGGCGGAAATTGCACTGAGCGAGAGCATTAACGGGCTGCAGGTACTTGCTTACTTTCAGCACCAGTTCTGCGCAATCGCAGAACCTCGAAAAACTCGAGACCGGAGATGGGATGTTCTGCGAGGAACTCAAAGGCTCTCCAGACACACGCCCCGCCGAGGATGGAAGAGGCAGGTCATGAGAAGCCATTATTTTTTTAGTGATGATCGTATGCTTGTGTGTGTTTTCTTGCTATTTTCTATTTGCCAAACTGAAACTCAAACTTTAACTTTCCGACGAGATGACACGTCTTATTGCACTTGGATTTTTAGTCCTCAGATATAAATGCATGATAAGGCTCTAATCATCCAATGAAGGAAATGATCTCCTGACCCCAAAACGCAAAGAACTACATATCTATCGCGTCCCGCGTCCTCGAGCAGTGCAGTAGCACACAGCGTTGTCAGACAAACTCATCTTCAGTCATCTGCTATAATTAATACAAGTAGAAGGTCATGACTATGTGAGGACTATGGTATACATCGTCATTTTTGCATTTCGGCACATAGAAAGGTGCACGACAGACTCCAGAAAGACTGGTGGTCTAATGGAAGCATTCCATCATCCAAAATAAGACTGATACCATTCTACGTATGTGAAAAGTCACATCTGTCTACTATGCAAGATACATGAAGATCAAAAGTTTGTATTTTTTGTCAAACAACAGTCCGTGCTTCTAGTACAGTACCTGCTGAGTAGTTGATGCTACAACATCAGACGGGTGATTGTTAATGATAAGAAGCTTTTATACACAAGGAGTGAGTGATGAATTCGTAGTGATAGTGAGTTTTGCCGAAAAACAAACTTTGTTTGGTAAAAGTGACTTCAAATCTTCTATGATCGGAAAAGTGTTGGAAATATACTTGTTGTTCCTATGCTAGTTCCGTCTACAGAATTACATGCTGGCATGATATGATCATTAGACTGTGATCAAGAACAGTATGGTATGTCATGCTGTTCTTATGTCATGTTGGTATGCATCAATCACGAAACTGTAAAACTATATTTTCGAAAGGCTACTCATCATCATCATCATCATCATCATCATGCGTCTCTAGTAGCTTCTATCCTCAGCTACTGGCAAGACAAGATTGATAGTAGTATCCTCATCTACTTGCTTAGTTAGGATCTATAATAGATGTCTCCCACAGTGTCGAATAGTCCCAAGAAAGGTCGTTCAGGTTTGCACCCCTGCTCTGCTCTACTACTGCTGGCGCTTTACTGGTCTTGCTAGTAGTCGCAGACAAAAACTGGGGTACAAGAACTGTGGGAACTTGTTGTTGAGCTGTAGTACTAGGTACCCCTTCTCCAATGATGTTGTCTTGCAGTCCTGCTTGATCACCTCCCTGCACTTCATCATAATTGATATCTTCTTCTAACCTAATGCGGTTCTCAAATGCCAAAGGGCCAAGAAAATCTGCCACAAAATCATCGCAGCTCTTCTGTTGACTGGTTTTTGCACTTCTCGACGAGGAAGATGTTGAAGAGGAAGGTGGTGTAACGTGGTTATCAAAAGCTTCGCAACCCTTGATGACCAGTTTGCGCACCATATCCTTGTTCTTCAGGACGTCCCACTCATGGGAACTCACTCCGAGTGTGTCGATGGCAACTGTGCGACTGGTGTACTCTGGCACACCAGCATAGTCTTTGTATTGTTGCACAGTGAGAAGGGCACCGAGATAAGCGCTAGGATAATTAGAGCTCACCCTAATCATCCATCTTGAGATTCATCCATCTTGAGATCATCGTTTCTTTTCGTCTTACGGAGCTGTCCCAAGATGCTTCTGGATATGGATTAGGGCAAGCCTTAAGGTAAGCTCCCCACCACCCGGGATTGATATGGTGCTCAAAAGCCTTCCCGCCGTCACCACTGGATTTTTTTGCAGTTTTATCATCCGGATGAAAAAACCAATTCACCTGGTCCTCGCTATCCAGAACCAGAAAGCCTAAAACGATGTTGCCTTCGCTCAGCTTCTTGCGGGGAGTTAGAAGAGAGTGTACTGTGTACTATTCATACTACACGAGGAGGACAGTGATTCAACATTAAGTGCTGTGATAGAAACAACCGACATCCAGATGCTTATATCAAATAAGTTTGGGTTGGTAAGTCTTTACATGAAAATGAAAACGTTGTTGTCGTTGACAACATTTTCCTCCACTTGTTCTAGCAGTAAAGATTAAACACCAGAGGTTCGTAACTGCAAAAGCCACTGCATTGGATAGTTGTCCATGGTACCACCATCGGCGAAAGGCTCTGGTGCATAGATAGTCTGCCTCGATCGCGGATCGACCCACGCGCCAAAGGGAAGCAGGTCTTTGGGTGGCGTCAGTTTTCCGTACGGAAGCACATTCTCGACGTAACGCATTTCTCTGTCCTGGTCTACAGCTTCGGAGTTCTTGGTCCTGATGCTTGATGAGGAAGAAGATGTTTGATGGGCACTAGAAAGCGTGACATTCTTCGACCAAGGTTTGATATGTAGTTGCTCTTGGGGATTATGATGTTCTTGATTGTGACTTTGTCCTTGTTGTGTGGCTGGTGTAGTCAGCAATGCTGTTGGATATCCGACGGGTACTTTCTGCCAAAACCGTGCTGTGAAATAGAAGGGCATACTGCTCGAGGTCAGTACCGCGTCGCGGATTGGAACGTTGGGTGTAGTCTCTGCCGAAAAAATAAACGACGCGCTTTGCGAAACAGAGAAAGCTACGACAAAAAGCTCCTGCTTCTTCTCGTCCAAAAGCTGCTTGAAGGTGTAAGTCTCCGGCAGCTTGCGCATAGAAAGCGCGACACCTGAGCGGATAGATGGAGTCTCAAGGAGCCCTTTTAAACTAGTCCTGGCAAAACCTGACTATGCATCCATCAAATAGAAACCACCTCTAAACAAATACCAAGCGCTTTCCGCAGTGGGTCCCCTGTGTTCCATCCGAATTTGTTCCACAAGTTTCGCTGAATCCAGCTCAGAGTTGCTATAGGCTTGTTCACAAAATCCGACTCAGTTGGACCGTCCGCGAAACTCTCCCAGTCAATCGAAATCAAATACTGCAGCAACTCACGAGGTGAAAACCTGACTCGCGAGGGCCAGTGAGGATACAATGCAATACCAATAGACAATAAATCTCGCACAAACTACAGTGCAGACTGCCTTAAGGGCATTGGATTTGTATTTGATGCGTTGAGTGATGGTGATGAAGGTATGATTGAGCAGGAAGAGGACATTCTTCTCAGTAAGTAAGTACTTTGTCAGTCTTTTGAAAAATATTTATAGCAGAGCAGTTTATAAGGTTTCACGGCTCGCATGGCATGGAGTGCATGGATCACATGGAGTAGCATGGAGCTAAAGGGGGAGCTTCTTGCGCCCCTTAAAGCTCTGCGCTCCATGCACTCCATGCTACTCCATGCACTCCATGCACCATGCGTGCTATAAACTACTCTGTTATAGGTCTTTCAAAACCACCGCCAAGTTCTACTCTTTCAGACGACTCTGCTAGGAGAGCCCCTTGATATTGAAATTGATAGCAACATTATATCAGCTCAAACTAAAATAATGCTCCCCCAGTGGTACCCAAGCGTCACCAGCATCGCCGTAATGGCTCCTGCGCTTGCGCCCATAGCTCCGTTAACGCGAGAGGACAAAGGCTGGTCCCAAGCGTCTTCTCCGACCAAACGCGCAAAGGAACCGGCATAAGCTGCTGCTCGTACACCGCCACCTGCAAAGACCCAATATCGGTTCACCACTTGCCAAGAATCACTGTCACTGTTATCTTCCTGTTGGTTCAACTCCCCCCGTGCATGGTCTCTAGTTCTTGTAGTGCTCTTCTCCCCAACCGAGGAAGTGGTGGAAGTTCCTCCACCAAGCAGAGGGCGTTGCGGCTGCGCAGCACGTTGGGCAGCATGGACGACGAAGGTGAAAAATGGTTGCAGGAGCAAGCAAGAGGAAAGAAAGCATAGCAGATGACTACGGTGTGGTCTCATTGGCTTCGCCAATGAAGGCATTGAGGTGAGGACGTTGGGTAGCATGGACGACGAAGGTGACATTGCAATTAGATTTCCTCTGAGACCAATGAGAAAGACAACGAAGCTGTAACCACTTCACAATAAACTCTCTTCTGCTAGTCAGTCTCACTCTCTGCTGAACCAACTTCTAACTTTTACTTCTCCTTTTTGTCTCTATTATACCTAATTGAATGACACTCGGATGTCGCGGTCCCGAACCCTTCTTTATGCACGACAAAGACAATCATCGCGCGTCGTTCTTCGTGAACCTCACTTGTTAGTTGTCATCTTCAGCTGCGTCTACTAGTGAGAATGGATTCATCTTGCGGAAAAAATCTGTCTATTTACCAACAACTGACCAAGAAAACCTCGTTCAGTGTGATCAAAACTTTTTCATTCAAACCAATTCCCGGACACTAGGATGGTAGGATGAAGGTAAGCAGGTCGTCCAATGGCCTGGAGACAGTGAAGATCCAGTGACCGTCCTGGAGACCACATCGTCTTTATTCCATGTGAATCCAGAAGCAGGCCAATGCGTACTACAACCGTTCATAGCGAAGGCTTTTTGTCTGTCTTCTAGAATCTCTGCAGTAGCCCACTTCCTCGGGGACATGGATACATACACGACTGCACGAAGGAGTCGGTCGCGAGGAGGGAGACGTGGCAAAGTCGCGGAAGACGAGGAGCTAGTCCGACTGACGCTGACCCCACAAACATTGCAATGCAGCGCTTTCGAATCCCACAGAATAAGATCTCCAGCTTTCGCTCTAATCAACTTCCCAAACGATTCCCATGTCTTTCTGAAGCGATGCTCCCCCAACAGTTCGATGTAATTCGGATCCTCTGTTCCCTTCTCGAATGTGTTTTCGAACGGCGGATATTGTTTTGCGTCACAGAGTTCTTCATGATGCTTATGAGAGCCAGGTACGAGGTACAAACCTCCGGTTGCTTCCGTTTGATCGTAAAGGGTTACGAGTCCTTGGATTCCAACTTTTTTGCCGGCTAGTTCGCGACCCTGATCCACGTGCAGCCACTTACGACTGATCGTTTTCGGACCACAACCGTGCTGCCACGGCCGAAAGATACCCAAAGCGTCAAAGGATGTGATCAAATCCTTTTCACTCCAGACTCTTTCGAACACTTTCTTGGCCTTCAGACGTACAAACCAAGCCACTGCGGATTGACCGGCTCCGTTTTTATGCAGGATTCCGTTCTCGGCGCCTCTATCGGAGAGTTTTTCTAGGGCTGGATCGTTTACTTCAGGAGGCAACTCATCTGGAACGAATGCATCACGACCTTCTTTGACTAGTGACGAAGGCGTCGGGTGAAGAAAAGTCTCAATCTTCTTCAACAAGAACATCTCGTCTTTCTTGTGACCCTCCTGTAGTAGTACCTGCTGCGCCTCTGCGTGTATTAAAGCGCAGCATTCCTTGGCCATTGACTCTGAACGAAAGGGACCCCCTGCAAGGCTCTCCCCTATCCCTTCGCTTTCCCCTGTTCTCTCAAGGAGGCCCTCTTCGATATCTAAATGGTGACTCCAATCTAAATGGTGACCAATGAAAGTTGAGCCTTAACTGTGATTCTCCCTTTCTACGATACCACGTAGTCATATCGTTGCGGTCCCATTGGTGATCAGTTCCTTCTTCCAAAAAATCCCAGAGAAGGGACTCGGCATAGTGAGTCTCCTCTTTCGAGGATGCCAAGACATTTTTCACAATCGCATACCCATTTTCTTCGAGAAAGTGAAGCATTCGAGGATCTTCGAGACTGAAGCGGTCTTCCTGTTCTTCGACGTCCTGGTCAGATGATGAAGTAGAGCCAGTTTCTTGTGCACTTTCTGTTTTCTTGTCCGACAGAGTCAAAGATGATGAAACTCCAATTGTTCCTTCAGCACCACTGCGCGATGCAGGCGATTGTGATCGAGAGCAAAGGCGATTGCTCGTGTCGACCTTGAGGTCCACCTTGCCGTTTGGAGCGGGAGACGACGCCCACCTGCGCGATGCAGGCGATCGTGATCGAGAGCAAAGGCGATTCCTCGTGTCGACCTTGAGGTCCCGCTTGCCGTTTGGAGCGGGAGACGACGCCCACACGCCTGGTCCCAAGGACGTGAGTCCAATTGCTAAAACTACTCGCGAGCACCAGAGCGAGTGACGGTATGACGAGGAGGTGGCCATCAACATTTTGTCGTGGCGGTTCTTCTTCTTCCTTTCTTTTCAACTTCTTCAGCTTGGTCGTCCTTATTTTTTCTTAGAAACTAGTGTAGTATGCGGACGTATTCGAGTTGGGCTCTTCACACAACAGCAACAGGTTCTTGCGTTGTAAGAGGCAATGGTACATTTTGACGAGGATCATATTACTCCTGATACCGTTGCGAACACTTTTTCATACACGACACTCATTGCGCGCGCTTCAAAGCTAACGCGGTCGCAAACCTGAGCAAATAAACTTTTGGTGCTCTATTTTTTCTTGACAGGAGTACAAGGCTACCTTCCAGACGTTGCTATTCTTTTCTGATGATGATGACGCTAGTCGGTTCGGATTGGACCTACGACTTCCCTGAATCTCTTCTGAGTTCATTTTTGTAACGAGTAACGATTTGAAGCTGCATCCTTCTCAAGACACGACCATTGGATGGTCAGTGACATGCCTATTCTACCTACGTTTTTCTTTTTGTTTTATCTTGTTTTTTGCCCTTAAAGTGACAGCATACCCTCTATATTTCCATGAGTAGATCATTTTTATAGTAAAAAAAGTCCTTGAATATATTAATCTCTATGATGACATTTGCTAATATCCCTTTTCTTCAACATGCTGATTTATTCTCACTTACGTCGATTCGCGCAGTAACATTAACATTCGTATTCGAAATTCCCCTTCTTCCTCTTCTAATTCTGTAAGAAAATATATAAGACCAACTACGAATACAATTTTCATCAATGTGATTCGGCAATGGCAGCTCCAATGAAGCGCAAGCTATTTTTATTCGGCCTCGATTTCTTTACATGCAGCACCTACCTCTTATTGGATTGATGTCGCGCTCGTGCCACTACATTTGTTTTGTATTTGATGAATACGCTATATATGGACGACTTTGTCTTTGTATTGCCATCGTGTGATCATAATATGGTAAGATTAATACAATCGTGATGTGTCGTTGCTCAAACAGAAGAGTCCTGTAGTATTTGTATGCCATCCAGACTGCACAATATTGGAAAACCGCTACCAGCATACAAGCATCTTTCTATCGAGGCAGTAGAGAAGTAAACATTCATCATGTAGACGGTGCAATACGATTTGAAAGAAAACTAAGTACAGTACATTTGATGAGGACCGACAACGGGAACGGTTCATTAAAAAGAGCAGGTACAGATACATCAAGAAATAATGATAATTTGTCCAAGAATTCTATAACTACACAACTTATGTTTTCATCATACACAAGAATCACTAGTCGTGTCACTTAATATCAGTGATTTTTCACAGTCTCCGCAGTAAAATATGTATCTTCTTCCCTACTAGAAGAGGAAGATCGCTTCACCTCTGAAGCATTGGAGCCTCATTATTCCACGTTCCTCTACTCCTCTCAAGAGATCTTATTCCCGGGGTACGTGAACACATCATGCATGTCCTGAGTGAGGTTTTGCATCAAAAGAGCGTGCGCGTCCATTGGCTCTTCGTACTCAGAAGCTCCCGAAAACCTGTCTCCACCTCCTGGTCCGTACTCCGCGTCCATCTGCTCTGCCATGGCCATTGACGCTCTTGCGCCACCAATATGCGCCGCCGCATCGGAGATACGGTTCCCGGCAAGCAGCAATCGTTCCATCGTTTCGTACTCCTGGACCTTAGCTAGAGCTTCCGCCTTTAGTTTACGAACCATCTTCAGTGCTTCGAGTTTGTCCCCGACCAAGTTGGAGCTAGTGACTGCAGTGGAGTAGTGATCAGATGCGGCGGTTTGTAAGTCTGGTTTCTGGATGGCCTTTTGAGTATAGGTTTCGCCAGCTCGCTGCATGAAGACGCCGAATGCACCTACGAGATGTGGAAAATTCGACGGAGATCGAGAGAATGAACGAGGGCAATGAAGATGATCACGTTGAATAATTTGTAAACCTCCTCATCTTTGATGTCAAGAACCTGCAACGAAACATACAACACGTCAACATCGTTCACTGAGAAGTCTAAAAAAAACCTCTAACAACTAAACTAAGTAAACTGTGTACCAGCAGCCGCTTTCTTCTGTCCACTTCCTGGCGCGACGACATCGTCGATTTTCTGGGCCACAATCTTATCACTCAATCGCCTAGTCGTTTCGCCCGCTTTTTGCGTGATCTGCGTCATCTGTTCTCCACTCAGTCGTCGCGCAGGAGGACTGAACGTGTTGTTGTCGTTCGCATCGTCTTCGTCAACGTCGACCTCAATTTTCCTGCCATCCACAGATAGAGGATGCTTCACCACCTTCGGAGTGCAATCCGTAGGCCAGTTGTTCTCGAATTTCCACTGGTACTCCAGCACTTTGTCTTCCGTAGGACGCTTATCAGATGGCGCATATTTGAAGGCTTCCTCCTTCTTCTGCTTCAGTGGCGCATAGCGCGTCCACGGGTCGACCTCGATCAGGTAAGAAGCTTTTGGCGCGTCTTTGTTGATCTTCTTCAATTGCAAATTCACCGCGTTCTTCTCGTTGAACTCACCCTTTCCAGCCTCCTCCGTGATGCATAAGCGAGAGCAAAACTCGAAGTTCTGGCTCAGCTGCTCGATGAACTGAGCTTGGTGCACCTTCCAGGGCAACCAGTTGGTCTGAGTCTTGGCAGGATTAAGTTCCTTGGACGGAGTTGGCTTGCCGGGAACTGCCCCTGTCGTGTTTTTTTAGGTGTGTTTTTTACGAATACGTCCTAAATAGCTTTATTTTACACTCTTTACTAAGCTTCTTGATGAGCAATCCGCAACCTGGAACGAAGTAGAGGTAGAGTCCATAGGCTATATCAGTACTTCCCAATGAATTAACAACACCCTTAAAAGATAGTTGTAGATCTTCTTCAACATCACCGCAATCACTTCAATCAAATCATGATACAGAGCCCAATCACTAGTCAAAACTTCTAGGTGTACCGGTAAAAAGTTCCTGATTGTAGATGTTATCGACCGCGTAGCATGTATCCATGATCGCTTGCCATCCACGCTTTAGTCCGAGACCCATGGGCCAGAAAGGCTCCAATAAGGAATCACCGCAGAGACCGACCGGAGGCGTCCAGTTTGCTGTAGTGGGGTAAGGTAGATGGTCTTTTTGATTGAATGTGCATAAACCGATTGATTTAGAAAGTGAGTACTCATGATCGAGGAGCTCCTATTCATAGTGATGTAAAAGTAGTTCCGACAATAACAAATTTTTATACGGTGATCTTAGACGAACGATGTTCGCAACTACATCTAGACTTCACTTGCTTCTCTAAAAAGCAATGATAAAGCGAAACAAGTACTTCCACTCTGGTCCTTGCTCGGATCCGGCAAATTGACAGCGAAGGACTTCTTGCAGTTCCAGCACTCCGCGAAATCGAAGGCCATCACGTCATTCGGAGCCTTGACGAAGCCACCATTGGATCCAGCGTTTTCGTCGAAGGGGATCTCCGCAGCTTTGAGGATTTTCTTGACGTAGTCACGGAGTTTCTCCTTTTCCGATCCCGCTCCAGCAGCGGCCTGACGTGCTTCGGTGTGATGGTAGATCTTTCCGGACACGCCGTGTTTGATCAGGTTCTTACGCGTGGGCGCAAAGATGCAGTAGTTGTGCGACGCGGCGCGATAGTAGATGACCACGTCCAAGTCGATATCTGCTTCGTCCATGATTTTCTTGAAGAAGGGCTTGAACAACATCTTGGAGCGGTTCATATCTTCCAGATCCTGCTTGAAACCCAGCTCCAAAGCGCGCTTACGCGGCAACTTCTCGATGTTCGCGACAATGCCAACCGCGTCCATGAACTTGCGCTTTTCGACGCCACCGAAATGGGTCTGGAGCTTCTCACGGACAGTGGAACGTGGACCATCGCAACCTAGAATCACGCCAAAAGTTTCCTGAACCTCATCGGAGTCTTTGCCGAACTTGGCCTTGGCAGCCGCGTCGTAGGTGAGCGTGACGCCCCATTTTGGCGCAGTGGTCGCGTTTCCGGCAACGCATTTGGCGTCCTTGAAACCAACGCCCAAGCGGAACTCGACACCCAGAAGCAGCAAGTTCTTCAACAACAAGCATTGCAGTTCGTCGATACCAATGGACGACGTGTGCGGTTCCGTGAACACCGGATAACAAGTTGGAGGTTGCGGCATCGCATTCTTCAGAGCATCCTTGACTTCTTTCCTATGGGAAAATATGTCAAGAATGGTAGTGAAGGATGCGACGTGGAAACCCTTAAACAAGCTTTCTGACTCAGCAACTCCTTTCCGTTCAATTTCTCCAAGTCGTGCTTTAGAAACGGCCAGTTATGCGGGCGGTTGATGCGGTTCGTGAAACCAAGTGAGCCCTTGCCCTTGTCCTCGCGTCTCTTCTCACAGAGAACCACCTTATGACCGCCCATAGCCAACTCAATCGCACAGCGCATGCCAACGGGACCGCCACCGACGACCAAGACCTTCTGTTTCACGATGCGGGGATTCTTGTTGGGCTTCCCGCAGTTCAAGACTTCTTTGGGACGATAAGCGGGTCCACGACGCTCGAGCTCGTCAAAGCGCTGCCACATGCGAGGCCACTTCCAGTTGCCACCATCCTTGACCACGGCACGGATCTTCTCGTAGGGGTAGACAGGATTGGTGACGTCGTCAGAAGGACCGTCAACGGTGTTCACCTGTGAAAACGGGATCATGTTCTTGGAGGAAGACAAAATGAAGATAGTACAACAAAGATGTGCGTGTTTAGACGGTTTTTTATTGAGAGGGCCAATACATATGATCAATAAAAAACACCTATTTCAAGGACAACATCAAAGAACCAACAACCTTAAAAGAATGATCGGACCAAGCTTGTTGATGCTTATATTGTTTTTCAAGCTCTTCTGTTCTTTTTCGTTTTTCTAGAACGCAGCCTCCTAGTTAGTCACGTGCTTTCACGGTGTTCTCAGCGCTTAAGTTACTGCTTCCTCGATGCGGATGTACCTGAATCAACCTCCACCTTCAAAGAACAAGAATATTCTGTAGCTAGAAAAAATCACAAAGAAGTACCACAACGCTCTGCAATTCCTTGGTCCAGAGTTCATCCCAGATGTCGAGGAGTCCTTCACCTTGGATATCAGGCGGTTGTGCGGCCAGCAAGTCCTTGAGGCCTTGGATGGTTGTGGCCTCGAGGGCCTTGAACTCGTGTTCCGAGTACACTCCTTCTCCCGGCATTTTTGCAGAGCCTTCGACACGAAGCTTTTGTGCCGTTTTGGCCGTGGGATGTGCACAAGAAACGGTGGTAGAGGAGTCCTCCGAGTTGTTACTGTTGTATGCAGCTACTAGGCTTTCCCTCGAAGTGCGTTTCCAGGGACTGGGGAGAGCTGCTTTTTCAGGATTGGTGCCAACAGCTAAGCGGAATTGCTGCTCCAGGGAGAGGCTCTTGGTACTTTTGGGAGGAGTAGATGTCCGTCTATTTCGGCGTTCACGGATATTTTCGGCCGCAATCACCTCAGTGAAAAATTCACTACCTAGCGCTGCAGCTTCCTCCTGCTCGTTGGTGTTGTCGTTGGAAGTAGCAGCTGTAGAATCGACCACGGTGGAGGGGGTGTCGAGTTTTACGACTTGTCGGGTTTTTCGGAAGAAAGTAGGGAATTCTTGATCTTCTACTTCCTGATTTCTTGCTGAAGAGTCGTGCTTCTTACCCTTTTTCTTAGAAGACTGTTCTTGACCTTGAGCAGAAGACGAGGCTCTAGTAATATGTTGATGTGTCTCCCGACCGCTAAGGTCAATATCGCGTTCCTGACGTTCCTTGTCGTCTTCGTCCGATGCCTCCGTCAACCGCTGAAGCTGGACCAGCTGGGCTTTGGTGATGCCGGACTGGAAGAGACTGTGGGTGGACTTCCCAAGTTTGGAGACGCGAGCTGTCTCGGTTGTCAGTGCGTAAGCGGCCGCTGAACTGGACCGCTTACTAGCCCGAATGATGCGCCCAAGTTCGGGCGACTTGGTCAAATCGACCTCCTTATTGATGCCGTCGCTCAACAAACTCGAATCCTCGCTACTGATCAAAGCTGAGGTCACACCTGCAGTAGAGCTGTTCTCAGTGATGTCGGCGTAGAAATCACGACTGATTCGCCTCTGAGACTTGTTCGACGCTGCTTCTCTTAGAAGAGGAGGGGTGTGTTTTTTATCGAGATGACGAGTTTTTATGCTAGACGACTATTTTCCAATTTTTCTGGAGGAACCACGCGAGACTCCAAGAAGATCAAAATGCGTCATGATGTCAAAATAACAGTCAAAAATCATCATTTTTCTACTAGAAGAACTAGTAGATGGATTTACAACATTTCCTGAACAACTACACCAAGTAGTGACGACACACAACTACATACTTAACTTGATAACGTATGACGGACGGTTCGCCAGAGGGGCTTCCGCTGTGAATGGGGACGAGGCCTCCTCCGAAGTAGTATTTTCACTGTTTCCTGAAACCGCAGATGAGCCAAGTAGACCTCCTCCAGGTTGAGGTTGACTCGAAAGAGGCCGTTTCTGAATATTAACCTCGATCTGTCGTTGCGATAGACGCTTGGACACTCTTCGTTCCAGGGCTGCGCAAGACTGCCGGATCGCCTCGAAAGTCTCCGTGTCCTGCGCAAATTCACTCTCCTCCAAATACGAAAGTTCCTCCGCAGTCAAAGATACAGGCTCTTCGTGGTGATCTTCGTTAAGAGACATGTCTACCGGCATCTCGAGGTCGACACAGAGTTGTACCAGCAGCACTTGTTGATGTTTTCGCGGCAATTGTCAGCATCATGTGTTATAACGAACTTGAACAAGAGGTATAATTTTCAAACTTGAAGAGGATGAAGATACTGGTGAATAGAAGGAGTTGGAATGACAGAATCATCTATATTAATCCTAGTACGAAATAAGAGTGGTGGAGCCAATCCTAGTACGAAATTAATGAGGGTAAAAATAGACGACTCGAGGAGCAAGAGAATGCTTCTAGAAAAAACAATCAAATTGTGTCCTCAGTAAGGTCGCTTCTACAGGAGCAAACGGTTGGAAAAATTTGAGGTTGTACTTGATCTAAAAAACAATCAATGTGTTGAATTGAATCACTGTGGAGAAGAGTTATCGATTGTAAAAAAAGCTACGCTATAATAGGAGTTGATGAGGGGAAGACAAAAATGTTTATTGTATTAATGCACCGCATGTAATATTATACCTACTGGAGGCCGCCGCACTCACTCTCAGGTCGCAATGCGTGTCAGAGAAGAACACTCAAGAACTAACTACACTCTTTTAGCAGGAGGAACAGATGCGGAATTCATGATCGCTACGACCTCATCGCTGCAAAATAACTCAGAATTCTCTACTACAGACATCACAATGAAGATAACTTCGCTGCTCACATTAAATGGAGATACATGCTACAGATCGTACTCTACAGATCATGATTGAAGTAGACCCACATCGTCCATGTGATACACTCAATAGTTTTTATCGAATCTGAGTTTCCATACACGCACGCACCACAGAACATTCCGCTTAACATCTTCCTCAACTCTCAACAACAGAGACAGACTGACAGTCAGAATACGCGTTATCGTGGTTCAAGATACGCTGCTCTCTCAAAATTGTCTTGACTAGATCTAGTCGATGGTTACTCCCTGTTGAGGTAATATCTAGATCGCTCGTTCTCAAAGTGAAGCAGAAAAATAATCGTAATCAGGTACTTAAGTAGACTAGCAGTCGATGACCAAGTCTGGTGTAGTCCTCGGCGCCTCAGATTCAGATTCAGATGGGCTCCTGCCTCAGCCCTGCGCATTAAGCACCAGATCGGCAGAAATTAAATAGCACTGCACACAAATTGATAGCACTGCAGGACCTACGTCCTCGAAGAACAACATCTTTCTCCACATCAAAGAAAGTCAACGTAACGGGAAGATCTTCCTACGAGATAGAGATCTTCTCTTCTCTTCGTTTGCTGGTTTTTCTTGCAAGGACCTTCACGGAACGGAAAACCGTTCTCGGGGTCTTCGTGAACTCAAAAGCTTCAGAAGAGAAACCTCAAATATCATTATCACTGTGCTGTCCTGCATGATGCGCAACCAAGAACACATTGACGATGGTACTATTTTCATAGTTAACAAGTGCGACAAGAATATAAGTAATAACTTCTCGGAGCATGTTGAAATAAACTCAGAAAAAATCTAAATAGACTAGGATATTGAAGACACGAAAATAACATGCACCGTACTCTAGGTCTACTTGTACTAAGACTGCAATCCGTCTACTGTAGGTCTTGTACTACTTTTCTACTCACTTCTGTGTATCTGTGCAAAAAGAATCTGGCAGTATCGTTCCCACACTGTGAGCCGCGTCTGTTGCAGTAGTTGTCTTCCTCTTGCTACCTTTTGCATTTTCTTTACTTGTTCTTGTATACCTACACTCGTACTAGTCGTACTTCTTCTTCTAGCGTCAAACAAAATTTATACGTACTAGTATTAAGAAGTCTCGGATTTTTACATTGAAATCGAGACTCACGTCGACTACAACTATGACATCAAAATCTATTATGAGCTCTACTTCCTCTGCTAGAAATGTTGGCCAACCACCATTCTCTAAGTATACGAATCTATACGATGTTAATGGTTTATTTGTATTCCACAATCTACTTCAGGGAAACAATAACAAGCCTATCTAAAAAAAAAATCCTACAACTCACGCCTGAACAGGCTTGCCAGGACTATCTCCCGTCGCATTCCCGACTGAAGGACTCGAGGCGCCAATAGGTTGAAACAACAATCCACCACCTGGTCGGCTATTCAGCAGAGTCGGCGTAGCTGCTTTGATTAGACCAAGATTATTTGATAAGACGATTCAATTAGCATGACCAGCTGTTTTCTTCTTATTGTTCTAGGACAAGTTTTACAACTGACGTGCATAGAGTAGACTGACCTTCACCACGACAAAAATCTTGCCTTAATGTCATCATCCCTGTCGCTGGTGTCATTTGGGGCATTGGCATCCCAGGAGTCATTTGGGGCATTGGCATCCCAGGAGTCATTTGGGGCATCTGCATTCCACCAGGCATTTGCATCCCCCCAGGCATCTGTATTCCACCCGTCATTTGCGGCATTGGCCCGAGACCAGGTGGTGTGGCTGCTCCCGGCATTGGCATATTTCCTCCTGCTGGCATTGCCCCAGGCATCTGCATTCCTGTCTTAGACAAGCAGCTCAGCGCGATAACTAATCTTCTACATCGAGCTCGTATAAAAAAGCTCATCGATTCAGTTGTTCGTAAGATCAAGACGCAACGAACAGAGAGCGATTACCGGCGGAAATGAATTATCATGACAGCCTTAACTGTTCCTCCTGGCATTCCCGCTGCTGGCATCTGCATCTGTCCGCCTCCACCTGCAGCTCCTGGCATTCCCATGATACCTCCAGCTGGACCTGGCATCGCACCTGGCATTTGCATTTTCCCACCTGGCATTCCCGCTGTTGGCATCTGCATTCCTCCCATGGATGTTGGAGACGTCATTCCCATCATCATTCCTGACAGGCCTTCACCACTAGTACCTCCTAGAGGACCGAATCCAGCTGGTTTTCCTACTCCGGCGAACATATTCGGAGCTGCGGTTGTCTTATAGCTCTCTGCGAGCTTACGCTGAAGGGCCTGAGCCACGACGTCCAACTGACCATCTTTCCGAGCCACTAGCTGGTCCACTGACGGTGCCTGGCTCTGAACTGCTACTGCTTTTTTCCTTAGAACGAGAAAGTAGTTGAATAAATTATGGGTATAAGTAGTACATTAAAAATCCGGATATGATTGAATTCAGCCTCGTGCATTCTTCCAGTACTTTCGACCTACAACATCGATAGTGACTCGGCATTATCTCGATCGTCATAATTCCCGTTCGCTTTGGCTGCCCGCCGCGTAGTACACTGCACACCCAAACGCTACCTTGTTGACGAAATCCGCTAGGTTGTAAATTCCGTTTTTTACTTGGAGAAGGAAAGGAGAAGCAGAGAATTCAGTGGTACATGTTGAGAGCGGGGTAAAACTTTTGGCTTGTCGTTCATGAGCACAAGAAAGTCTTGGGACACAAGATCGATATGAACATCATATTCAAAACATGATTTTTCTGTGAGTTAGACTTAGAAGAATCTTCAAAAAATAAAGACGATCAAGACCATCATCAAGACAGGCGAAGATTAACCTTCACAACCACAAAGGTTTCCGTTCATAAAACAAATCCTCTTCGTTCCCGCCACCCATATTTCCTGCAACGTATCCGATAGGGTACAGTGCCCAGCCAACAAGGATGATAGCCCGCAATGTCTCGAACGCCAACTGTGCCTCTGGCTTCTTGAATTCTCGGATGCCACTGGCACTGTAAACATCAAGATATCTAATATCAAAGAGGTGATCCTGTCATGTTCTTCACTACATGGCAAAAAAGAGAATCTACTTCGATGGTGTCAGGATATTCACCAGATGATAAAAAAGAGAACCTAGTACAACTTTCTTCATCTAACTGTAGGAAATTTAATACAACTCACTGCTACGAGTAGTACGAAAAGAGGAGCAACAAATATTAGCAATATAAGTCGCGCAATGCGAAAATTACGTGGCGACTTTGAGTTCCTTTATATTGCTTTTTTTCTTTTTAGCGATCCTCTCGGCATCTTGTTTACTCGATGACGGCGATGCATCGTCACCCGACAGGTTTTGCAGAAATTTCTTAGCCTCGTCCAAGGATAGTTTTCCACTCAGTTTAGACGCCTCTCCGAGGTAGACTTCGTAAACTATGTAAAACCAACAGAGCATCCCAGCAGTGAAAGCTACCCATTTGTCGGAGACTTCTGTTTCGCCCTGTTGTATTAAAAGAGCGAAAGTTCGCAAAATTGGAAGCTGTGATGCATGGGAAGGTGCTGGTAACCAAGCAGGCATTTGCTGATGAAAAGGAGTCATTTCTTCAAGGATCAAGAGCGCTATGAATTCAGAGTACAATACAGTACTAGTTATCCTTATCCATCGTTATCTCGGACTAGGAGCAGCCTAATCATGGTAATACTGACTAGAAACACGACACCTACTACACAGTACCATGTATCCAAAAACAAGCATGAGCATCGAGGAAGCTAGCAACCGGAAAAAGAGACCAGATCCGAGTGTAACGCGTTTTTCCTCAGGAGTGGCGGCAATCAAAATCAGATAAAACTCGACCACTTGCATGGGGACCGTGATCAACCTGGTTGTTGAATACCGCGAGAAGATGAAGCGATAAGTCGTTGATAGTAATTATACGGTGAAGAGCCACATGAAGATGTCAAGATTCGGATCCACCGTGGGTGCTCCTGCTCTAAGAAACCATAATCACAGTCCTGATCCTCATTTGGAAGTTTACTACAGCTCCAGGTAGCACGACTCCGAGTTGTCCGACTACTCTACTTCACGCAAATAAAGGTAATTTATTCTACCAATCCATATATCGGTAAACCGTCGGCGCCTTCTGTGTATCAGCCCACAGGTCTTTCATATAGGCATAATTAAAGCTCAGCATTCAATGGTCATCATGATGCTGAACGGAAGAGACTCCCTTCAAAGCTCTCCCCTTTCCCTTCCTTTTCCCCTGTTTTCTAAAGGGGTCGCTTCTTCGATCTCAGTGACCAACCCCAATGACCATTGAAAGCTGAGCCTTAACATAATGATGCCAGGCAACGCCCGTGACCAGGCCAGCTACGATCATAGAATTGGCCCATCGACGTGGCACCAAGAAGACTTGGAAGAAGAAAAAGACCGTAGCAGCCAATTGGAGACTGGCTGCGAGCCAAAAGGAAAGGCCAATATGGTCATCAGACTCAAGGACTAGACTTAATCTGGTTTTGTGTGGGACGATTTAGAATATCAAATGTACTTAGTTTCAGGTTATTGTGGCATCATAGGAGAAAATGTGGCGAAAATGATGAGGGTGGTTACTCGAAAAACTGAAATAAGCGAGTAACAGACGAGAATAACCGAGATACTGATGAGAAAGAAGAGTAGTCTTGATGTTAAGCCACGCCCCTTACTTCAGTCAGTAACTCGGATATTTCAGTTTTTCGAGTAGGTAGATAATCATGAGTCGTATCTGCAGTTCGGTTGCTACACCATGAACTTCCGCTCCACCAAACTCAAAAACAGAGTTAGTACCTTCGTAATGCGGAACGCTCGTCGACGGCATTATGAATGTCGAATAGCTTCCGTTGAATCGAGTCCAGCTCGATAGGAGCAACCGGGGCAGCGGAAAGCATGCCCGACATTATTATTATTTTCGAAAAAAAGCTTCTATGAATATAAAGGCGCTAAGTCAACTAAGAACTGCACAAAAACGGTCTTTATTGTCGCCTCCTCGTCCTGGAAGTGCTCCGCTTAGCGACTTCTGTAACTTGTTTTCTCTTGGTTTTTCTGTCGTTTGGTTTCGTTTCATGTGAGTCCCCGCGCCTCTCCAGAGTCCACCGCGCCAGCCTGCAAATGTATGCTGGGGGATTCTGGAGGGGCGCGGGGATTTGGAGGGCGCCCGAGGTTCTTGGCTCGCAATTGGGTGAGGGTTTTCCAGAAGGGAGCGCAGTAGGCGGCGAGTGTTCTGCGGATTCGTATCATGCCCGAGAAGATTGAACTTTGTCCGGATTTTTGGAGTCCTTAGTTGAATTTTCTCCATTCTAACTCCACTTGTCTGTGGTCGAATTTTTCGCCATAATCGGAAAGGTTTGAGACACTCCGCCCGAGGTTCTTCGTTCTTGGGTCTTTTCATGTTGTTAAGTGTTGGACTTTTGACCACCCGGCGCCCCGAAGCTCTCGCGCCGGGTGGGATTAGTTACAAAGAGAAGCGACGCGCTGCCGCCTTCAAATGGTCAGACCACTCACGCGCGCCGCCGTTTGTGCGCAGATTGTCGGGGGGGTTTGCTGGCGTTGTTCGCACTCTTTTGAAGTATTTCAGCGGGGAAGTTTGCGGGGGTTTCGCCAGAATTGAATAAACCTCTCTATTGTTTGCCGCTTTCCTGCTCGCTAGGCCATTTTTGATGAAAAAAGTGAAAAGATGTCTTCAGATTTTTTTCCAAAAATGGCCTTGCGAGCAGGAAAGCGGCAAACAATAGAGAGGTTTATTCAATTTCGTGGCATTTCTCAAGAAGGGCTGGACCGGTTGCCGCTTGAGTTCCAAAGGGCTCGCGCCTCCTCTTTTTGTTAGGTTTCGATGGTGTGGCGTGCTCGCTGTGCCTCTGGTGCTTCCGCAGGTGGCTGATTAGAATGGCGCTAAGTCAACTAAGAACTGCACAAAAACGGTCACTATTGTCGCCTCCTCGTCCTGGAAGTGCTCCGCTTAGCGGCTTTTGCAACTTGCTTCCTCTTGGTTTTTCTGTCTTTTGGTTTCGTTTCATGTGATTCCCCGCGCCCCTCCAGAGTCCACCGCACCAGCCTGCAAATGTATGCTGGGGGATTCTGGAGGGGCGCGGGGATTTGGAGGGCGCCCGAGGTTCTTGGCTCGCAATTGGGTGAGGGTTTTCCAGAAGGGAGCGCAGTAGGCGGCGAGTGTTCTGCGGATTCGTATCATGCCCGAGAAGATTGAATTTTGTCCGGATTTTTGCAGTCCTTAGTTGAATTTTCTCCATTCTAACTCCACTTGTCTGTGGTCGAATTTTTCGCCATAATCGGAAAGGTTTGAGACACTCCGCCCGAGGTTCTTCGTTCTTGGGTCTTTTCATGTTGTTAAGTGTTGGACTTTTGACCACCCGGCGCCCCGAAGCTCTCGCGCCGGGTGGGATTAGTTACAAAGAGAAGCGACGCGCTGCCGCCTTCAAATGGTCAGACCACTCACGCGCGCCGCCGTTTGTGCGCAGATTGTCGGGGGGGTTTGCTGGCGTTGTTCGCACTCTTTTGAAGTATTTCAGCGGGGAAGTTTGCGGGGGTTTCGCCAGAATTGAATAAACCTCTCTATTGTTTGCCGCTTTCCTGCTCGCTAGGCCATTTTTGATGAAAAAAGTGAAAAGATGTCTTCAGATTTTTTTCCAAAAATGGCCTTGCGAGCAGGAAAGCGGCAAACAATAGAGAGGTTTATTCAATTTCGTGGCATTTCTCAAGAAGGGCTGGACCGGTTGCCGCTTGAGTTCCAAAGGGCTCGCGCCTCCTCTTTTTGTTAAGTTTCGATGGTGTGGCGTGCTCGCTGTGCCTCTGGTGCTTCCGCAGATGGCTGATTAGAATGGCGCTAAGTCAACTAAGAACTGCACAAAAACGGTCACTATTGTCGCCTCCTCGTCCTGGAAGTGCTCCGCTTAGCGGCTTTTGCAACTTGCTTCCTCTTGGTTTTTCTGTCTTTTGGTTTCGTTTCATGTGATTCCCCGCGCCCCTCCAGAGTCCACCGCACCAGCCTGCAAATGTATGCTGGGGGATTCTGGAGGGGCGCGGGGATTTGGAGGGCGCCCGAGGTTCTTGGCTCGCAATTGGGTGAGGGTTTTCCAGAAGGGAGCGCAGTAGGCGGCGAGTGTTCTGCGGATTCGTATCATGCCCGAGAAGATTGAACTTTGTCCGGATTTTTGCAGTCCTTAGTTGAATTTTCTCCAAACTATTAATATTAAATATAAGTAACTAGTTCTTGTGTAAGAATTAAGAACGATTAAGAACAAGAAAAGATGAGGACAAAAACGTTCATGTTCATAGTAGATATTTGTATCTACGTAATGCGAGTGATTGACTGTTTGGATTTACATTTCTGCCTCAGTTGTCGTCTATCTTATTGCTCCGAAAAACAAGGAGGAGTACTACTTCCGAAAAAAAGAGAAAAAATACCGACAGGAAGATGAGTTTGAGAGGCCTTTTTCCTCATTTACATTTTTTTTGGGGATTGGTTTATTTTCTGGCATGCTGATTAAGGCACCCTTTTTTGATGGGTCGTTCGTACTTCAGAAAGAAATTGAAGACAGAATGAAGAAAGTCTAAACCTTCGTCTACTTACATGACTGCGCTTCCAATCTGCGTAAAGATGTCGCCGAATGGCGCAGGAGCCTTTCTTTTCCTGTTCCAGTAGATGACTGCGACTTCTGTGTGTGTGTGTGTGTGTGTTTGTTCTTGTTCTGTACAAGGGGGGGTGTAGTAAAGAGTTGTACGAGGGGGGACATAGTTCGTTCTCCTTCTCATCATGTCATTGTTCATCTGTGCTGTTGCAATACGAGTAATCAATCATGTAACAAGGTGCCTGGTGACCCTCGATCGTCATGATGTGTATTAATTATATTTCGTTATATTATTTCATGATTAGTTCTCCAACAGCAACCCCCACGTAGCCGCCGATCACTGTGCATATTACGCATTTGTGCTTACGTCGGAGCAGTCATACTTGCATCCTCCTGGTTCGTTTGTGTTCTCCTCAAATGTGCACCTCTTCTGGCCTCAAATGTGCCACTCCACCACAGCAGGCCAGAAGAGTCACTTCGTCGGTTGATCGTCTAGAAGAGGTGGTGGCCCGTAATCCGTCAATTGCTTTAGAGCTATCAAATGCTGATGTCAAGGCTTGAGAATTTCAAAGTCAACGGGTTTTTAAGAACAGATACATCAGAAGCACCGTATTCAATAAACCACATTTGATTATTAATAGGAAAGGTAGTAGGAAAGAATATCGAAGGACGAACTATAATATGGTGCGAGGACGAGTGTGTAGCTGCGTGTAGAAGTGTAAAACGGGTTCAACAAGGAAATGAAAAAGGTTGATGATGAATTTGAATGTTCAATTCAGGAGAGAATCTCGAGGATGCCTTAGAATGTGCATCCTTGCTTGCGTGAACACGTTAGGTTAGGTGTGGGTTTACTAGGCAAACCAGCAGACTTCAGTGGGCCTAACTCCATATTATGTCCGGTGTATCCTTCTTTCCTCCTGTTCTGCCAAAATCCCGCAATTAATCCTTTGTCTTCATCGTATTCCTTTTGCGTTCGTTGGCATTTACAGTGTTTCGATTCGCCAACGCGGGAAAAAATGCAAGCCCAGGCTCGCTCCATCGCGTAACAAAACGCATCGCAATGACGCCCGTCATCGGCCGTTAGAAAGCAGCGGATCTGGTAGCTAGGAGTGGTAAGTAGAAAGAAGTAAGTACTTATAGTTTATCATCCTTATCCTTCTACCGAGGAGTTCTTCTACTAGTACTACCTGATCAAGTAGCTGCTAGTCTTCACCTGAAGATTATGTCTCTACATCTACAGCTTGTAGTCCTTCATGAGGTAGCGTCTATCTTCACAGGGACGATTGTATTTTTGGACCACAGAAGTTGTTACAACTGGACGATCTTCCCATAACACAAAAACGTCACCGATAGGTCTCTGGATACCATCATTCAGCATGACCATGGACTCTGTCACGTTGGCAACGGAGCCGAGCTTGAGACCGCCACTCTCGCTGCGGTACCTCACTCTGCGGCCTATTTGAACCAGATCCTTGGTGGATCTTTTTAGAAGGAACATCAAGAAGATATCAAAATACCAGTTGTGCTAGGTAGCTCGTAGACATTTTAAATGAGAATATCGTGGGTTAGTACAAGCGCACTACGCATGATAGATTAGTAGAAACAAGCAGTACCTCGTCATCCTCAACTAAAGTCGTAAGTAAACCCTTCCAACATAAATGGCGATTCCCATTCACCATCTGGAAACGCAGCGTGTCTTTGTAAGTAGAAACGTTGAGGGTGTCGATGTACGGCCTCTCGGGTCATTACAAGCGGCGCTCCTGGCATATAGGTCAGTGCACCGAAGTCACAGTTCTGCCGAAGAAAACCCATGTCTGCTTCCATCGTCTGGCTTCCTGCTCTGGTCGTACGAGTACTAGAGGTTGCGGAGGCTGCAAAGTTCAGAAACGACATCCAACCATTCCGTGAGATGAAAGAGAATCAGTATTATGCAGTCGAAAATTTGTTGCAGGAAGAGAGAACATACTTACTAGAAGCAACACTAAATATAGTATGAGACGGTGTAGACTATGTCTAGAAGAAGAACAAGATTGAGATCAATGATCATGACAATGATCTAGACAACTACATTTCATCTACTACGGCCGCCGCAGATAGTAATCACGTAATTAGCATGAGAAGATGGTAATCTTCCTTCTCCATGAGCCCAAGAGACACAGAGTTGGAAGCTTCCGCCCGAATCTGACATGAAAAAACGTCATCCCAAGACATACAGAGTTGGAAGCCTCCACCCGAATCTGACTTGTCGGTCTCGTTGTATCGCCAGTCAGCCGCACGGTTTCTTCCGACGTAGTCGCCACTGAAGTACGAAAACCCATCCTCGTTCAGCTCCTTTTCTATTTAGAGCTACCGCGCTGGCTCCTTTTCTGTTGAGAGGCATAGTATCCTTGGCAGCTCCTTTTCCATAAGTAAAAAGCAAGGTGCCAAAGATGATTTCCATAAGTAAAAAGCACGGTGCCAAAGTAGATGATGCTGAAGAGGATGCTTCTTTTCCAAGTAAAAAAGGTGCCAAAGTAGATGATGCTAAGGATGCTTGAGCGGTAGCCTTAATCTGTATCCTTCCAATGATTATTTACTGGCTGGTCTTTCTTGTTGTCAATATTGGAGTGTCGTGCTTGATGTGGTTGTGCACCCGCTTGTTGAGGTGTGTTATTACCAGCTACTAGATCAGGTCGGGATTGAGGCTGATCAGTTGCAGCTGCCGCAAGACCCTGAAGCCGTCGAAGGTCATCAGCGACTTTAGCGTAGGTTCCACCAGACGAAGTATAGGCAGGCTCAGCCTGCAAGAGTGCCAGATACTTTGGTAGCGTCTCGTAATTCTGCGAGATGAAGCTGAGATACACCGCAACCTCGCGACCACGGTTGTACGCCAGGTTGCTCACGAAGACAGGAACATATTAGAGCAGAGGAGCATGTGCATGATAGATCTTACTCTTAGTAAGCGTTGTTGTAGTAACAAGATTCAGATTCACTCTGAGTGAGAGAATATTACATCCTACTTGGTTCCTGTGATTTGTTTTCTTGTTTTTCAATGAATTTCAACATGCAACTGCAAGTCCTGATGTGATTTTAGGAATTAGGTGGACATCAACTACTTACATATTACAACATTGTACTGCTAATGTTTAGAGCTTGTGCAACTAGCAATTTTATCATAATGACCTCGTCTTTTAAGCTCTCCAAGCTCTCCTACTACCGTTGTTGCTCCAGGTGGTTCCACTTTTCTCGCGTTCTTCTTCTTGTTGTTACCTTTGCATTTGATGGCACTCCTACTAGTTTTCCTCCTTGCGCTAGTAAGGTGTGGACCTTGTATGCGGAAGATCTTCTTTCCACTAACGACATTCATACTGTTCAACAACATATCTTCTCCTGCACGTCCTTCTTCACTAGAAGCTTGCTCTTGCATCTGCAGCCTCATTGAAGTCAGCTCTTGCGAGTCTTGTCGCAAACCCTCCAGTAATGCTTTCTGTTGCATGCGTGCGGAAGCGATTCTTGTGCTCCTAGTGTCCACTGAAGTTTCCATAAGTAGCTGCGAAGATGATGTTGAAGAATGAGGAAGGTCTTGGTGTTGTTGTACTTCAGCTTCATCCACCTCGTCGTGCGGAATGACAAGCAAGTCCTCGACTAGGGATTTTAAGTGCTGTTCCTCAAAACCCCGATTCACCACTAAAATAGGACAACTTTTACTGATTTCGTGCTCGCGGAGCCAGGCTAAACGTTCGGAGAACCGCGCAAGAACGAGAAGGAGATCTCCATGATCATCATGTGCCTTATTTTTCCCTCCTGCTGCACTAGTTGATGTACCATGTTGATCATGTTCGAAAAAATCAACAGTCTCAGGCACTTCAGCATTCCACATCATATTTGCATCAGACGATGGGCTGGTAATCGTAGTTACTGACGCTGTTGCTCCGGTAGTTTCTGAATTATGAGGAATATCTAGTACTTCTCGTGGTCGTTCACTTCTACTTTTAGTACTACTGCTTGTTGTTCTTTTCCTTCTGCGTGCCGAAAGAGATGACGAAGACGATGTCGCACGACTTTCACGACTACTAGCTTTATCATGCTCCGCCTTCGGTCCACTGACGTGGACCCCAGGTGGACTGTGAAGCCGAGACGCGGCTCCTGCACGTGCATCACCTTCAAAAGCCTTTTTTATCAGCGTGTAATGAGGAACATGCTGACTATGCCCTTCGAGCTGCTGGTCCTCTTGTTCGTCTTCCTCTTCATCACGCAGGTCTTCACCCTGCTGCCTTGAAGAGCTAGCTGTAGTTCTAGAAGTCCTCGCTGTACCTGTAGTACTAGTACTATCTTCAGTTCTGCGCTGGTGGCTACCAGTATTTTTTTTTCGCAGGTAGCCTCTACCAGACGACGACGAGAGGTGAGCTGAAGTCCTATCAACGGCGACTGCCAACACGATGCGCGTGACGTCACCGAAACATACAAGGAGCCGTAACAGATGTTGAGTTCTGAAAGACCATGTAGCTGTTGACAGTTTCATTACATTCATCATCCTCTTGGAAGCACTAGCGGTGTAACTTCTTGACATGTTAAATTGGTTCAACTACCGTGACTACAACATGCTAGATTTGTTTTGTTGATATTTCATGCTCCGCTGTCGCAGCGTTGCTATTTTTCAACCGGCCTTCTTCCATTCAACTTTTTCCCTTATAATTTTTTTCGAAAACTTCTTGAGAAGAAGTGGTAGTAGCCACTCCTTAGCAGGCTGCAGGTGACTTCTGCTTGCATCATTGAAGATCGATAGCAAATATTGGTCAGTAGAAAGATGGTCATGATTAGGTTGGGCGGTGAAGAATATAGACCATAATCATCGTCCGCACCGATTGATTGATTGATGTGCCTGACATGAGGTCTTTGTTTTTACTAACTTTTGGGTGCAAACTGGCAACTTCTACAGAAAGAAGGGCTTGTCCATCTCACTTGCATATGCATTCACTAATACGCCACTATGATCAATACTTATCCTACTTGCGTGGTAACTTCCACCTCACTCATATGACATACTGACTCGGGGTGACACTTGTTCTTGTACAACAATCAACATGTGCAAAGAAAAGGCCCTACCTAATACGGAGAAGCAACTACGTATTTAGTTAAGTCCGTGATTGTACAAAGAATGCAGGAAAAGGGACTGAAATATTGCTGCACGACAACGTGCTAGTACTACAACGAGCCTAATGCTGTTGAAACTTTATCTTCACTTTCTGATGCAGATGCTGATCGTGAATGTGCAATATTCATCTTGAAGTTGATGCTTGCGGATGGTCACTAACTTTTAGGTTCTTAGGTTTAGGTTTAGGCCACAAGTAGTCGCGATGACTCAGACTCTATCGATACGATTATAATTGGTTTTGTTTCGGATATACGGCAAGAAGATACTCTTGTTTGATGTCATGTGTGTGCTCGTGATATGGTTATTCGCGACCACCGTAGAGACAAAATGGCAGCCGATTTCAAGGCCGACTCCAATACTAGCCCAGCTGGGAAATGCTGGTCCCTTCTATTAACTACCAGCTTCCTATGAAATAGAAAGCCAGGTTAAAAGGGTACACACCATTAATCACATCATGGTCAAGTATTAGTCGTCTAACCAATAATTGCAAAAAAAAAGTCACACGACATTTACAGTTTATGATCTGCAGCTGAAATAGAAACGTTATATTTACTTATTTTTTCTACTGTACCTCCTGTAGGGAGTACTACCATGATGATTAAACTGTCGTGGCTCATGATCCAGTGCTTTCTAGTCACACTCACCAGTCAAAGTCAAACCGGTGTACTACTACGAATCCCATAGATACTAGGAAATAACAATCATCTGTCCATCTCCACCGGCGCTGACCTTCTTAGCTGGCGACTTGGTGGTGCTGCTGCGCTTACTTCCCTTAAGCACGATCTCCATGCCACCGTTTTTCGCATCGCCGATGCAAATTCCACCGGTCTCTGGGTTCATCGTGATTTAGAGCAGGGGTAAGGCTAATGGACCTCAGAAAGGACACTAGTTGTAGTGCCCCCTCGACACAGGCGCAGGTAGAACGTGACGCTGGTTGTATCGCTAGGCAAGTGATAGTACATCCCCTAACTGGATAATCCCTTTAGAGGTACATTTCTTATTCTTATTGATTCTTAGTGCCATAAGTGATGCTACTTCGTTTCTTCCCACCACCTCCGAGTGATATGCCACCTGTCAACGGATCTACGGAGATGCTTGCGCGTCGCGGCTTCTGATCACCTCCACTTTCGCCACCGAATTATGAAAAGATTCGTCATCTAAGAAAATAAGAGGACAAAGCACAAGAAAAACAAATAAGATGCAATTTGTTCTGCGGACTCTAAGAACTCGAATTATTCATCTTTTTAATTATGAGAATATGAAAAACCCTTCAACATAAACTGACAATGGGTCCGCCTCGTTTTGAGAGGGAAATGTTATGGGCGACGTCGTCCTCGAAGTCCGAAGGAGTATCGGCACCTTGTTTTGAAGGGACACCACGGCCGTAGGTCGGATTCGCGATTGTATCTTTTGAACGGACCATCAAGGACATCAAACATGAGGAAAAAAAGTCATCTTCCTGAGCAACGTTTAGAAGGAAAAAGAGTTTCAAAGGGAAAAAGAGTTTCAAAGGGAAAGAGGGTAAGTACTTGGAACGAGAACAGGAGTCGTCGATGCAGTAAACTTCATCATGATCATCATGAAAAATATCCGAAGAACTCTTAAGCGGGAGTACTTCTATGCAATATATATAATGTCGATACATCCTCCACCGCCACCGCTCGCCCCTCGTTCTATTGTGCGTGTGTTCCCATGATCCACTGGTCGTCCAAAATCTTGACCACTATAGCCCATTGCAGGATACCCATAATTATACTGCAGTCTTAGTGGAAGAAGGAGAAGGTTCGATTGAGAGGCTATCATAGTACTGTGTAATTTGTGCTGCAGTAATATTCTCCGTTATATGAGTACTTCTTACTTGGAGATCATGTTGAAGATGCTTCTTGAAGATCATGTTGAAGTTGATACCACGGAAATGCTTCTTGAAGATCATGTTGAAGTTGATGCGACTTCTAGTTGTAGTAGGAGACAGACCTGAAAATCTTGTCAACGACCTTTTTTGAGAATCACTCAGAGTCTTCAACAGACGCAGACAGATGTCAAAATCTAAATCACTATTTTTGCTTATTTATAAATGCTGATAGTTAAGATAGAACAAGAAGTCCTTAACTGTGGCATATGCATCATATTTGGATGCTGTGGCACCATCATGGGCATCCCCACTCCCATAGGTTGCATGCCGCCAGCTTGCGGCGTTACGGCCATAAACGACGATCCCGAAGCAGGCGTTTGCTAGGATTAGACTTCTTGACGCAAGATCGAGAAGAATCAGGACTCTTGGGCATGTCTCTACTTCAAAATGTTGATCACTACGTCAACGCTGTACAGGGACAAGACAACTTGTTCTTGAAATATTTGCACACGGACGTCGCAGAAAGACGTTGTACAACTACAAGAAATCCTTCCACCAACATAAATAAAGTTGCCCCCTCCTGGTGCGAAGAACTGTTGTCCCGGCATCATCGTACCACTAGGAAATCCACCACCAAATGCTACAGGTGCGCCGCCTGGGATCCCAGCGGTGCTCATCACGCCGCTTCCACCTGCCCCACCACTGCCATTGTTGCTGTGTACTTAGAGGGTCCTATGTATGGTGAACGTAAAAAATCTTCCAAGTACTTCTTCTACTTGCTTTTTTAACAACCATTTATGGCATGCTCCATAAACCAGAAACGAATTTTTTCTGTATTTGCCAACTACATCCTCATCTCCAATACTTTGACGAACGTCAATCATATTATAAGAATACCCAATAGGGAAATAAAACGCCTCCTAATCATGTTGCTGCTGCGATGAAGATGAGGAGCCTATATTTCCATTCCTTCCTGGCGAAGCTTGCGCTGCTGCAGCGGTGAGCACCTCTCTCGGACTAGCGGTGCCAGGTGACACAACGCCTGTCACCGTGAATGATACTTAGACGAGGCTTGAGGAGAAGTAGAGGAGGCGAAGAAAAATCTGGATCTTCATGTTCACGGTATCTGTTCGTTCAAGATATATTTCTTATAGTCTACACACCTTAATTTGATGCTTTCGGTGATCCGCGGTCACTGTGTGCACCCTCCCCTGCGTCCTTCGCACCGCGCACGGTTGGCGAACTGGTGAAGAAATGGTTTGAAGATTCAAGATTCTTTTGTTTCGGACATGATCAGAAACAGAACCGCATCTAAAAATGTCCAAAGAGACAGAGAAGTAGTTCATCTAGCAATACCCTAAAAGTGTAGGGCTCGCCGCAAGAATTCCCGGCTGCATTAGCGTGTTACTCTTTATTGACGCGCCCAGAACATCGCCTGCTCCGTCTCCTGGCTTGGCTGCTGTAAAACCGAAAGGGCCGAATCTGCAATTGGTGGGGTTCGTTGGGTGATCGAAAAGCGTGCAGCTAAAAAATACTTAACATTTTTGTCATACATTGTTCATGGATGCATTGTCAGTAAAAAAACTTATGTAACAAGCATAGACATACCCTCCTCCCGCAGGTGGTGGCATCATCAGTCTGCCGCCTCCTAGTTGAAACATGCCTTGCTGAGGCATCATCCGGCCACCAAACAAGCCCGTAGTAGATGTAGCACCCGTCTTCCCTGAAGGTAATATTAGAATCTCCACGATATAGTTCATTAAGAGCTCCTTCACGTGGTTCACTTCAAGAACGTCTATATTGTTGGAAGGGCTACACGCTAGAGCGTCTATATTGTATTTGATGTGTCAGTTGTAATGTGCCAGTTGTAGTGCTTCGGATCACCGCAGATTCCGTTACTTCTTCAGGCGCCGTCCTCGGGTGTCCCTTGTAACGTCCCTTGATGTACTTGAAGTTGTATTGCTCTTTTCTTTGTACTTGAAGTTGTATTGCTCTTTTCTTTGTACTTGAAGTTCTTGTATTGCTCTTTTCTTTGTACTTGAAGTTCTTGCGCAGCGTCGGTTTTTCCTACTTCGTCTTTGGTTTCTACTTCGTCGAGAGATCGTGAGTTAGCTCGTCAAGCTTCAAAAGAAGCAGGAGGTGGAAGAGAAAAATAAAAGAGAAGATGAGGAAAAAGGAAAAGATAAAAAATTGATGTTGATTGTAAAAAAGCTACGCTGTCTTGTATTGCTCTTTTCTTAACATCAAATATTCCGCATTTACGCGTTCAACTTGTATCCTTTCATTGCGGATCTCCTTATCTCGTTCAGTCTCCGAAGCTGCAGCAAAAAAAATAGCGAAACCGAAGACGCATCACCTTAGAAGACGAGAGGGGTTCTTGTGTGATTCAAGATTCAAGGGCTTCTCGCATCAGCCAGGACGCTACGTGCGACGGCGTGGCGAAGATTAAGTATAGCTTCACTAGGCATGCACATACACATACGAGTTGTAGACTCGTGGCAGAATTTTCGTCGAGAAGTCTTTCTACACAGCGTGGACGTGGAGAGTGGAGGTGCTTAGGCAGTCGTGAAAGTCCCTCCTGTTGTTGTAAGCTCATGTTGTCCATAACTTATTCAAGAGATCTGCGACGTTGTAAATCAGGTTCAAGGCTTTTTCCTCTCCGCTGGAAAGGACCCAATGGCCATCCTCTTTAGATGCATGCGAATACCCAACGATGTACGCCACAGGATAGAGCATCCACCCTATCAGGACGGATATTAGAAGAGCTGGCGTGCTGTTCGGTTGTTCGAGGTGTGTTTGTAAAAAGACAAGAAGACAAAGTCAACAAAGACTATGTCCACTTTCTTTCGTAAGGATATAACGGAATAAGAGAAACCAAGATCTTCGTCGTGAAGATCTTTGCGACGAGCAACAAGATGAGAACTATGTCAGAGCAATTTATGAGGTTTCACAGCTCGCACGGCATGGAGTGCATGGATCACATGGAGAAGCATGGAGCTAAAGGGGGAGCTTCTTGCGCCCCTTAAAGCTCTGCGCTCCATGCACTCCATGCTACTCCATGCACCATGCGTGCTATAAACTACTCTGCTATGTATAGTAGAACTTACTTCTATGCTTATTTTCTGACGCTGAGAAAGCCAACTACAATATCGTAAAATCAACCGCATCGTCTCGAAGGCTACTTGAGCTTCTGGTCGCTCGAATTCTTGCATCATAAGCTGGAAAGAAGGGGACGATGTTGAGGCATTTTTGTCTGTCTAGGCAGATAGAGACATAATGTGGTCGTCCTTCTAAGTACTTAGAAAGTTTAATGGAAGGCCATCTTTAGATATAGAGATACTGTACTAAATAGTATGAGGACTATGGGTATATAATCGCCTCTGAGATTCCATCTTCAGATAGAGATATTGTGAGTATGAGGACTATGGGTATGAGATGAGAACATCACGAAATATACCGCTTTCGGATCCTGCTTTCTTCCAGTTACGCGTTCTATGCTCTTTTTCAGCGACTTCAGCTCTTTCTTGTTCTGCAATTCACTCCTACTCAGCATATTGTTCGGATTCCCCCTTCTGGCGGCATCTTCATCGTCCGAGCTCTCCTCGTCTATCTGTCCGGACATTGGTTATGAAGGGCTTAGGGTAGGGTTACCACCAGGAGGAGACATGAACATTGATCATGAAAGGGGGAATAAGCGCAGGAGAAGTAAATGCAAATGGATGAAGAACGATAAGGGACTGGAAGAACTGCTAATGCGATTGCTCCCGCCTTTCTTGAATCACATATTGGCTTCATCCCATGATGATCTCAACATGCAGCTCATACTCGAAGCACCATATCATAATATAGCAAGAAAGCGCTTCGCTTCGTCTAAGCCCAATTTGCGATTGATTTTTGCTGCCTCACCTCCAAAAATTTCGTAGAGAACTAGCGCGTACATGGAGAACGACAGCACAAACGCCACGATCGGATCCATTATGTCCACCTCCCCCATGTATCCGAAGAGCAGCATAAGCGATGACGTTGCGAAGAGTTAGAGATGCAGGAGCTGCTTCTACTTTTTGTGCTTTTTGGTTCTCAGTACTACTGCTCGACTACAACGAGCCAAGGATGCTGGTGAAGATTCTACTTGTTGTTGTTCAAGTAAAAAAGTCGACGCAAGAGGCTCATTTTTCAGGATTATGCTACTTTAGCGCTTCTGGCCATAAAATAGCCGCACAGCAAGACTGAAGTGGACTGGCTTTTTGTCTGCAGGTGTTGCGGCACGTATCACGAGGTAAAAAAGAATTACCTGAAGCGGCACTGTCAGGAACCTAAAGAGATTTTCGGGAATCAGAATCGCGCTTTTCAAAAGAGGCACTGTCAGAAACATGGAGAGAAGAGCTTCGGAATTCTTGTCAAAGGACGCCAAACTTCAATATCGGTAAACTGAGTTCTTAAATTGAGTCGGTCCACCACAACCATAAACATATAACCTTCGGTAAACTTCTTGTTCATTTATTTCTAGCAACAACATCACAGACACATATCGGTAGACCTTCCCCATTTCTAACAAGGTGATATCAACTACATCAAAGACACAGTATTTATAGTATACCAGTCCATATATCGGTAAACAGTCGGAGCAGATTTGGTATCCTTCCACTCGTCGGCCATGAGGACATAGTGTTGCCACGCAACGAAGCATACCAACGCAGTCACAATCATTGGCGTGACCCATTTACGAGGTACGAAAAATACCTCGGTAGTTTTAGGGAGAAGTACTAAAAAGGAGACACTTGTTGTAACGAGGTGATGAAGATGCTGATTCTGGTGATGATGGGGATCAGGATGATGATGGTGATGATGGGGATCACGATGATGATGGTGATGATGGTTGTGCCTAGTGATAATGGAGGAGAGTGTAATGAAGGAGAGGTTGTGCCTAGTGATAATGGAGGAGAGTGAGCCGTTGTCGAGGTTGTGCCTAGTGATAATGAAAGTGAGCGGTTGTCGAGGGAGTGGTATCATCATAGACGTACCTGCCACGCAAAAAATGCCGCACAGCAGAGCATCGTCCCCTTGATGAAGAGGAAGGAGTGCGCGACATAGTCGCTCTCGCTTTCTCCCGCTGTTTCAGTGGTGGAGGTGGACATCTTTTTGTTTCATCCAGTCCACAAAAGCAAGTGCTCTTAGTTACTATCGTCCACTAGTTGCTGTAATCCGCTCCAAATTTTTTTCCTCACAATTTTGTTTTGCTCTTTCTTTGTTCTCTGGGGTTGCTTCTACAGGTAAAAATAAAATTGCTACAACTCTTCTTCTCCAAAACCCTTGATGCGGTTTGTTTTAATTACAGAACACTTGTTGTCTCTCATCCAACCTGCGGAGACCTCGCCAACCAGCATCGAAGGAGGTTGGTGTGCGGTCTGTTCTTTGCTTTGTTTTCGTCAAATCATCCTCATTTTCTTCTTCATCTTCATGAAATCCTCGACAACATTAAGTTCAAGTTTTAAATTTGGAGTTCCGATATACTAGTTTGCCTCTCTTCATAAGATACATATTGATCTCAAATCACTGCGGCCCTAAACCAGAGCAGCCAGCACTGCAGGAGGAGCTGTGCAACTAGCACTAGTCTAGTTTTGAGTAGGTGTCCTCGGTACTACTTAGTATAGGATAGGAATTATTGATTAGCCGTCCACAGTGTGCCCTGTAGTGCCGTCACTCAGAGCGAATAGAGTCACAACTGCAGAAGATGATATAGTACCTCGTCCCGGTCCTGCTGAGATAAATTCAGCATTTTAATAGAGGTTAATACATCATGCTGCGTGCTGTTGATGCGTCTTTTCTTCTTCTCGCTACTCTAATAAATTGTTCGTGTAGATATCAAATGCAGATGACAGAGCAGGTCAGTACAACAGCATTTATATGCTAAGTACAACTACTGAATACAGGAGCATCAAGATTTACAACATTACATCATAGTGACATGGGATCGAGATGATCACGACCACCAGGGATCGAGCCTCTTCTCAATCATCTCGCTTCAACCTTCTGCTACATCATAACAATTATGTTATCTTAGTCTGCCTTGAGTATCTTGTGAATGGATGAAGATGAAGAAAAATGAAGGATGATATGACCTTTTTATATTTTTTTTTACTTTTTTCGATTTTGTATTTTTTGTATCCTTTATATCTCGATTTTAAAAGTCTACTACTTTGGAGTAAATACTTCTTACAAGAACAACCAAAAAATACAGTGGGTAAAAACTGGGTGGTCATTCAAACATTGAACTACAAAAAAATTGGAGAAACAAGATTCGGTAAGGTATATGTAAGTTAGATATATCATAAGGATGCAAGGATGACGGTATTTTCTCAAACTTTGCATCTACATTTTTGGAGGGGGCTCTCACTTTTATGGAGAGGCTGGTGGCCTCTTTGTAAATCTTTTTAGTACAGAAGGGGCGTAGTATCTTTTATTGAGTTCTTTGGGGAATGGCGGGCTCTACATCTTCATGCCTGTACAACTTACTACGAGACGAACTTTGATTACTTGACTTTCTGCGTTTAGTAGCTAGTTCCTGTTGATGTGTAGTACGGATCAATTTGTTCTATGGATAACTAGTTGCATTTGATGTTCGTAGCATGTGGGCCAAGACAAATCACAGTTGTAAATACGTAACATGTGGAGGATGCGAATGCGATGGATAACATAATGTTGGTGTTGCAAAAACAAAATACATGTTTCTTTTAAGTGGCAAATGTCAGTTTTTCTTGTTCTTTAGTGGATATGATGATCATGGATACGAAGTGTGCATGAAGGAGCGGCTTTGTTAATCTTATTGTGACTACCTCTCTTGGTTTTCGGAGTGAAAGCGAATGATCTTTATATGTCAAAAATTTGATTATGTAGGTGTAAGTAGTAAGGTCGTGTCTGATCAGAAGTATGCCATTGTTATTGTTTTTGTTGTTCCTCCTGAAATTTACTGAAAATAGGTAAAAAAATCATCAGCGATATCAATCTTTCGTCTTATTTCAGAAATAACAAAATGAAAGCATGCAAAAAGAAAAACTACTGAATTAAGTGAGAACTTTGTTGCTAATGATATAGGCCTGTTTTTAGTGCATACTTTTAGTCGATGTCGATGAGTCGTGAACAACATAACAAATTCAAGAGGTATTGATTTTTACTACTCTTGTATGAAAGTACTCCTCTACAAGTTCTTTTTGCAAAAATCATTCTTCCACAACGAAGCTGATTCGAGTGAATTTATTAGGAAGATGATTACGATGATTGATCAACCTCTGCTGGCTTTCAAATAGTACAACCCCAACAAGTATGAATGTAGTAGTACTATGGAGACTTTCTAGTCCATTTGCGTGAGTTCGTTGTGGAAGGTTGATAGAACTTCTAAGGTGGAGGCCCCTTGTCGCTCATGGTAAGCAACTAGGGAATACCTCTCTTTTCGTCGCAATTCTCAAGCAACCAAGAATACACACAAACACCCCACAGTCCGCCTGCTCCATTTGCGATCTTTATTTTGTTCTCGCATTTGGTACCCTGAACTCGATCACACACAGACGCTCTCTTCTTGCTCGCCCTTATGATCAAAATCAGTTACCAATGGAAATGAACCAAAACCCTTCAATCTTACAACATACTTGCTGTTGCTGTAGAAAAATTCAAAATATAAATTTCGTTTTTGGTGATAACAATCATGCAACTTGAGGGATCGTTATCTTCCTCCCCGTTGTGAATGCCCATCCCCCTAAAAGGAGAAGAAGACATCACTCTCCTAATAAATTATTGTATCTATGTAAAATTGCCTCCTTTTCCAACTTCTCCTCGTCTCTTAGTCGTATTAAACCTGCATCATTTCGGCTTCTGGAGCAGTAGAGGACTCTGCTTCATCTGCAGCAGCAGCAGCAGACGTCTCTTGTACTTCAACAGGGTCAGGATCATATATCTTCTTAAGCCTGGCTCTGAGACCGCCTAGCATCTCCTCATGGCCGTCTGCGTTCTGTTTCACGATGTCACATCGAAGCAGCGTTTCCTTCAACGCTTTCCACACACTAGCGCCATTGCCGTCGTCCTCGAGATGAGAGGATAGTGATGGATACAAGAACTCGTCGCGCATTTTCATGCACACGTTGTTCTCATATTCACTCGCCATTGCTGTGTCCCACGATGTCGCTTCTTCGGTGACGCTGCCTTCTTTCTCTACTGATCCCGTGCCGACACCCTGAAGATCAGCCTCCGATGGCTTTTGGCTTGCAGTTTCCACAAGTTGCACAAGCGTGACATGGAAAGCGGAACTGTCCGATGGAGACGATGCTAATCCGTGTTCTTTGGCGTTGTAGACGCTGTGAAAGTTAGAGGTCTCTATGATGTATGCCTCCGTCTAGTTACTTCGTTTGGACTCAGGAGCTCAGGCTCAGTCAGAAGTGCTGTCGCAGTGTACATAATGTAAACAAGCCCAAACGGCTGATCTTCTTCAGACGTTTTTAGACGAAAAGTGCGAGGCCCTTAACTTTAAGCTTCTTTCCCGTGAACGCCTCTAGAAGCGTCAGACTTGCTGCCCAGCCGTCAGCCTGCCAAGGTTGCGTGCTGTGCGCGATCCATTCACGATTAGAATTTTTTGTCTATCAAAATCATTTTATCATAGTAATATATATTATATAAAGATGAGAGGCCTAGACTTTTGCGATCACATTATTAAGGACGACAGGGAAAAGCCTGACCAGTAGAGTGGTAGCCAATGCCAAAACTAACCATGTATCGAACTACATCGCGAACCAGAAACGTCCACAGTGCTCCCCAGTTTGTTTTCACACCGGAACGCATCGGAGCAGCAAAGCAGTTAAGGGCCCGCACGCTCATACGAGAAACTAGGCTAACTACTTAAGCGCTAAACCTTAGCCCACCTGATCCACTGCTTCAAGGCCGCAAGCCTTTAGTTGCCCAGAGCGTAGTTTGGTTTGTACAAGAACCCGCCTCAAGCTACCCACGCTAAACCAGTGCTCTTGGTTTGTAAAAAAAACCGCCCCAAGCAGCACCGAATCAAGGAAGCGACGCGCCTTGGTGTCGTATAATTGAGAACCCTGAAGACTGTCATCAAGTGAAAGTGAAGACCGGCAGGCTTCAGCGACAGAGTGCAAAGTCCATCGCCACAAAGGAAAGAAAAAGCTCGAAGCAAGAGCGAGTGGCGGCATTCGCAACAAGTGCGAAAGGAGGGGGGATCAGCAACATCCCACCGGCGTGAGCGAACCACGCCCAGAGCCAATCGCTGAAAAAATTAACCACGGAGTCGACGCGCTCGGCGAACTACGCGATGCACGGAAGTCGCGTGGTAACGGAAGTCGCGTGGTAAGTAATATATTATTAAGCTATACTTTTTCATCTTTTTAAAGTGTAAAAACTGTAACGCGCGCGCGCGCGTTACGCGCGCGGGTTACGCGCGCGCGCGCGTTACGCGCGCGCGTTATAACGCGTCACGCGCGCGCGCGTTACGCGCGAAATAAGGCGCGCGCGTTACATGCGCGCGGCGCGCGCGCGTAACGCGCGCGCGGGGGGGGTGCACTCGCGACCGGGCTCGCCG